GCTGTACGGTAAAAAAAATAACGTGAGTATAAGTATAATAAATAAATAAATTGCAGTAACAAGTAAATCCAGATAGTTCTCATGGTCTATGAGCATATTATGTCCATTTAAAGATAGTGGGTGCTAAAGCTACTTTAGGAGCCTAGGGCGTAAAGGAACACGTAGACTAAAAAAGCGGTAATTAACGTCCGGAAAACCTATTCATGGAGTCTTTACCGCCCAGTCGTAGATAAAAGATATGAAAAAGTATACTCTTTTTTAAGGTAACAAGGCAAAATAACGATGTTATAGAAAGTCCTGTTGTTGGTCTGTTTTACAGATAATGACCTTCTAACGGATAAACGGTGCCAACAAGTTTTTCATCATTGAAACGCACATAAAAGCAGTTGGCTGCGGTCGTTCCTCATTAGAAAAATAAATAAAACAAGGCGAGCCTATTTCATTAGCTTTATCGATTATGGCAATATCGAGTAAAAATACCACCAAATTAGCTAATAACTTTTTACGTACCCTTGGTAATACCCTGCTATTAATTTTCCCTGTCGCATCCTTAAATTCACATTAAGCTTGTGGAAGGCTATCGTATTCAACGCTGGAGACAATTAGTTTATGTCTGTCTTGTCTAAAGCTTGCGATACACTATGGCTGTATGACTTCTCTGCTAGACCAGGGAAAAAGTATGTTTGTTTACAGTAAAGGTTGCTGAAGCGAAACAATTCGATATCAGCTTCTATTGTATAAAAAAGTTATTAGCAGGGTAATGGAGAACTGCCTAAATGGGGAGCTACTGAAGGATCTCGAACAAGCTCCTTACAGCAGTCGCGGTGCCCCGGTATTTAGGTTTCTGTCTACTCGGTTAAACCTGTATAAAAAAGTATTTTTTAAAACATGTTCTTATACAAAGACTTAAGTATCTGCCTACATGAAATCAATAAGAAAATATAACTCATTCAGGAATAGAATGCTACTGTGCTACGCTACCACATTAAGGGAGTGACATCGCAGTAATGCTTTTATGTGAGCGATCATCAATCAATACTGATATTGAACACAAGGCTACCAATATCGTAATCTCACTAAATCTTTCAGGGAAACAATACTGTCTGCGAATTACTAAGTTTATTCAATATTTTAAAACCGACCTTCCTAGCTGTGTACTCGTATAATCCTAACCATGCCGCTTTCAGGACGTTTTTTTCTCTAGTCATGACGCATAACATTAACAAATTACATAACTGTACGAAAATAAACAATGTTTCAGCTCATAAGATTTATTGCAAGAATAACAGATTCCAAGATTGTATATTTTATTAAATACGTACTTGTTCTTCTACACTTGTAGTATTCGTTATTAAATTACGGAATTTCAGAAAACGCGTTATGTTTATGCGTGGGAAATTTTTTGAAAAAGGTAATAGGTATAAAAGAAATTACTTAACATATCATGACGCATGCAGAATAGAAATAAATACGCTCGAAAAAACTACAAGGAAGTAAACAGTTGTCTAAACAAAAATACAGTTTGACTTTGAACATTATTTGCATATATTGATTATTAGACTAGTTTACTTTGCTCACGTGTGAATTACTATTTTTTACACCCATCAGATGATTCATCCAAAATATCGATTTCACATAATTACTTATTTGAGTCTATTGCGATTATTCAATAAAAAGTTTCACGGTATTAAAACAGCTGCAAAAACACATGGATGTTATTAAAAATAAATAAAATATACAAGATGAAGAATGAGTTTTAAGACTTGTGCTGAAAATGTTTTTATTTTTCGCTCTCGCTTTAAAGAAGAAGTAAGTCATAGACTTTTGTTGGTTTGTATGGTTATCCTGTTCATACCCACGGTACTCTAAGATTTCGACACGATAAACTTGAGATGTTTTTAAGTGGTCGACCATTTTCTCAGACGACTAAAAACATATACTAAGTGACATATAAATCCGAACACCCAGTTTAAATGGTTTTATTTTAATAAAAGTTGGTGAATGTATTTATCTTACTGTAAATAACAAGTGAAAAAATGTTCAGCCTTATCAGTTGGACATTCCCGTTTTTATACTGCTTTTTTTAAATTCACTAACGCTCTAAAAATGAATATTTCAGCCGCAGTAAAGAATCAACGTTGGCGGATTTTGGTTCTTGACATCCTTTACGATCGGTTACGATGCCTAGAGTACAGAGACCTGTACGATTTCGTCAACTTAATGAGTTTGATAGGGGCCGTATAGTGGGACTTCGGGAAGCTGGAGTTTCTTTTCGGGCAATTGCAGTTAGAGTGCAAAGAAGTGTAGACACTGTGGTTAGGTGTTGTCAGGCATGGCTTCGAGAAGGCCGTACGCAAAGAGCAAGGGGCACTGGACGCCGCCGTTGAACAACAGACCGTGAAGATCGCCGCCTAAGATTATTGGCCTTAATGGACCGTTTCTCCACTACTAGGTCCATTGCAAATGAATGGTTTGCAGAACACAGAAGACCTATTGTCATGCGAAGTGTTTACCGACGAATGAGAAGTTTTGGCTTGTTTTCATACCGGCCACACTGGGTCCTCCCTTTAACTCGAGAACACCGACGTAATCGCCTTGAGTGGTGCAGACAACGGTCACTCTGGGATCAGGAATGGAACAGTATTGTCTTTAGTGACGAGTCTCGATTTTGTTTAGGCATGCACGATGGTCGTGCCAGGGTTAGAAGGCGACGTGGTGAAAGGAGGAATCCACAGTTTTTTGTTGAAAGACATGTTCATCACACTGTTGGAGTTATGGTTTGGGGTGCTATAGCTTATGGTTCCAGGTCACCTTTAATCTTCATCAGAGGTAACATCAACGCGCAGCGTTATATCCACGAAGTTCTAGAACCCCATCTTTTACCCTATCTTGACACCCTCGCAGATCCAACTTTCCAACAAGATAATGCTCGACCACATGTTGCAAGAGTCACAATAGACTGCTTTCAACATAATGATGTCACATTGTTACCATGGCCACCAAGCTCTCCCGACTTATCTCCAATTGAGCACGTGTGGCATATGATGGGTAGGAGATTGCTCAATTTGCAACGTCCTCCTCAGACTCTAGAAGCTCTTCGAGAGGAGTTGGTGGTTGCCTGGAATGAGATACCACAGGAGGACATTGACCACCTGATCAGAAGCATGCCTAGGCGCGTTGGAGAATGCGTAGCACATCAGGGTGCATCCACAAATTATTAAAGGTCAAAGGGCTTTAAAGCAGTGCAATCATTTTGAAATTTTTATCATTTACTTATTATGCTTCATTAAGTACTTATACAAAATTTTATTAAAATAAAACCATATAAACTGGGTGTTCGGATTTATATGTCAATTAGTATAAAAAGAGGCACATTGCTTTTTAAATGTTCAAGTTTTATCACAAATATCTCAAGTTTGCTTAAAAAATTAAGGATAATACTAATGTACACTAGGAACTATACCGAGTAAATCTTCTGGCTCATTCTTGAATATTGTAAAGGCTGAGCCTGAATACGACTAGGTATCGTATGGCGATAGGGCAATAAGTGATCTCTAGTGTATGTGTATTTGACAGACGCACATTTTAGTTACAGTTGCAGTTGATAACAGTTGCTAACATTTGATAACTGTTGATAACAGTTGATGACAGTTGGCAACAGTTGATAACAGTTGATAAAAGTTGATAACAGTTAATAACAGTCGATAACAGTCGATAACAGTTGATAACAGTTGATAACAGTTGATAACAGTTGATAACAGTTAATAACAGTTGATAACAGTTGATAACAGTTGATAACAGTTGATAACAGTTGATAAAAGTTGATAACAGTCGATAACAGTTGATAGCAGTTAAAAACAGTTTATAACTGTTGACAACAGTTGATAACAGTGGATAACAGTTGATAAAAGTTAATAAGAGATGATAGCAGTTGATAACTGGGGGATGATACCGGCTCTGTCTACTGTTTACAGATACGATTTGAATGATAGGCAAAACTTTAGCAGAAGCACGCCACTCCATGGCATCGAAATGTCATTCAATTTGGAATTTAATTCCCGCAAGTGCAAGTTTATAAAAAAAATTAACTGACACATGGCTGAAGTTGTCAGTCAGACCATGATCAGGCCATAACTTCGATATGAAAGGAGTAAAGCTGTGGCAGCTTAAGAACATACCTAGAACCATTAGTAGTGAAAAAATTATTTAAACATATCAATAACCCTTGGATACTGGATACTCAATTTCAAGCATGAATATGGTCAAAGTAGTATTCAGTGGCGAATTCAGGAATTTGCCTAGGGAGGTGCGTGATGGGGGTCCAAGGATTTATTTTAAGGAAGATTTCCATCCCAGAGAAGAGGGGGACTGCCGATTGAAAATTGAAGGGCGGTGGAGGGTTGCTGTTTAAACAGCACTTCTGATAACTAATGATCCTGTCACAATAGAGAGAATAAAGGGGGAAGAGCGCATGTATCCACGATTCAGGTCTAGCAAGGTAATTTTCATAAGAACAAGACGCGCAACCTTCCGACCGTAGGAAGTTTACCTTGCCCGAAATACTCGTATATGTGATTTCATCTCATCCATGACGCGTCGCACCTCAAAACAATTGCTTTTAATCATACAAATGTAGCAAAAAACATTAACATAAGTCATATAAAACACATCGCACCGTAAACAACAATAAACGAAATGACTCACACGAATATAAAATCTAATCCTCAAAGCATACCTTTATGAGTAGCTCTGATACGAGGCACAAGAAAACATTCATCACTAAAGACCTGTTCGATTTTTAAATATGCTCGACAATAACGAAAAACTTTGTGACTCTAAGGCGCATAGATATGAAATCAGCTACGCAAAGCTTCATGACAAACTCTGAAAATCCGTAAAAATCCATAAGTATCTTATCACTATTTACTAAAACCATGTGCACTGTCCAGTTTTTAAGGCCCCGCGTAAATAACAACAAACGGAATGACCAAAGCGCTTACCTCCATAAGTAGCTGTAAGGATCCCAAAAATGTATACAAAACTAAAGACTATGGCACTATTCACTAAAGCCATGTTCAGTTCTTAAAATTCCATTGGGACATTCTTGTGTACTTACGTTTCGTAGTGCTTTCGCGGCTCGAAGTTTAAACGCGACTGAAGGCGGCATTCCGTGAGGATGTGTAACCGAGCCGTATCTGAATATCCTTTAAGATAATGAGCTTTCACATGGTTGTAGATACGTACAGGCAACCAGTATTACAAGCAGAGGAATTCGAGTAACATAGCTTCCAATCCTTCAACCGCAGACGGCCAACAATGTTTCGTGTTATTTAGCAACTCATCAGCATTGTCTAGGTTTGGTCCGATCAATTGCCAAATAGACCTCACTGGCAGAATTGACGGTATCTGGAGGCCACAGTGCTGTCAAATGGGAAGTGGGATATAGTTACAGCTTGATGTTTTCACATTCGCGATAGTCGATTCTGGTAGTAGATGGCACTCTGTACTGTCTTATTTCTTGAGGAATTCTTGTTGAACGTGCTTGATATGGTTGAACCAATGAACACAGTTACCCGAGTTTGATTGTTACTAAAGCCCTCACTCACGCGAAAGAGCGAATTTCAGATTTCATTCTTAGCAGAATGGCTCAAATTATGCAAAAACTTCTTCAGAAAAAGCTTGAAATTATGTTAAAAGCTTTTCTGCTTTAACTAAAAATTAATAGAAGTGTGAAATATGGGAGATGCAGTCAGTACTAAAGGATGGTAGATCCTTGTTAGGTGTACAGAGTGTTTCAAATTCGATCCTCACCATTGGAAACCATAAGAGATACGAAGCTTGTTAATTGGTTGTAAAGCTAGGCATTTGAGTAACTAAGAACGTGACACTTAGAAATTTTCGCAATTCTGTATTTATGGAGAGGAAAAAACAGAATGCATCCAAAATCATTTTAATTTTTTCCAGAGATGCGGATTTTTAAATTGCCACTATTTCTCTTTTACAAGGCGGGATAATGAAATGACGTTTTGTCCCTAGTCCTCAAGCATCAAACTTATTTTTTTCTTATGGGCGGTATACTGGATGTTTACACAGGCGAAAAGTTTTTAATACTAATTTCAAAAATGTCTACGACAGACAGTGCTTTTCTTTAAGGTCCTCCTCCCCTTTGATCTTTTGAACGGATCAATTCAAAAAATTGAAACTTGAGGTAATGAAATTGATGCGTATGGATACCATATTTTAGAGTAGAATTGACAGATGAAAATTTCAAGATGGCCGCTGGGTACCATCTTGGAAAAAAAAATATTAAAACGGGGGCCTTGTGGCACATCATTTTTAAGCCTCTGACGAGTACTTTATAACCCTAGAATATAAAGTCAATACCTTTACCTACCACTTTTTACCACGCTTAGAGGTAAGAAGTACAGTTTGATGTTTATTCGCATGTCGATAGAATATGCAAATTATACTAGATCTTTGTTAACAGAGTTGACCAGGATTTACCGGCGGTTGATTTAGCTTAGATCGTCAGTCATTACTACAATCGTTGGACGCCTTTATGTCCTCCTTGTTTTCATAGTTTTTCATGTCCTTCAGAAAGGTGGAGGTACTTATAGATTTTTACTGTTTCATATCATTTTTAATTAAATAATAATTAAATAATTTTTAATAATAGCTGCCAAATTTTTGTACTGTGGTAGTGCAGCCATACTTAGGCTTTGCCTTCACGTCCGTGGATGTGTCGTACACGAAACAACTCCGCAATCAGTACAAAATACCCCAAATAACAAAATAATTTGTACAAGGTGATTATTAGACCAGCAATCACTTATGTATGTGCAGCATGGTGTTTCCTCGCAAAACGCATATTCATAGTCTCACGATCTGCAGAGTAGAACCTTGCTTACTATCACTAACGCCCCATGGTATGTCTCCAATGTGACCCTTCACAGAGACCTCGACATTCCTTACCTTAGGAATTACATCAAACAACGGGCGTAGTTACGTTATAGTCAAACGGAATCGCACAGAAAAAGCCCTATGTTGCGTGAGTCAGTAGACTACACAGTTGAACAAGCTCGCAAACACACAAGACTGCGCACTGTGAATACAATTATCATGCAATTCGAGGCCCAAGCAAAATTACAATTTTTCCACATATACAAATTTTTGAATTAACAATTTAAAATTATTGAATACTAGTTAACGATGTCAAGGCACCCCTCCAACATTCACATTTCTTCCTCTCTGCTCCTCGCCTTTCTTCTTCCCTTCTTTCGCCCTGACTTTGTCTGGTATCTGGTCAAACCAGACTTCCTGACCATACTTTAACCAAGAGCAAAGGTCCGCAATGATGGAAAATGACGAATAGAAGAAAACCATTTGTTTGCATGGACGATCTTCGCAATACCTGACTAACCAACTAGGATAACGTTTTGCTGCCATTGCTCTTCAAACAATGAATCTGACCTTAATTAGTTTAAATATGCTCGCTGTTATTGGCATCGACTACCGAGTATGTTACGTTATGGTAATAATCTTTAACATTCACCATAAATTTCAACTGCGATAACTGCTTTTGCAATGCATGGTTTGGATTTTCACGAGTCCATATCGGGGACAGCAAATTTTCAATTCAAGGTGCGCAACGAAATAGTTTAACATTAACAGTCCTTGAAATCGAATAGTGAATACGTTTTGTATCTTTTCTCTAGTTATAAGAGGGTTAGGCTGAGTTCCGTTTGTCCACCGAAGCAGCCGCGCGGGGTGGAGCCTAAATGCCAGAGCACCGCGGCTGCTATGAGGATCACAAGGGAATTTCGTTAATCCGGTTTTTGAACTGCCTAACGGAAAAGCCTCCTGTTGCAGATTGTTCCACAATCTCGACACGCTTGGGACAAAGAAGCGGTCGTATCGGCCAGTACTTATCTATAATGAGGATAATTGTTGAAATCTTTTGGACTATGCTTCCTTGTCCTCTCTGTTAATTTAGAAAGAAGGTCAGTTCCCCTACCTGGTTTATAATGGGTGATTTTTTGCTAGTATCTTTTTGGCAACACTGATTTTGACAGATGACGCGTGAATCGGGTCTTGTGTCATTGTCAAACTTGTTCAGTTTGGTCTATAATTTAACCATGAATCGACTTACGAACGAGCAACGTTTGCAAATTATTGAATTTTACTATCAAAATTCATGCTCGGTTAAGAGAGTACATCGAGCACTGCTTCCAATTTATGGGCAATTTGGTCGGCCTACTGAGGGAGCTATTCGGAAGCTTGTGAATAAATTTCGAACCCAGTTTACATTATTGGACATTAAACCACCAAGACGCAGACGTAGAGTGAGGACTGAAGAAAATATTGCGGCTGTATCCGCCAGTGTTAGTGATAACCGTGAAATGTCGATTCGCCGCCGTTCGCAGCAATTGGGCCTCTGTTACTCCACTACGTGGAAAATTTTGTGACAGGATTTGGGTGTAAAACCTTATAAGATACAGCTGGTGCAAGAATTGAAGCCATACGACCTCCCACAACGTTTCCAATTTGGTGAATGGGCGCCGGAAAAGTTCCACATTTTTATCGAAAAATTGTGTTCAGCGACGAAGCTCATTTATGGTTGAATGGGTACGTTAACAAGCAAAATGGCCGCATCTGGAGTGAAGACCAGCCAGAAGCATTGCAAGAGCTACCAATGCATCCCGAAGAAATCACTGTTTGGTGTGGATTATGGGCCGGTGGCATCATCGGGCCGTACTTCTTCAAAGACGACAATGGCCGGAACGTAACTGTTAATGGCGAGCGCTACCGTGCGATGATAATAAACTTTTTTTTGCCCAAAATGGAAGAGCTGGACTTGGCTGACATGTGGTTTCAACAAGATGGTGCCACATGTCACACAGCACACGAAACAATGGCCCTATTGAGAGGCGAGTTCGGTGAACAGTTTGATGATAATGTAGCGTAAATAAACATCAAGTAGTTATTACAATACCTGCATTACGCTGCTACGGGGTCGAAGATACAATTTGCATCGTTTGAATATCGAAAACAACTCGTGATAGGTTTTTGCATTGATGGACAACTTTGAAATGTTCATGTCAATTAAAAAAACATAGTCGAAGCGATTTACCAGAATCCTATCGACTAGATTATTAGAGGACAAAAGCTGAAAAAATAACATTGTTAGGAATGATAAAAATGCATCCGGTCCAGCATTCAAAGAATGTTCGTATCCAAAATATTTTCAGATAAATACTATCTAAGACCTCGCTCAAACAGCGACTTCCGACGTTGTTGTGCTTCAAATCATTCGCCAGAGATAAGTACCATATTATTAGGAATGGACAATCATGTAAACAAACATGTTTATCAGATTGGTGCCTTCATGGCACTGGCAACATTTCAAGAAGAGAATGCCTGGATCATAAATACAACGATATTTAAAAAAATGTTGTCGATCAGATTGGCTCAGTACTTGGTGCTTAAAAAAAATGATGTCAAGTAGGTTGACTTTGCACTTCCCACGCAACGCCGTTATCGGTTTAAAAGAAATATAAAGTTATAAAACTAGACTCTCTGAGAAAAAAGTCAGTCATAGACATTCTTGCCCTGCCCTACTGGTCGTTCATCTGGAAACGCGCCTCTCCCCGGTACTTAAATTGGTCAGACGTCGCAGCGTGGTCAGAGCATAGGAAACACTATGCTGTGGCGCGGCGGAAATACGTACGCCGCCGCTGCCGGTAGGTTCCCGATCCTTCTGCTGAGAATATTTATATAATGTTTGGAACGAATAAATGTACTAACAAAGCTAAACAATGAGATAAACCATCGCGCAGAGAAGTCTCAGATTTTCAAAAAATCATGATTTCTCTAAACATTTATTTAGGGCCAATTTCACCAACAACCGTCCTTTATGCTCCACCTATAGGGTAACAGATCGTCAGATACAGCGAATGAGCTTCAAGTTCCAATCAACAGATTTTAGCAACCAATAGCTATGAAATGTTGAAAACCAAATACTGTCAAAGTATGAGATGACAATTTGTTATTGAAACATCACCAGCTTATTGAATATCAAGAAATTACATATAATTCAGTCGAAATTTTAAGAAATGTTTGATTTTTGAATAAAATTCATGTCTTAATTACTATTGTTGATTTTTTATTCATGTTTATATTATTTTCTTCAATTGAGATGTGATACTGGGTGTTTTTTTCTATAAACCTCTTGCAGATAGCCATTAAGCAAATACTTGATGACAGGCTCTACCAAAAGATATTGCTCGTTTCCAAACATTCATTCATTTACTTGCCGTTCATCAGAACCATTATGGCACCTTAGATTGATATTCCCACAAAACCATTCAGGTTTTTTGATATCCATACATCCATAAAGTTGAATATTTTTCGTTATTCAGGAACTGAACAAACATCCACACTATATTCACAGCGATTAAGTAATTTCCAAATATATGCGTTAAAGCTACCAACAAAAATAAAACCTGCAAAAAAAACTACAAATTTGCCATATTTTTCTTTTTTCACGAGTACACATTCTAGGTTATATTTACATTAGGCATTATTTGAATACAGCTGATTATTGCATTTCAAAAATTGATTTAGACTACTATCAAAAATAATGGAACAATTAAAAAACATCATAACTGTTCTTTGCTGATAAAGTCATTCCTGAACCGATATTGAAAACATATAAAGCAGTCTCCTTCTTAGCAGTCTCCATGCGAATGAAGAAGATACCCAAGAATTCATTTCCCAAATTATTATAATAATCCGGATTATAAAGACTAATCCAGCAGATAATCCACAATTAGAAAACACTTAATCTGACGCAACTAAGAAGGATCTCGAACAAATTCACGAATAACTAAAAGCTTTGCATATACGTACAACGTTACACTGGCATATACGTAACACCTAGGAGGTGCAGAACCCATCGATAGCGAGAGTGAAAAGTGAAGGTGGTGGATGCCAAAGACGAAAGAAGAAAGAGTCGTCAACAGCAGAGCAGAGTGAATATACAAACCGCAATCGGACTCCACAGTGCGGTACGCGACTTCAACCCAAACGCAGCAATGTCCGCCTGCGAAGACTTTCACTGATCGCGACCGCGGCTTCGAGAAAATAAGAAATCAACCGGCGCCGAATCAAGTGTGCTTCGGAAATGGTCAACCGTGTGTATGTCATCGCCAGGCGAGAAAGTGCCGTCTTCATATGTTGCTATTTGCTGTTGGCCCTTTGTATAGCCGGTAGGTGCTTTGGTAGTCCAGCGATAGGGCCCTGTGGAACACCAAATTGGTGGTACCATTTTTTGGTTAATTGTATTGACTTGTACTCTAAAGGTCCCATATCAGAGCCCTGTGGAACACCAACACTTCTATCTACACTGTATCAAATAACGTCCAGGAAATATGGGGAGATTAATCAGTAGTGTTTCTGTTAAAATTGTGTTATCTATAAGAATGCATTTTGAACCAATGGAGTTGAATCTTGAAATTCTATAACATTGGGACTCGGTATGAGGTTCAGAAAGATAAGTTTTTGAAGCAACTGCCTATCCGTAAAACATGCTATTATCTCTTACCTACACCCCACAACAGAACTGCTTTACAAATGTACATAGTGAAGACGATCTCATGGTCTTAGTCTTCAGACATTTCACAACTGGTGTTCTTAAGGAAGCTCCATTTTGGTATAATTGTTAATCGAATTGAAAGCTTGATCGCAAGCTACATGAAATTCATATAATATAATAATATTTTGTCGTCACTTCTATGCCTCATCATGGTACCAAATGTGAAACTCACAAAGAAATCTTACAAATGCTTCCTCACGCTCTTTGATTCATGAAGGAAGCCAAAACAAGTCTTTTTAATGCTCTGTTAACCTATTCTCCAATAGTTTTTATCTTTGTTACTGCAGGTATTTACGCACAAAAGTCAAAGGAAAGGAAAAAACCAGAATCAGTAAACGAGCTATTCAACACCAGCTCCTGCATCCCCAAGCCATATAGATGTCCTCATCGACAGATTCAGTTCTTTCTGTATACTAGGTAAGTTTTCCATCTACTTTTGGCAATGTTGGATATGTGTATTTCCCTTTCCATTTTATTATGGAAGTGTTTCAACCAAATAGTTAACCTTTGCAACAGCTTGTCATCAGTTTTAATTAACACTGGCTAGGCAACCACAAACATCGTTGAACAATATATTTCTTTGATGATGTTAGATCTGTAATCCTCAATTCTTAACGGTGATGATAAAGCCAAACAGACATCGCATTATAATGGACTCAATAAAGTTATAATATAGAAACCAGTATCAGAGATAAATTTGAATATAATATGCTATTATTCTTTTAGCGCTATACGTAACCAACCTTTTGTCCGCGATATATAATATTATTAAGAAAAGCTGCAATTGGTACAGTTATGTGGAAACGATCATGTAATGTCCAATAACATAAACAAACAAAACAATACAATAACGTAGGAAATGAGTAGTTCTTCGTAAGATATTATGTACTGGAGCCACCCCAAAACAATAGAGAAGGTAGTGATACGATCCGGTAGAATTTTTTGTTCTTATGGATAAGATAAATGATCAGTCTCTAAGCAAGTACGTAACGATCCACCATGCTCCAAATCCCTACACAAAGATGTGTCAGATTATAGAGTTGCTATCTTAGCTGATATTGTCCAGTCGCAATGCCACTAGCAAGGCGATATTTTCTAACAAATAAGAAGCCACACGTTTTCAAAAGCTTTGCGGGTATGCTTTTCCAATTTAGTTGTCATGGTTCCGATGCACGACAGGTAAAATATAGAGGGACTCCGGTCCCGGAATTCTGGTTTCCCGTTTTGAAGAAATTTCTGCAGTAATTTTCGGGTGAATTTGCGAATTTTGCCCAAAACAGTTGGCCGTCATTTCAATATCATTTTTCCTTCAAACAAAAGTGAGTCTCTCGCCTTGAGTAAAAATATGACATCTCGGTTTCCTTTTACACTGTCACTCAAATGTGTACCCGCCTATATAGGATTATGAAACAAAGCCAATACCAGAAGGTATATCCAAAAGTACCAAAGAAGGTTTCTATAAATATATGTCCTGAAATGTCCCATTACCAGGACACACAGTGCTGTAAATCTCAATACTGAATAAGAACAAGACATCGATCCTGTTGGTGAGACAGGATTACTCTTTTAATAAAGGTTTTATACGTATTGTATCCAAAATATTCAAACCAATGTTGCTCCAAAAGGAAAACTCTGTAAAAAATTTTCAAGTAAGACAATTCACGTAAAATCTAGTACCTTATTTCAGAGTATGCTCCAAAAAAAAAAACAGTGGTGTAGAAAATAATTTTCTTTCTTCTTTTTCAGGGGTCAAATTTTCTATGCGTCTGGTGTCAGGTACTGATTTATTATATGCATTAGTTACACTGCTAGTACTACATGTTTAAAATTATTTTAAGCCAATACAATAACTCGCCGCGAATACTCTTTTTTTTATAGATTATGGTATTATAACTTTAACACCCTGTATCTTGGCAAGACAGCTTTTCAGGACCCACATTTATGGGATTTTCTCGTGTTATTTTTTTATGTACTTCAGGCTCAATAAATGCTGCTTTCTGAATCACTCAGTAAAATTCCTTACATTATTGGCATTGATTAGATTTTTCTCATTTGCGTCTGGCGTGCCTAGATACACGTTTTTTGTGTCGCCTAGGGCAGTATTAATCTAAAACACTAATCATGTCCTCGACTAGACTTAGAATGAAAAGTGCAATATCCCGAGCAGTATGCAAAAGTTATCAGGTAGTTACTAGTCAGAGCAAATGTCTTGGTTAGGCCTTTCTCCTTTTGTCCAGCAAGACGGTCAAGGTAAAGGACTATTATTAAAACGTCCAGTTATGCGTTACATTTTTGAATTAATTAGGTTTTTTCTGATACGTAGAATCGTGGGATTAACCACATATTTTTCTCGTGCGGTTGTATACAGGGAAGCCCAGTGAATTGGGATACATCCATGTGAAATTGTTAGATCATGAGTCGCAATGTATCACAAATTATGATCACCTCTTTGTTGTCAAAATTCAATCAAAGTGTTACAACGTGGTGTTACTTTTTCTGTTGAACATACAGGATGATAACTAAAATATGTTAGGTTCTTGATCAACTGAAACATCAAAAAATGCAGTTTCATGCTCTGTGTTTGCTTTGCTTGGTTTGAAAGCAGTGTAGATTGTAACAAGAGAGATGTAGATTCCATCTCAGAGACCGAAAAAACGTATTATAAGGCATGATCAAGTTCCCGACTGCCCCATTTTGTACCTTTTTGGTAAAGCTTCCTCTATACATGGTAATTATACATTAAAATGCTTATAATATGATTCAACTGACTTTTATTCTAGGTGTTTTGGGTCGCTAAAAAAGAATCAGAAGTTTATCTGATTCCGCTTAACATGTAGGTCTCACTATTTAGCGAAAACTGGATACTAACTATGCATTTTTTGCGGCTTTAAGGTGACTACATGTGAGCGTAGCCCTGTACAATAAGGTTGAATTGGGTTGAAAAATTGGCAGAAAACTATTTAGCCGAAGCTACTCGTGAATCCTGTGTTGTTAAAATAACAGTGATATAGAAAATTATGATAGACATTTTCAAAATTGATGAACACACAGGACAAAATGAGAGGGAAGAACGAAGCTATAACTTACGAGTATAAAACATCCTCTATTCAGTCACTGGATTAGCAGAGGTTCGTTTCGTGCTGCAAAATTTCGTTTAAATGTCTACCTATCAAATTTTTTATCGTTTTTCAAATCTAAGAAGAGCAGAGGTTAACAAATTTCCTCAGAGAGGATCAAATCTCAAAAAATCCTGAATATTGTAAGCAAGACAAATCTAAATATGTAAGTTATAAGCGACCACAGGATTTTGAGGGGCGGTATTCTGCCTCTCCTTGCGGGTGCTCGTTGTCTCGGGATCCTTAAAAACCCCTTTTTCTGACTTTAGTTAAGCTTTTTGAATATTTTAGATGGGGTAATGGGTATAAATCTCATACCACATATCCGTATTCAATGCAATGTTATACTTAGCTTGCGTTTCATAAAAAGGTAATTTATCGCTAACGAATAGTTGTGTGGTCAAATAATGGGTGATTCATTTATAGGTACTTTTTTCAGCAACAAAATAAAACAACAAAATTCTTTTTTCTTGTCAAATCTTTTTCATTAAAGAGAAGAACTATTTTTTACATTTATTTTTTAAGTATTATTTCATTCAAATGTTGGCCCTGACTGCGGTTGAGATGGTCCATTCTAAAGTTCCAATTTTCGATGACACGTTGGAGCATTTCGACTGGAATTTGGCGAATGACCTGCGTAATGTTGGCTTCTAATTCCTCAATCGTATTGGGCTTATCAATGTAGACTTTGGACTTAACGTAGCCCCAAAAGGAAAAAGTCTAGAGGTGTGATATCACATGATCTAGGTGGCCAATTCACTGGTCCAAATCGTGATATCAAGTGTTCATCGAAATGTTCTCGCAATAAAGCCATGGTTGCACGGGCTGTGTGGCAAGTGGCGCCGTCTTGTTGGAACCAAATGTCATCGAGCGAGATTACGGACTTCAATTTCAGGCAGCAAATAATCCGTTATCATGGCGCGGTAACGAGCACAATTCACAGTTACGTTCTGACCGGCCTCATTTTTAAAAAATAGGGACCAATGATTCCACCGACCCATAAACCACACCAAACCGTTGTTTTCGCTGGATGTAATGGCACCTCTTGAACCACTTCGGGTTGTTCTTCCCCCAAATACGACAGTTTTGTTTATTAACGTAGCCGTAGCCAAAAATGGGCCTCATCGCTAAACAAAATTTTGCTCGAACACATCGGATCTTCTTCGAGCCGTGCAAGAGCCCAAAGACTGAGACGATGACGCTTTGGCTTCAATTCTTGAACGAGTTGAATTTTGTATGGTTTCCAATTAAGATTCTTACGTAAAATACGCCAAGTTGTTGAATACGACAAGCCAAGCTGTTGAGAACGACGCCGAATCGATTCTTCACGGTCCTCACGTATACTCTCAGCTACCGCAGCTATATTTTCTTCACTGCGTCCTGGATGTGGTCTATTTGGTCGGGTATTATCCAATAATGAAAATTGGGTATCAAATTTTTCGACCGTACGGCGAATTGTGGGTTCGGTGGGCCGATTATATACACCATAAGTTGCTCTAAGCGCACGAAACACACTTCTCGCAGAACGTTGATTTTCGTAGTACAGCTGAATTATTTGTAGACGCTGTGCTGAACTAAGTCTTTCCATGATGAAATGTCGAATAATACTGAAACAGAAAATGTCAAATTAGTTGTCATGACGAATGCGCCATAAGCAATTACGGCCACACCAAAAAGTACCTCTAAATGAATCACCCGTTATAAGGAACTGCTTACATTTCGATAAAGAGTCATTACATATGCATGTTCCTAAATTACAAAACACTAGATTCGTCTATATAATGAAATTGGTTCACTTATGTTTTGTTCGCACAGTAGTCTGTAACTTGTCGGCGATTGTAGTCTAAGATCTCGCCATATGATTATCATTTATTCTGCTACGCTATATAAACGGAAGTCATATATGGCTATGGCCGAATCTTAGACTTCAGTCACCGACAACAATACGAACAAACCATTAGTTATTTGATTGAAATTTTATTAGAATAACATGTTTCAGGTTTTAGCTGCTCAAACTTCATGCCTTATCCTACCATCCGCTACGATCCCTTTTCAAGTTAATGGAAAAAACTAATAAGAGGAAATCGAGTTATTTTAGAGTGGCTAAACCGATTAATACCTTTTGAAATAAGAAGAAACTTTTCAATCCAACCTGAATATTACCCAGACAGCTGATCATAGTTGTCCACAAATAAAGCTGCACATCCCTAAAATCTAATGTTTCCCGAGCCACCCTGTATATGTAAAGATTAACATGTGTGTATGTTTGAATGTACCCATGTAACCGCTTGTAGACACTACTAATAGGTATCGGAAAAGTATTGACCCGATTTCTAAAAAGGAAAAAACGTCGCTTACATGAAATTAAGATGACGACATAAATTTATTATGGAAATTTTTATGTGCATAGACTTTTTAAGCATATATCGTAACTTAATTGAATGGTCTGAAAATGTTTACTTATACGATACGAAATGCAATTTTGTAGAAAAACTATAGAAATAGTAGATATTTCCAAAACGATGTTCACAAAATTGTGATTTTAATGAGCGGGTACTTCACTGGTTCTTGACTGTCCGCGCTTGTAACGAGCAATAACGCGAGCCTCAATATTAGGTCTGCTGGGAAATTCTGTCAGTTTTCAAGTTATAATACCTTAATGGTAATATGTATATTCAACTTTTATAAGATATCTTACCTCTAGGCGCGAGAAGTCGACCCAACGCTTGTTGGATATCGTTTTCGCTTTTGATTCTAAGTGAACTCCGACCGATGAAATTAATTACGATTTCGCCTTGCCGTCATACATTTGACCAGGATATGATAATTTTGACTCCTGACTCTAGTGACTTTCTATATTCACACGCCGTATCCAGAAAAAAACTTTCGGGAGCGGGGGTAGTCCGAGTGCTAATCCGGCCTTTTGTGAGGGGGTGGGGTGGGGGCACTTAGTCACACTGTATACAGTCGCCCCCCTACTTAGTTTTAAGAAATTTTTCTACACACTTCTGTAGCATTTCTTTCTTGTTGAAAAGAAAAAAAACTTAAATACGGACGCGTTGTGAATCATTCAAATCATAGATCTGTTAGCCATTCCAGAAATGGAATTACTATTAAAATGTCTAAGTATAAGGCCAGCTTCAGCTAGTTCCTTTCCACGAAAGGTTTAAGCCGTTTGCGAGAACGGAAATTGAAATTTTATTAATTATTATTGGCAACGGTGCTTTTGACCGAAATGCCTCGTCATATGCATAAAAACAACTGTAAATCATTACGGGCATTAAAGTTTGTCGGTATGTCGAAAACAATAACTATTTATATGCGAATTATTGCGACAAGACAGCGATACTTGGGTCAAGCGGGGAAAGTATCGGGCAGTTGAATAGAAATGATGGCTCAATCTATAATTATTTAGGTGCATTCGAGTATTAGAAACATGAAGCATAATATACATATGTGTATGTTCTGCATGTGCGCCAAATTATTACTGCTATTGTTATTCTACACATGTTGAAGTTATTTTATGTTCATAATGATGTGATGTTGCCGAAAACGTCCCTGAGAAAAAGGGGCTAAAGTTTTTGAAACTCAATCTATCTTGTTAATACCACTGTAGCACACATGTTTACGGATGAAATGAAAATGATGAACAGTTAGTTTCAGCCAGGAGTTTGTCACCAGCAAGGACTGTCAAGGAAGACTATTGTAACTCACTTTTGGTTGAAATGAGATATAGGCATTAGAAAATTTTCTGATGAATTTCGTTGTTACAAAAATATGTTGCACATTGCAGTAATTCTTGTATATAGAATGGCATTACAATACAAACCTAGCGAAAATGACAATTCCTTTTCATAAATTTTGTTGACTTACTATAGTTTTCGTTGGATCACTTAAAGAAAAAAGTACACTTGCTCTAGACTTGGTAGGATATTTATTGAAATATTACAACATTTTTCCAATAAATAGTCGAAAAAAACTCTTTGTTATCAATCTGATTTTCACTCAGGTTATATTCATCCTCGTGTTCTCCACTTTCATTGTTCTTAACTTCTGCATTTTCAGCTCCGTTAATATTATGCCCTCCTTGTATTTTTTTATCTTCATTGGCTTTTAGTGAAAAATGAAAAGCAGGTAAGCCTCAGGAATGCTAGGAAGACTGTTTGCTTTTGATTTAGTTAGGTCTAATAAGCATCTATTGGAAGCAAGCTTGTGTACAGCAAAGATAGTTAGCGTATTGTTTTGCGGTCTCATTCTCTGATAAATAATCAATGTTACTAACGTGAGATCATCAGCATAGTCACACTTATATTTCATTTCGCCAGGCACTTATCTTATTCATTTTCACCTTTTCTCCACAATCGTCTTTGTTCCAATTTTCCGACTTTACCTTTTATTTAAAACTAGTGGATCCATGACTAACTGCAGACAAGGCTCTTTAGCCCTCAGCAGTACGATACAGGGCTGTAATATAGGTCTGTATCAGGTCTTTACTTGGAGATTAACTTATTAAAAACTGACGACTGACGCTTTATCTAAACAATTGTTCTGACCTTCAAATATGCAACCATCGCATCAGAAAACTAAACCACTATTCGTAAGAGTATATTTTTTACGAAACTTTTTAAACTTATGACGTTATTTTTATGTAGACGTACTCAAGAGAATCCTGAAGTTCTAGACACAACCAAAGATGAGTCGCTGTACCAGAGCAGGTTCAACAGAGCCTATCCGACAAAAATCGTCATCCATGGATTTGGAGGCGGCAGAATGTATTCTCCTAGCACTGATATGAGGGATGCGTACTTCTACAGGGGTAACTACAATATTATCATTGTGGATTATGGGACACTCGTGAAAGAACCATGTCTAAAGGTAGGATGTTCGAAAGTATGTCGGGATATTAAAAAAAAATTACAACAATTTACGACAGGGTGAATTGAAATCACGTACGGAATTGTATATTCAACTATGAATGACTGTTTCCAGAAGCTAAGCACAGTTAAGTATATGAGAACGGTCCCCAGTTTTCTACACATACGAGGGATGTCCTTTAAGTTTTGCATATCGAAACATAGTAGGCCGCGCGGATCGAAAGTCAGTACTGAATCTTAACCTCACTCTTTAGTAAACTTAAATTCAAAATTTCACAACAATGCAGTGTTCTCACTATAGTGTCACCAAGACATTAGAAAAATGGAACTCAACCGAGAAAATTTTTGCGCCATAATTTATTACAACTTTCAGAGACAATTATCGCAACAAGAATGCCTTGCTGAGTTACTGTCTGTTTTCGGCAACGAAGCGCCACATCAGTCGACAATTTCCCGTTGGTATGGAGAACTCACACGTGGATGGGTGGGTCTTAGCGACGATCCCAGGGTGGGTGCTCCAAAAACGGCAGTCACCCAGAAAAACGTCGATGCTATGCGCAAACTCATCATTGAAGATAGACATATCGCGAGATTGAGGCGACAATGCAAGCTGGCACACAGCCCAAAAAATAAGGCAGTATTTAACGGAAGAAAACGTGGAATTATTGGACCATCCTCCATATAGTACCGATCTAAGTCCTAACGATTTCTTTACTTTCCCGAAAATTAAAAACAGACTGCGTGGTCAAAGGTTCCAGTCACCAGAAGAAACAGTTGACGCATTCAAAAATGCCGTTTTGGATCTGCCAGCAAACGAGTGGAGTAAGTGCTTCGAAAATTGGTTTGGGCGCATGCAGATGTGTTAATCTTCGTGGAGAATACTTCGAAAAACAATAAAGTCATTTAAAACTACCTACCGTGTTGTTTTATTTCCATATGCAAAAGTTAAAAGACATCCCTCATAGTCAGTTTATTTTTGAGTTTTTTAGAGGCAAGTATAATTTCTTGTTCAGAGATTTGAAATAAGTAGTTTATTCCATAATGGTTACACAAAATATCATCATTTACCCTACAACCTTCTGAAATAGTTGGACCATAAACAAAACAGAAAAAGACATGTGGCCGTCACGAAAAAGTTGTTTGTAGATACGAAGCTTATGCGTCAGCTGAATCAGAGGCTGTGGCTAGTATTTGTAGATATTAATTATTTTTTTTCTAATCTGGTTTGTTAAAAATAGCAATGCATTAGTCATGAGTAATGGAAACATACACGTCTTAAGGTGAGGCTAGCCAACTTAACTGTAAACATTTCTTATCAAATTATAAGCCCGCAACATGTGTCGCATCTGAGGGTCTGCAACATGTTGTAGCATTTAATCAAGCTGCAGAGATATGTTGCGCAACTTGTTTAACTGGAATCGTCCTTTTACGGTTGTGATCAGATACACCAACTTCACTGTATAATTTCTTATGAAATACTAATTTATATCCACCATTGCCTGTAGAAACGCAACGGCACATGTTATTTGGATCATAATACCAGATTTGCAGTTCTCAATAATTTTAATTTATACTCTACAATTTCTGTTCAATATCAGAAGTAACAGCAGTTTGGAATTGTCTGGTTGCTTGTGTGTTAAATATTGCATAACGCGTAGCGCGTGTTCATATGCTCTAGATTCATGAGGTAATCAGGCTTGTGAATACATTTCAGTTTTTAATTTATCTCTTGAGGAAATATTCATTTGGATCACTATCCAAAATGACGTATATAAACAGTACATTAAGTGCAAGAAATGTTGTTTGTTGTTCATATAATTTCGAAAAGCAAATTAAACAAACTATGTTTGATGCTCAAATCTTTAACCCCCAGTTCAGCGATATTTCTGCATATTGTATAAATCGTTTATAGTTGTTTCTTCCTTTTTGAACACTCCTGATACGTTCTATTTAAAATGTACTTTTTGTTTAAATTTTTAAAGAATATTTTGTTAAAATTGTTTACAATATTCTATTTTCAAGGGTTAGGTGGTGGAATAGCTTGTAATAAAACGCCTGAAATAAAAATCGTTTATTATTATTATTATTATTATTATTTTTTAGCAAATGGAATGGGCACCCAGGTTCTGCGCAAAGTGCATAGCCCAGTTGATCCGCTACTTGACCCAACATCCAAGAGGTCTTCGAGCAGATGACCTTCACCTTATTGGGTACAGTGTAGGTTCCCACATCGCAGGATTAGTCGCCAATTATTTGGATCCTTTGAAGGACGGCAAGTTGGGAAGAATCACTGGTAAGTTTTCTAAATAAGTGGTCTCAGTAGTACAGCTCGAAATAAAACAATGCGGCCCAACGTAAAACGGTGCAGCGTTTTTAGGCTGAATATCACTAGTTATGGCATAACTTTTGTCAGTTTGACAGCAGCCATCACCTGGCTGTCAGCTTTTACACAGGGTGTTCCTTAATGATATGCGAATATTTAAGGAAGTGAATCTACATGGAAAATTAATGTTAGTTTGCTTTATAAACTATGATCCAAAAATGTTTCCTTACAAAAACTCGGGGTGTTGAAGTTTTAGGAATAAATGGAAATTAATTAATAATTTCCATAACCGCTTCAGATATTTCTTTGATATTTGGTATGTAGTGAAACTCAATAAAGTTGCATATTTTTCATTGCAAAAACAATTTTTAGCTTTAACAGTGGCGTGCGTACGGGTACTGACTTCGATGTTTTTCAAGAAAAAAATGCTACGCCAATGGTTTTTTGCCAAATAAAAATTATTTTTGAATTCCCCGTTCAATTTAAAATAAATGAACTCTGGTGAATTGTTTTACTTCGATGCGTCATTTTTGAGCAAAAAAATAAAAACCGTTCTATTGTCCGAGAAAATATAATAATTGAAGAATGTAATTTAGCAATAAATATCTAGTTGCTCTGGAATATGACACTGGCTTTTAACATCTGACAAGTATCTGTTATTCAAATCTGTTCGCTGTTGATTGATGTTGCGAACTGTCAAAACTGCTGGAACGCACTACGTTGGCTGAACGTTCTCGTTCCGTACGCACATTAATAATTGACCTGAAAAATACATTGTTATCCTGAAGGATATGATATTTACAGAAAATTAGCGAGCACTTATTATATACATTTATATGAATAACGTGAAGTTTCCTATTATTTTTGAATTATACTTAAATCGCACCAAGATAAGAATGATTTGATAGCTTCAAATAAACGAGAAGCTAAATCATCCGATCATTTTATGAAATAAGAAATATCCGTTGTTGTGCTTGATATGAAGTTCCACGCCACAAGTTCAACGTTTCTATAACGCCCATAATTAGTGGCAATATTAGAATATTATCAGGACCCAAGTAAACTGTGAATTGGTGCTCATCTTAGAAAATCAGTAAGCCGAGAAGGCCTAAAGTAATAAGCACGTGTTTATCAAGTCCATCTAAGAAGTCTTAGAATTACGAACTTACTCAATTAAAAAAAGGGTAGAAATATCATATTAGTAAAATACCACGTGTCGATGTGAAAAAGACCTACATTATGTTATTTCAACTATACAGCAAGTTCTTTTTAAACATGTACATTAATTATGAAGAAGGCTATGAAAACTTCGAACTATTCCTATTTACATGCGACAGCAATTAAGTATCAACTTTCTATACGTATCAACAAAAAAGTGAAATTTGGTATACCGAATGTATCGGTCAATGTGTGAATAAAATATTTAAATTATCACTTGCATTATGAATGTCAATGTTGACCGTTTCATTTTTACGTAATCGAAGAAGAAATATTATTCAATTTTTCAATATATCAGGAAAAAACCGTGATGTCACACGACGCACTTCTTTTCCTGAGGATACAGAAGTGATCAAACATAATAGGCTAATTTGAATAATGTGTAATATATATCGGACTTTCACTGCTGGTGTTTTATTGTTTATCTTAACAATGCTTGGGACAACTTAATAATGTGAAATAAATAGGTGAAAATTGCACAGTTGTGTAACTTGTGTTTTCCCATCAGGAAGCTCGTATGACATTATTATCAGGAAATGCTTTTCGACCCATTTCATCGCTACTTAAAAGTAAATGCATTAAAAAATATTAATGGACTGTCTTTTCCGTGCTGTATTCCATAATGGTGTTGTATTTAGAGCCTGCGAGACCAACTCTCTAGGCTAATCCTAATCCAGGTCGCTCGAGGTCTAGTATAATCACTCACTGATTCCCAGTTCCAGTGATGTTAAAGCTTTCAAAATGCCTGCGTAAAAAGTTTTCTTTCCTCTTTTTAACAGTCGCGATACTCCAATACATGGGCTTTGCGTTCGTGCCTTTGAGTGCAAAAATGTATTATGAATTCATATCTTATTATTGTAAGTCAAAACAATCACCATTCAAATTCGCGCGTTCTTATTGGTCAGCGGGACATAAATGCTTGGACAGGCACAAACAAGCGAAAAGGAATGACGATCGAGGGATTGACTGACCGATTAGGATCTATCAAATTTTTTAAACAAATGCAGAATTGTTTACTTGCCGATACTTGCAGGTTTGGACCCCACGATCTTCTTCTATATGGGGTCAAATTCCTCCAGGGACTTGGATCCAACAGATGCTCACTTTGTTGACGTTCTCCATACGGGGGCAGGCATTTTGGGTCAATGGGGCCCCAGCGGACATGCGGATTTCTACATAAACGGAGGGTCCAGTCAGCCTGGGTGTAGTAGTGAAACTGTTTTCAGTAAGTTTAAGATCGATCATACAGGGTGTGTCTATCACCCCAGGTCCCTATAACAATTTTTAGCCCAACGGAATTAATTATGTAATTTTTTTTAGTAAAAACTAGAAAATGTAATACACAAAGTGAAATAAAAAAAAATAAAGAGTGTGTCCACCTAGTGATTAATTTATCTTAATGGGTGATGTTGTACCAATCTTACAAAATCAACATTACTTGCCAGCAGTATGTTTTTTTTTATTTATAAACTCACAAAGGGTTACAAAGAAGAACAAAAAAATGTATGTCTCAATTTTGAATTTCTGTAAAAAAAATAAGAGCGTTCACGTTATTAGAATTCTTTTAACAATTTCTTGCCGAATCGTACCAAACGCCTCTTCTATTCTTCGGATCAACTCCTCTCGTGTTCCAACTTCTGGCGCGTAGACGAATGCATTTGCACGCCCCCAGATGTAAAAATTCAATGGAGTTAGGTCTGGCGAGCGTGCAGGCCATGGAATACAACCATCTCGTCCAATCCACGCATTTGGAGTTTTTACTAAAAAAAATTAAAAAATCTACATAATTAATGCCGTTGGGCTAAAATCTGTTTGAGGGACCTGGGGTGATAGAAAAAGACCTACCATGTCCGTCGTTTCAATTTGACAAACGATACACCAAACACCCTGTATATTTCTTGAATTACAATTCAGAATCGCTGAACAATATTCATCCTTTCTGTCAGAAATGCCAGCAACAATTTTTTGAGCAGGAGAAGTCTAACATTCCAGATCCGAAATCCGGCCGTGCTAAATTTTCACACATCTTGAAAAATAGCTCAGTTAAATTAGAATAAGTTATAAAACCAACGTCTTCCAAAAATGTTCAATTTTCAATTTAAGCTCGTACTATAAATTTCATCACCTTGAAAATTTGGATAACTTGACAATTCTAACTAAGCTGCAGTAACTCATTGATTGTTTTCTAGAAACCTTGGCTTGTGATCATACCAGAGTAACGCCGTTCTTCATAGAATCGATAGTGACCAAGAAAGGATTTTGGGCATATCCTTGTCCCACACTTCTTAGCTTCATGATCGGCTGGTGTAAACCTGAAGACCATGAGTATGTTCTTATGGGCGAACATATCAACCGAAAGTGAGTTTTTGCTATATTACGAAGAATGCTTTCAGTAGAACTTTTTCATGCACTGTACCTGATCATATCGATATTATCATTTCCAATAACCCTGCGGGGACATTCCAATGGAAAATTACGTGCTCCGATTCTGGTAACAGATGACATTTTAAGCTGTCTTATTTTGATAAACTTCATACTGTGGATAGAGGATAGATATCCAGCTTTTGTTCGTTGTTTTACCTGAGACCAAGCCTACAGTATGCTGATGAATTGCCAAATAACCCAAAATAGCATTCCTTAAGTCAGACCTGTACAAGACAGATTCATCGTTAATTTTTTTTATTTAGCTTTTTACCATTTTATATTCTTATTTCATTCAAAATAAATTTAGCTCATACTCTTTGAATTTCAGAGCAAAAGGCATCTACTACGTCAGAACTAACCCAGACCCGCCTTTTGCCCAAGGCCCTCCAGAGCATCTGAAAAGAAAAGCTTTGCAGTATCTGAAAAGGAAGAGATCAAATAACCGATCGAACTAGTGCTTGCATATATAGTCCGGTCAAACTAACACGTTTTTTTTTCTTGAAAACATAATAGTAGATACCTTGTCGTTCTAGTGCAAAGGTAACTTCATTGTTGCTTGACCGGACTGTTCCTGTGATAGTAATTGTTAGTGGAGGAAGAAGTTTATATCATTTGACCTAGTATAGCCATTTGTTACCAAAAAATGCCAGCCATCACTGTGTCCTTGCGATTTTATTGTAAATAGAGAATTTTATTTTTATACTAGAATATGCTTCTTATTGTACTGTACCTTTAGTATATGGTGTATCAGGTAAATCATTTGTTTCTTTGAGATCCAAAGAACTTAGTATATGTTAGAAGAGGTAACGGATAACTGGTCAAAATCGCCAAGACTTACTTGTACATATCGCTATTTTTGTAGAATTGCAGACTAACAAATATTTCCTCGGTATATCATAGTAAGCAATTATACAAGATTATTCTTATTTGAATGACTTTTGCAGCTGCATCATTATAAGGCTAATATTTAAGGCCAAATGGATCTATTATGATCCCCCTTCGTTTTTGCTCTAATTGACTGTTCCACCATTCTAGGGACTTTAGTACTGTTTGGTATATATTTTTGCCATACCAGGAAAGGCTCTGGACTCTCTTGCATATCTCGAGTTTCCAAAATGGCCAGTATAGTAGCACGCCTATCTGCACTTTTTCAAGAAAAAATAACCTTTTGCCGCACCTATAGACTTAAAGAATGAAATGCAAATGAAAATGTTATCTATTCACAAAAATTGTATTTTCGGATAATTATGCCTCCTCCTTGAGTTAAGGAACAGACACTGATATCCTTTGCAACTAGGTCGTTGCATCTTATGGGCATTGCTCTACGTACTATTTCGAAATTTTAGGAAGCATTTGAAACCTGTTTAAAGTTACCAACGATAACGTCATTTCATCTGTTGTAATGGTTTCGTTTAAGACGTAGAGATATGCGGCTACTCAAACTGCTGTACATTAACCATAATTGCATCAGTGAAAGTTACGGCATATTACATGTGTATCATAGGTAATTTATGTCATAATTTGTAGGTATTTATTTTTTAAAATTAATTGGAAGGTAGAAGAGTGTAAAAATGTATTAACGACTGAAACTAGTAAGTAAGAGCAAATATAGCTTTTTATTAATTAGTGTTTCGTTTCCTGTACAACTTGCTTTCCTTTATAGCCGAGTTCATTGCGTTGAGAAGAGGATAACGATTTCCAAATTGGCCCCCAAAGTCGTCGTTTTCCATGGACCATATCATCACGCCTTTGAGTCCTTTTGCGATAGCCCAGTGTGTCTGGAAAAGAAATCAGTAAGGACTTTGATTGCCCAAACAAAAAAAGTAATAGTATTATTTGACTAATTACTCTGAGGGAGTAGTCGATGTTGTCTTGATGCATCAGGTACACTTGAGTGAAATTAAAATAGACATATACACTAAGTTGAAAAATATCTCTAGATTTTCTAATTTAGAATGTACTTTAGTTTCGACAATTTGACAGACCAATACTCAAATTACTGCTTCAAAAGATGAAATGTGGTCAAAAATACTACATATTATATCCAGAGATGAGTTTGTAAATTACTTGGTAATGTAACACCCTACTCAGTTATGTAATGTAGATTGACACTTGAAATTTTAATCTGCAATTCCGTGTAACTTCATTTTTAGAACGTCTAAATTATTAGAATCATGTAGTGACACGACGAAATTTTATTGCAAGAAACGCTATGGATACGAGATAGCCCATTTATTGTGAAAAATATTTTGCCAATTTTGAGCACTTTTTGATAATCAAATAAAGTAAACAAACAACTAACCATGAGAATGACAAGTGTCACAACACTCTTATTCACAAGGTTTTGAGCACAGGAAGAAAAGTGCACTTTTAACAATAAGGATTACTTCATTATAGCTGTATATATTTATAGTTTTTGCAAAAAATACAATTGTTAATTGAGAAATTGGCAAAATTTTAGGCTTAAGTTGACTCTTTTGACGATAAAATCAAGCTTTCGGCATTCTCTATGGAGCCTTCATCAGGATTCTGAAAACACAATTGTGATGCTAGCAATCTATATATATATATATATACAGGGTGTCCGCAAAGTTGGGGTTTTCCTTTTCAGAAACAACTACCCTTGAAATAACAAAGGTAATGTGTAGTGAAACGAGGGCGACCAAGTAAAAAAAATAAAGGAAAAAGTACTCACTCTCCAGTTGACGAGAAGGGCTAAGTACGTCTCTGCCCGAAATCATACCGCTCCAACAGAAAGTGAAATCAGCTGATGCGGTACCGAGCACGCGCAGGCAAACAAGGAAGGCAAAATGTTGCGTAAAAAGTCTAAGTATTGCATCCCGTCCAATCGATTTGGGAGAATAAATGGTCCAATGAGCATACCGTTCACCATGCCAGCCCAAACATTCACCGAAAATGTTTGTTGAAAATGTGCCCGACGGACAGCGTGCGGGTTTTCTACTGACCAAACATGAGTGTTGCGAAAGTTATTCACCCCATTACGCGTGAACGTAGATTCGTCTGTCACCAATATGCACTTCAAAAAGTCCGGATTATTGTCATGCTGATGCAACAACCACTCACAAAACCGCACTCTTGCTGGACAATCGTCAGGTTGAAGGGCTTGCACACGTTGGACGTGAAACGGATACAGCCCCTCTTCACGCAGCGTTTGCCACAGTTTAGTTTTTGATACTTGCACTTCTCTAGCCACGTCTCTAGTGTTTGTTGAGGGATGCTCGTCTACGCGATTACCTCTACACGCGTGACCGTAACCATAGTTGAAGGTTACATAATGACCTGACACACTGACCCCGACCCAGTTCAGTCGTCGGGTTGAGCTAGTGTCCTAGTACCACTCGGGGATGTCGCGGGTCGCGGCTACAGGACGGTATTCAGATATTTTTGATGTTGCAGAGCCCTTTATCTCGATCCCCTTTAGACATTGGTGTATCTGGTACTAAGCAAAATTGCTTATGTTTTCAAGATCTACACGTCGTGTAAAGGAAAACCCCAACTTTGCGGACACCCTGTATATATATATATATAAAAGGATTACTCTGTTTCATTTCTGAATGCATGGAACAGGTATATCAAACAATTACGAACGCTGAAATTTTTACAGAGTAGTACCAAAAGTACACTAACTAACAATTTATTCAGATTTCTTAAAAAAAAACAAAGACATATTTCATTCGGTAGTCGGGGGTGGGGGGTAGCGGTTGGATTAATTGGAGGGGGTATAAAATTGAAGAGAATAAGTATATTTTTCCGACGATTTGGTTTTTCGAACTTGTTAGAACAACTTCTTTCTTGGACAACGATTGCCCACTTCGCCATTTTGGGATTGGGAAAGCACAGGGCTGTGGATCAGCAGCAAATCCGTGCAAAATTGAAAAGAAGACGAGTAACCGTCTAATTCATTCTCCCGAAGCACGTGTTTGAGACAAAGCACCAACGCATTATTATTTTTTTCGCCAAGGGACGCAAACATGCCCCCTATTTGGGGGAAAAACCCCAATATGGCAGCCCTGTATACACACATGTGTAGCATAACCATTACACAGAGTGAATTTTTCAATAAGGTGTCTAATTTCCCAAAAATTATATCTCGTCGGAAATTTTCTAATGAAAACTTTAATTTGTTCATGAGGTCACGCTAAAAATCGTAAAGTTAAGCCGCACGTTCACTGAGATCAAGCGATGCCAAGGTAATCGCGATGACATTTGTTGCTTGCACACGTCAAACGTGACACGTCGCTTCTTTCACGTTATTCTAGTACGTGGGCTCTCATTTGATTGTTTGCAAAGGCTCCCAGCGAAGGAATTTGGTTTCTCTTTTCTTCGATTCGCTGTTCCTCAGTGGGCGTCGACCTTAATTTGAGTAACATTTCTACTCTAGTCTCAATCCTTGCCAACAATGAGATCGAAATCCACATCACTCTGTATCTTGACAAGAGTTCTGTACGACCATTGATCAACGTGTTCTACCTGAAGATAGTCAACCCGCGTCCAAAAAATTATCCGAGATAAAACGAAATACGGTAGCATCATCTATGATAATTTATTACAGCTATGTTCCTCCTCTCAGCACTTATTAGAATTCTACTTTCAAAAGGTTAGTATCTTATAGATGGCGCTGTAGTCAACTATAGCATATATCTTTTACGAAGTAGATTTATTGCGTAGAGGTGAAACAGCTGTCGCGAATTAGATTACGTTAATCAATGTTACCACGTACTCAATATTGCCGATGTCTTTTGAATCAACTTGTATGGTGAAAGCCACGAACCTTATTTTTCACGGAGGCCTCGTTATCGTACGTGATCCACAGATCCTCGTTGTACGAGTAGATAGTACCATCTTCTTCTTTTGTTTCATATTCTCCAACCATCAGTTCTCCTAAAATCTGAGTCATTAATTAGAACACTTGACATTTTTTTTTCGAAAGGTTTAGAAGCTCTACAGGTTTGATGTGAGAAGGAGAATTTGCGGAGACAACACAAATATACCAGTTACCGTTTTCGGAATACTCTATATACAGGGTGTAAACGTTATGTTAGTCATTATTGTAATGGGTAATAGGGTGGTCAAAATAAGTCAAAAAGCTCATATGACCCACGGTCCAAAAGTCAATAGATTTTTGTCTAAATGGCTTTATAGATTACAACTTTAAGTGCTTTATATCGACCACAATCACCACAATCTTACTAATTTTTATAATCTAATCTAAAACGTTTTTAAATTGGGTAGTTAACAAATAAATGGCATTAAGTTTTTCTAAGTTAAGCCAAAATTTGTAGTCAGTAAGTAAGTTTCATTAAATTAAATATTTAAAACACACATGACAACAGCGCGTCGGCCTTTCATCACTCTTATCGAAACGGCAATCGATCGCAAACGGTAACAGTGGTTTGTTATCGGGCATCGAGCGTATTGTTTTGTTTTTGTTCGCGTACGTGTTTATTTACAATGTTCTCGAATCAAGAGTTTGCCGACATGTTGTTAGTTTACGCTGAAGCTCGTCAGAATTCAATCTTGCAGCTCAAATTAATCGCGACAGATTTCGCCAACGGGTACACCCAGACAGAAGGACATTTGTGGCAGACTTCGAGATACAGGACGTGTTCAGCCCACTAATATTCGCACTCGTGAAAGACAGGTTACTGTAGAGCAGTAAGAAATTTTAAATATCTTGGAAATCAATACAGATATCAGCACTCGGGGATTAGTCCGCCGTGTAGGACTATCGTATACCATAGTCCATAGAATCCTACGGGAATATTTGCTTTATACCTACCATGTACAACGAGTGCAGGCCTTGTTACCAGAAGACTATCCTCGAAGACTAACATTTTGTCAGTGGTTTTTGCACAAAAACATTGAAAATCCGGATTTTTTTAAAAACATTCTAGCGGCGGACGAATGTACTTTTACGCGAGACGGGATATTAGATTTCCATAATACTCACACGTGGGCCCAAGAAAATCCTCATACGTGAAGGTCATTTAACCTACCAGTACTTTTGGAACAGACCTTAGACAACATGCCATTACAACGGAGACAGAATTTGTGGTTTCTTTATGACGGGGCACCACTACACATTTTTAAAGGCGTCATTCAGTATTTGAATGAGCATTATCCAAATCGCTGGATCGGTCGAAATGCTCCTGATTCTCGAAAATGGCCAGCAGGATCTCCTGACCTTAATCCGATGGATTTCTGGTATTGGCGAGAACTAAAGAGATGGTTTGTGGGGCTGGTTCAATAACAACTGCAGCACAACTTCGCGAAAAAAAAAATTTAATGCGGCTGAAATAGTAAATGGACAATTTCAAGGACCTAGAGTAAGAAGAAACTGGGTTCGTCGTAATGAAACTTGTGTGGAAAGTGGAGAAAGACATTTTGAACACCTTCTTTGAATACAAAAAAGTGCAGTGTGGGTTTTAAAAAGAAAAACAATGTATGTATCGAAATTGTGTTCCATATTTATAAGTGGATTTTTTTAATACGTTCAATAAACTTTCACACACCAGGTGGAGAGCTGAGACAGTTAGTGGTAAGTCCGTTTTTTTAATCGGTTGCATTTTAGGAGTACATTGTCAAATAATGAAATAATACCTAAGAGCCAAAAATAACAAACTCCATCTTTATTTACACTGCGTTCCGTCGTCATTTGCGTCTGGCATTGCGGCGTTGTCAGATTTTATTTTACTTTAAAGTAGCTTTTCTCTAAAAAAATGCCGTTTTGACCACCATGTTATATGAAACTTTTTGCTTCTTGTAACCCCGTCTATCACCCATTTAAATAATGACTATCATAACGTTTACACCCTGTATACATGTAAGTTGAATACCTCGTAATATGCTAGAAATCCGTGTTCCCCTGAAAATGCACCGGGGTCTCCAGGACCTGTTACAGGAGCCCCAATACCGTTCTTTGTTGGATCTTCCAATATGAAGGAGCGGCCGTAAAATGGTATGCCTAAAAACAGTTTGTCCGCTGGTAGTCCGTTCTCTAACCATAGATTAACAGCTTTGGTCTGAAATAAATATTGCTGTATTTTCGAATCACATACATATTTTCAGAATTCAGTCTTAAAGCAATTATACAATTTTTATCTGTATTTCCTGGACAACGTCTTCAGATACAGCAGAATTGCTAGTGAATTGTTCTTGGAAGGTATATCAGGTAACCAAATAAGCTCGTGCGGTTGCTGTATATCGCACATTGCCATGGATGTTGTTGATCGATAGCGTTTTAATAAAATGGCGACGAATAAAATAGTAATTCGGAGTTGTTCACTGGATGAGTACAAAAGCTGCAGCGGCGGCGCGAAAAATATGTACTGCATTCGGAGATGACGCCTTTAGTGATCGAACAGCACAGAAATGGTTCAAAAAATTTTCTTCGGGAGATCTCGGTTTGAGCGATGAACCGCGCTGAGAGAAACCAAAAATCATGAACCACGAGGATCTTCGACAGGTTGTGGACGCAAATTCCAGGACAACGTGCCAAGAACTTGCAGAGTGAGTCCTGCAACTATTCGTTTGCACCTTCATCAGCTAGGAAAGCCGTGGAAGTTAAGCAAATGGGTCCCACATTAACTGACAGATGATAATAAGTCGTCTTACAATTTGTCCAGCAAATATTTCACGCAACGCTAATGAACCATTTCTTAATCGGTTATCAATCTGCGACGAAAAATGGATCTTGTACTCGAATTCTAAGCGTTCGTATCATTGGTTGTCGCCTACTGATTCGGTACCACACCCGCCCAAGGCTTCCTTGCACCCAAACAAGGTTTGGTTGTGTGTTTGGTGGACCGCAGCTGGAATTGTCCATTACGAGTTTTTGGAAAGGGATCAAACCATCACTGCTAACTTTTTTTGTGAGCAGCTTCAACGATTACAAGCAGCACTCATCCAGTAACAGCCTTCTTTGATCAATCGGAAAGAAGTGATATGCTTGCAGGATAACGCCAAGCCTCATACCGCAAAAGTGACCCAAAAAAATTTCTGAACTCGGCTGGGAAACGTTACCACACAACTCGAGATGGTGTAATAAATGCAGTCCGCCAATTTTTTTACTCCAAATCCAGGGAGTTTTACAATACCGGCATACAAAAATTGGTTCCACGTTGGCAAAAGTGGTGTGATGGTAATTACTTCGACGAATAAATAGTGTCTTATTGTCAATAAAAATTCATATTTTTCTACTAAAAACCGCCCAAACTTATTTGGTTACCTGATTTCATATTGTTAGCGATGATGGAGGCTGTATTCTAATATACTTACAAATTCGGACATAGGTGCAGATAGGTCAGTCTTAGGTGACGACGCACTCACATGATCGTATGCCATTAAGTACACGTAATCTACGGACCTAAATTTTTATTTAGTTCATTATTTATAAAAAGGCGATACATTGACAGCATTGTAGCGATAATGCGAGAGTTGACTAATTTTCTCAGCTGTCGTTCCTTAAATATGCCCATTATTGTTTAACTGATTTGCATCTTTGTTCATACCTTGCGATATCTTGTATGTCATACGTATCCCTGATTATCGATTCTGACATGGAGACAGCTATAGAAACGACGTACCCCCAAGGCTCAAGCGTTTGTTTCAAAGTTTGTAATACCAGTGGAAAGTTATTATAGTCGTCCTTGATACCTCCACGAAGCGTCGGATATTCCCAGTCTAAATCTACACCATCAAAACCATAGTAGGCGAGAAACTTTAGAACGCTGTTAGCAAAAGCTGTTCGACCTTCGACTGTATGCGCCATCTAAAATATTATCAATATAGCATAAGGCATGAAGGTGCGCACAGGATAAAAACTATGAAGCAGGAGGCGATCTCTATAGAACCTGTTGGACTTGCATACCAAACATTTGGTTGATAACTAGAAATAAACTGGTTTTGCTTCCCCAACCAACTATACAGGGTGTCCGCAAAGTTGGGGTTTTCCTTTTCAGAAACAACTACCCTTGAAATAACAAAGGTAATGTGTAGTGAAACGAGGGCGACCAAGTAAAAAAAAATAAAGGAAAAAGTACTCATTCTCCAGTTGACGAGAAGGGCTAAGTACGTCTCTGCCCGAAATCATACCGCTCCAACGGAAAATGAAATCAGCTGATGCGCTACCGCTACAGACGCAGAAACCACATTGACTGTCTTACACTTAATGGCACATCTTCTAACAAGGAAGGCAAAATGTTGCGTGAAAAGTCTAGGTATTGCATCCCGTCCAATCGATTTGGGAGAATAAATGGTCCAATGAGCATACGGTTGAAGGTTGCATACTAACCTGACACACTGACCCCGACCCAGTTCTGCCGTCGGGTTGAGACCTTGTATCAGTCGGGGTGTCGGGGATATCCCGGCGGGTCGCGGCTACATTACGGTATTCAGATATTTTTGATGTTGCAGAGCCCTTTATTTCGGTTCCCTTAAGATATTGGTGTATATGGTACTAAGAAAAACTGCTTATGTTTTCAAGATCTACACGTCGTGTAAAGGAAAACTCCAACTTTGCGGACACCCTGTATACGGCGCCGTCTCATCCTCACTACAGTATATAAGTTACTGGACAACTAACGAGAGCAGAGACGTGGGAAGGCACTTGCAGCCTACTGATACAATTTATTTTTTCACGCCTTGTAGCTTCATCATATAAACACAAACATATATTATAAAACAAGAATAATTAAAAAACAAAAATACACACACAATGGAAAAGATTCGCTCTGAGTTGTGGCCTCAAGCTTCCACAACTGTTCATCACCTTCCCTCTCGAATTCGCCCTTTCCGCAATCATACATTCTTCTCTTATATGCTTTGCACTTTCGGTTCCTCTGCCAGACTCATATTCACCTATTCCGGTTCTCAATCTAAGTCTATGCAAGCAGGCTGAAAAATTACCAGGTTCGGTGACAAGCTTGCCTCTCCCAACCATATACTTCATCTTGTTTCTCAGTAGTATTTCGATTTTTCTGCGATTCTCTCATTACTTGATCTTTCATTCTAATTTTCGCTTTCCACTTCTTTACTTTCATACCTAGTTCCTTCATATACCTAATCTTTCTTTCACTTTCACCCTGATCCTGCCTTTCATCCCTCGTCCATTTATGCATCTGACGGCGAACTGACCCTCTATTCTTATTGACAGCCGTGACCACTTATTTATTTATTTATTTATCAACGAGCGAATGCCCAATTAAAGTACATCATAGAAAATCTAATGTAGACCTAACCCTACTTTGACTTAGATATTTAACACTTAAAACAATCGCAAACACTTTACAATCCTGATCATTTCTAAATTGAAACGAATTTGGTTGAAACTTAAATATATGGGGAAATCAGATACCATACTTCGTATCCGTACAAGATGGCTCTGTTTACAACTATTTCATAAAAGCTTAGAATTTCTTTATGTTTGCCCAATTTCCTCTTTTATTATATTTTCCTATTATCCCTCCAATCTTATCCTTTCAATGTAATTTTACCTCTCATCCACATGTACCTCCAAGTACTTTACCCCGGCTCTTACTTTTCATTGTTATCGGCTCCCTAATACTGCGCCCCATTTCCACAAAGTCTTACTTCCGGCATACGTTAGTTCACATTCGTTCTCCCATTCAATGCATTCCCTTTCAATATCCACCCATTTTTTTTTTCAATTTTACAGCCAATAACATCTTGATGATTCCTTTAGTGAAGCTAAAAGGCACTCACTCTGCCTCAGTGGTCAATTTTTGCAACAGGAGGCACTTGTGGGCCAAAGAAGTATGGCTGATAAATGATTGAAAATTCAGATCAATGATAACGATTTCCACTTACGACTGAGTACTTTCTAGACTTCTCGTTCGATCCTCCAACAGCCAAAATCACTTTTAAGCAAGGGTTTTCCTCTTTGAGCGCTATAACTTTTGAGTATCCTCCTACAATTACAGCTAGTAAATTCTACTTAGAACAGTTGAATTCGTAGTACAAAATTCATATCTAATTATCAGCTCATTCATTCACGGACTTAGTTTAGTTCAAATATATCACCTTCAGTAATATCGGCTTTCGGATCCAATGAGGTGATCTCAAGGTCTAAGTCAAGCCCGGCAAAAGCATAAACTATTGTCGTACATAGCTTGGGGTCCAAGTTGTCTGTCGTGAATCTACCATAGTCCGGTCTGTAAATCGACCAACTGCCCCAGTAACACGTAACTTGAAAACCATTCGCTGGAAATAATGCAGATTCTATTTATAAAATGTTGAAAACTACAAAACAACATGCTAATATTTTAAACGTGTAAGCATCGCGCTCAAAGGATGTTTGACTCTCACAATGAGAACATTAAGGCGGCTCCGACGCAGTGAGTTTCAAGCCATTTACAAGGGTTCAGCTGCTTCAAAACTGACACTCCATTTTTCAATATTTTTGAATGAAATTCATACAGTATGTTGAGAAGATAATTGCTCAGGGTGCTATAGGAGAACTTTTTGAAATTTTGTTTTTGCACAAGTTTTATGATGGGTTGAAGTGCGTACTTTTTCTGTTCAACTTCGCGATTTTTTTAAAAAGAACCTAGTGAAAAAATGAAAAAGTCAGCACCCTGTGGGGTTTTATTTTCAGCACTCTGTGACAATTTCATTCAAAAATATCAAAAAATAAAGCGTCAATTTCGAAGCGCGCAAACCGTATTTTGGACGAATTTTGTCTACTGTTTCGTGCTGCCAACCTAAGCGTTGCGGCGCAATGTACGGACTAAGAAAGGACGTATTCAGATAATTTGGTGGCCCTATTTCATATAGTATCGCGTAGATAAGTCGTTCTGCAAATAGGCACTCATAATCGCGATCGTTGATACTCCTCGATTTTAATGTCGTTTTACTTTCCACGTCATTGGCGAGGAAGTATTGTAATCGCGAAAAATTTCTAAAATGAGATCTTATGTTGTTTAAGTCATATGACATCTACATCACGAAAAACTGTATCACTCATCAACTTGGAAATAACCGCTCGGATTTTTATGTAATTCCCACACGGGGTTACAAGTATGCCAAACCTGTGTAGTTTTAGTCCAGTGGCAACGGTGCTATAGGCAAAAAAGAAAAAGTAACAATTGCTGAAACTCCGTTTTTGACATTACAGGGGTTCCTTATCATTGACAGAAAAAAAATTGTACTGTTTAAAAAGTGGGGGCTGGGGGAAGGTGATTCTGAATGTTGCATCTTTGATATCAGATTACAGGAAATTTAAGTAACGAAACTCCGACGAATAATGTGCGCACGATTTAAAAAAATCGGTACCTGCTCTATAGATTTAACACCAAGAGCCAACAGATCTGCAACTGCCGACAGTAGGGAAGAATGAATTCGGATATCACTCCAGTCAAGTATAGGGGAATTTAGCGTGGAACTTTAAAATTATCGATATGTCAAGGAAATATGTTTTTGAGAACGATAATTTGGTAGATTTTATACCTACATTTTCATTTGAATTTCATGAGCCGTGAAATGTACCCATTTCGCCGTTACGTTCAATTTGTGTTCTGCAGTTTGTGATGTTTTTCTGGATATAAGCAGGACATAATTGCTTAAGGTGCTATCAGAGCGTTTTACAAAATTTTGTCTTTGCGCAAGAATTATGGTGGGTTTAAATGCTTACTATCGAATTTGTGCTCAACTTCTTGATATTTTAAAAAGATCCTAGTGGATAAAATCGAAAAAGTGGGTCGTTAGCACCATGTGGACTTTGTTTTTAGCACGCTGCAAGAGTTTTATTTGGAAATAATAAAAAATGAAACGTAAGCTGTGAAGTGCGAATCGATTTTGGGCGAAATTCGTCTACTGTTTCGTCCTGCCAGTCCAAGCGACGACGACGGTGCGTTCCGACTAAGAAAAATTGATATCTTTCCTAAAATAAATTCAAGAACTCAAATTACAATTCGTTTATTCATGTCAGTAAACACAATTATCTTTAGAAGGGTCATGTGGTACGTGGTAACAATTGAAGGGGTCAGTGCAAAAAGTAGCAAGTCCACATTTTATTGAAATTGAGCTAAGTGACTCCATCTGTGTAAATTTACCTGTACAATACTTTGGTGATGACAGATTTCTGGAAAGAAGCGTCCTAGTGCATGGAAACCCTTATGTAGATATTGCAATCAATCATCATTTCAGTGTAAGAAGTAACTAAGAGGCAAAAAGTTGCTAAGTCCACGAACTTATCCACTTTTTGAGTTTGACATCTTAGCATGCTGTGTTCAGGTTTTACAAGCTAACTTTTGAGAGAAGTGTCTTGTTGCTGCTCCAGTTTTGCTTGTTATCACGTTTTTGTTTGAGTTCCATACTAAAATGTCTGACAATGGTAAATTCAAGTCCTCTTATCATGATTTATATTGTTGTAAGATGTTAATAAGCCTGTATTGGTTATGCTGACAAGGATTTTGAGATTATACAACTTTTTCTTTCTAGAATCAAGTAGTTATAGCGAAGAAGTATCTTCGGGGAGCGAATATGATCCTAACGAAGATAATGGGCGCAAGAAAAATCTGGCGATGGTTGGTTCAGATTCTTTCAACGAAAATGAACACATATCTGATAACTTAGACTCAGGTAATATTGGCCATAATCCAGCTCGTGTTGACGAAGATCTCGAAAATGTAATGAAAGGTAAAAAGAAGTTTCGCTCTCCAGCAAAATGGAAAAGAAGTTTGAAAAAACAAAAACTATTCAAAGAGAAAAATAAACGTCGTGATGTTGGCAACTGCAGATGTAAGTGTGGCTGTAAACTAAGTGAATTGGAGCAGATTGACATTTTTGAAAGATATTGTAGTCTGTCTAGCCATGCAGAGCAAACAATTTACTTACAAGGTTGTGTTAAAAAAGAGCTAAAATCCCGACCTCGTCAGCGTAAAGATGAAACATCGCGAAGTCGTACAGTTTTTTCCTATGAAGTTAGTAACGGAAGCAGTAAAATTAATTTATGCCAGAAGGCCTTTTTAGCAGTCCACGGGATTTTTAAGTCTAGATTAGAGAAGAAAGTTAGGCCGCAGGCAGAACCAGCAGATAATAGAGGTCGTTACACCAACAGGCCAAACAGAACCAAAACTGAATCTCTCCAGAAAGTGAGACAATTTATTTCCGAATTGCCAACTCGTGAATCACATTACACAAGATCTGATAGCCGCAATAGAAAGTATCTAGACCCTAACTTATCCATTACTAAATTACATGAAAATTTCAACGCACAACACCCTAACGATACTGTATCATATGGGATTTTCGCTAAGGTGTTCAACGAAGAATTTAATATATCATTTGCGCATCCGCGAAAGGATATATGCAATACCTGCACAATACTCCTAGTTGATATAAAACAAGCCGCAATGAAATCAGATCAAGAACTTTTGCGGACGCTGGAAGTGAATAAAGAAGTTCATCTCAGGAAAGCTGAGGTGTTCAAAACTAAGTTGGTTGAGGTTCAGAAATCAGCAGATCCTTCAGAAATGATAATATGCTTTGACTATGAAAAGAACCTGCCTTTACCTGTAACTAATGCACAAGATGAATATTACGTCAGTCAGTTATGGCTGCACGTTTTCGGCATTCACAACTTGAAAACTCATAGAACAACAATGTATACTTACACTGAGAACTTTGCTCACAAAGGACCAAATGAAGTTATAACATGTTTGAATGATTAACAAGGATCATCAACAGAGAAAGCTAAAAATATTTTGTGACAATGCATTTAGCCAAAATAAAAATCGAATTATTTTCACGTTCCTAGATCACTTATGTAAAAATAACACTTTCAATGAAATTGAAATATGGTATCCAGTTCCAGGACATTCTATGATGCCAGTAGATAGAGACTTCGGTGCAATAGAGAAAAAAAGACTGAAGCTGGATAAGGTTGACATTCCTGCGGCTTACATTGAGCTTATCAAGAGCTGTAGGAAGAAAAATCCGTTTGACGTGGTATTTATTCAACACAGCCTTCGAACAAATGGAGATCTAGCTGCAGACGATAGAGTTATTCAAGCAAAGGATTATAAAAGATGGATTATGCCATTTGTCAAGGTTTCCGTCCCAGGAATTTCTAAAATTCGTTTTGTCAGGTTTGGAACTGGAAAATCCATTCAAACGAGAGAATCCATGACGGGAAATTGCACAAATATGTCCATCTATAAAGTGGGTATGAACAGAAAAATATCTACGAATCCCAAATTGGCATATGGCGATAGGTACCTGACAATAAAAACTAAAAAGTTTCAGTCTGTCACGAAACTTCGAAAACTAGTAACTTCCGGTGATATTGAGTTCTACAGAAGAACACTTATTAACGCAGTTGATATGGCTATACCCAGGCGCAATGACACTGAGGGTGATATCGAAAGTGATGCCGATGTTTATGAATAGACCCTTGTTTTGTTGTATTTTTGGGTTTTTGTGAAATGTGGTTTTCATCATAATTTAGAATTTTTTTTTGTGTCGATGTTATTTTTCGATAAATGGTATACAAGAATAATACTATTTTTGTTATGTAACACTGTATTAAAGTGAAATAAAAGTAATAATTTTCACGTTTTATATTTTTGTATTAATTTTTCGACCATAAAGTGGCTAAGTCCAAATTTTCAGATTTTTTTTCCTCGTAATCAAATCGCTAGTTCACATCATAGTGTAAGTGTCAGTATATCCATTGAACATGTAGTTGGCATGAAAAAAATTACTAGTCATTATCAATAAATTTTGTGGATGTGGGAGACTCTTTCAACATTCAAATGGTCATATCTCCAAACTTAAAAAATGTGACTTAGCCACTTTTTGCACTGACCCCTTCAATTGAATGAGAGCCATAAAAATATCTTATGCCGACAAAATAAGATGAAACAGTTAGGTAGTTTTTGCAAAGCAATAAACTGGTAGGCTTATACCTGGATTAAGTACATTTCTTGTCTACTGTAATAGGTAGATGGAGGCGATGCTGCCAGAAATGGATGTGTGCGATCAATAAACAAACCACAAGACTGAACTGCGGTGTCCAGTACACCGTACTAGAACTTTACAGCTTGTTGTCTGCCTTATTCTACAAACTTCACCAAATAGAGACGGTGCCAACCTTATCCTCCAATGAAGGCGCGACAAAGTACAATCCTGTGATTTGGTGACTTGTTCGATCTGCAAAATCTCGTCGTCACTTTTTTCAAGTTTCCCTAAAAATTTTCGCTTAGCAACCTCCAAATCAATGTAGTTACTGTCAGGTTTTTGACTGAATTCGCCATAAAACTATTTATTTTCTTTGGAATTGCTATCCGAATCGATAGTTATTTTTATATCAGCTTTTCTTGGTCTGAGTTTCTTTTCAAGATTCTTGCATTTGAGTCTTTGTTCCATCTTAGCGATAAGCGAGGTTGAACTAGGCTTAGAACGCAAATGTATTTAGACCACATATACTGGCCGCTGGGTATTGTGGCTCACTACAGCTGCAGCACATCTTCCATGGTATGACCTCTTCTTGCAATAATTTATTAGCTTACCCCAATGTATTTTGCTCCACACTATTGTTGACTTCATCATCACTGCATCCGTAATTAAAATGGTCGCGTATGACCCTTTATTGTCCATTATCAGCCTTGATGAAAAAGGCACTCAAGAACTATCACACCAACAACAATTCAACAACACAATATCGACGAACAGTAACAAGAGGAGAAAAATACTAAATGATCCCTTGCTGAGTACCAAAATAAGAAACGATTTACTTCTAGATCGATAAGCGATAATCTAGCCCCAACCCACCCTCGTTTCCTTTTCACCCCCCCGTTACCTCAGCAGATGGTTCTCGTGATTGTAGGAGCCCCGTTAAGGTTACTTAATACGATCATGAAGACTAGAGATAGGAGGAGAGAGGCTCACAGCTACGGGGCGACGCCAAAAAATGAATTTTTCTGTTGCTCTCATTATGAACGCAAATAACTCCAGTTTTAACAGTTTAGGCGACTATTCTATTCGTCAGATTCAGAGTGGTCCGTAGGTCCTTTGCTCTTGGTTAAAGTATTGCGAGTGAGTAGTTCTGCCAAGCGTGATTGCCCATATACCAGACAGGGACAAAGAATGGAAGAAGAAGGAAAGGAAGAAAGAGAAAGAACTGCGTCAATTTGAGAGCTGCTTTGGCATTTTTAACTAGTACTCAGGTATTTTAAATTGATCCTAAAATTAAGAAATATTGGTAAACAAGACATGGCGAAACGCGAGTAAAATGAAAGTTCTACTTACGGCAATCACCTATAACACCAACAATACTTAGAAAAAGAAGGGGTACAGTTGTAGAGACAGGCATAGCAAATATTTACGGTGATTATTTTAGGATACGGAATTCTCGTATTTATCCAATCGTTCTTCTAGCGGGGAATGATAAGCATAATTTATTAGGGTCTTAACGGATTTGAGGTTTTATTATTATATCCATACAATCTTGCGGTATTACTGCAGATAATACGGATTAATACAGTTTGCAATGGAATTGCAGTAGCTATATAATCCTTTCATCCATTTCTTTCCACTTATGTATAATATCTCATTTTTAGCTTTAAGTCAGATTCTTCCGTGCATGAGGACACCTTCTAAGTTCTAAGCCATCTCATCTGAGTTTCACAGAGTGTCTTGAGCTTGAAGCTAAAAATTACTAACTATTTAATATTACTATAAAATATGTTCGCTTTCATATGGAAACTAGGATTCACATGCTGTGTGTGATCTTATGTATTCGACCATAGCGGTATATTTTTTATAAACTTGTGTAGATAATTGCCACATCTATCATAATCAGTCACAATTTCTTATTGTTAGATGTGATCTTTACTTATCTTAATGCCTTTCCTAGCTATCAACAGAGTTGGATTTTGCGGAGCTGATACATATAGAACTTTGAAAGCGAATGATCGGACGGAAATTATTCAGTTGTGTACTTGTTATACCAGAGGAGCCGCAAAGGCAAATTCTAAATACCGAGGTACTGGGAATGCTATGAAAAGGTCAAAGTTATCAGGATGTGCCTCAGTATAGTAGATCTGAAAAAACGTCTTCAGATACGGCCATTTCGACCAGAGGTATCCGTTCTCATATCGGTCAACAGGTCTTACCTGAGACTTTTGCAGAGTGAGGAGCTCAGATGATCAGATATACTTTTTAACCCTTAGTAGATACCATAGTTTCTTACCAGCAATGAATAAGACACTTTCATGGAAAATCAGTGTCTGCACAAAAATTTCTAAATGATTGCACTGCTTTAAACCCCTTTGACCTTTAATAATGTGTGGATGCACCCTGATGTGCTACGCATTCTCCAACTCGCCTAGTCATGCTTCTGATCAGGTGGTCAATGTCCTCCTTTGGTATCTCATTCCAGGCAACCACCAACTCCTCTCGAAGTGCTCCTAGAGCCTGAGGAGGACGTTGCAAATTGAGCAATCTCCTACCCATCATATCCCACACGTGCTCAATTGGGGATAAGTCGAGAGATCTTGGTGGCCATGGTAACAATGTGACATCATTATGTTGAAAGAAGTCTATTGTGACTCTTGCAACATGTGGTCGGGCATTATCTTGTTGGAAAGTTAGGGTGTCAAGATAGGGTAAAAGATGGGGTTCTAGAACTTCGTGGATATAACGCTGCGCGTTCATGTTACCTCTGATGAAGATTAAAGGTGACCTGGAACCATAAGCTATAGCACCCCAAACCATAACTCCAACAGTGTGATGAACATGTCTTTCAACAAAAAACTGTGGATTCCTCCTTTCACCACGTCGCCTTCTAACCCTGGCACGACCATCGTGCATGCCTAAACAAAATCGAGACTCGTCACTAAAGACAATACTGTGCCATTCCTGATCCCAGAGTGACCGTTGTCTGTGCACCACTCAAGGCGATTACGTCGGTGTTCTCGAGTTAAAGGGAGGACCCAGTGTGGCCGGTATGAAAACAAGTCAAAACTTCTCATTCGTCGGTAAACACTTCGCATGCCAATAGGTCTTCCGTGTTCTGCAAACCATTCATTTGCAATGGACCTGGTAGTGGAGAAACGGTCCCTTAAGGCCAATAATCTTAGGCGGCGATCTTCACGGTCTGTTGTTCTACGGCAGCGTCCAGTGCCCCTTGCTCTTTGCGTACGACCTTCTCGAAGCCATGCCTGACAACACCTAACCACAGTGTCTACACTTCTTTGCACTCTAACTGCAATTGCCCGAAAAGAAGTCCAGCTTCCCGAAGTCCCACTATACGGCCCCTATCAAACTCACTAAGTTGACGAAATCGTACAGGTCTCCGTACTCTAGGCATCGTAACCGATCGTAAAGGATGTCAAGAAACAAAATCCGCCAACGTTGATTATTTACTGCGGCTGAAATATTCATTTTTAGAGCGTTAGTAAATTAAAAAAAAGCAGTATAAAAACCGGAATGTCCAACTGATAAGACTGAACATTTTTTCACTTGTTATTTACAGTAAGATAAATACATTCACCAACTTTTATTAAAATAAAACCATTTAAACTAGGTGTTCGGATTTATATGTCACTTAGTATATATTGGAAAGTGACAATGATCTACGACTTTCGTCATAAGGAAAGTCGCTGTATTGGTCGCTATTCGTCTTCTTCCCTTCAGCAGAGATACGGATTTTATCTTATTTGCAAGAAAGGTCACTATTTTTTTTTATACTCCAACTGCCACGAAGGCCTAAGGCCTAAACACCCATTGGGTACCGAAAGGTTACTATGTTGTAAGAGAGAATGCCGTAGTCAATACAGATCTCTGGAAAACACCTGTATTGATACTGTAGCGTGAAAAAATTCCTTCAATTGAACTGGATATCTTAAAATTGTAAAAAAGTCGGCCGTACACTTACAAATATTTTTTTGGCGCCCATACAATAGAAGTATTTATGGGAAGGCAGTACGAAGCACTTGATCAAAAGTATATGTAATATCAATAGGAGTTCCCTTAACTACGTACGTCGCAGTCAAGATATGCAAAGTACAAAGTGGCAAAAATAATAATAACAATAATGATAAACATACTTTTTATTTGTAATGGTATACCAGGAGGCGAGATTTAGATACTAAAATTATTACCTGTATACAATAACAACAAAATAAAGTATAATCTATGTAAAGGCATAAGGAAAACATGAGGTCAGTTAACACTTATCGGTTACAACAGATTTCGCTACTGATAAAGTAGAATTTCTTTAACTTTTTTTTATTCTGGGTAATGAACTAGTTTCTTTTAAACAACTGTCCAAAGAATTATATAATTTGATCGCATTGAATATATATGTATTCTGAAATAGAGATATTCTGTGGCATGGAATTGAAAACGTATGAATTTGGTTACTAAATATTTTTATTTTTTAAATAAAGAACCCTGCGATTCAGACTTAAGAGCTGGTATTTATACATTTTATCTATTTTCATCCATTTGAGGTCATTTATGGCCTTCGATATACGATCATATTTTCTGAGATCACTTACAAGTCTGCAACCTGTATTCATAATATCTTGAATACGATTTCTTGTTGTAGTATCTAAATAGGGTAGTAAAACCACTAAACAATACGATATTTTTTAAAACAAGAAAGATTCACACAATTGCTTTCTCGCAGGTTTGTCTAATACAGCCTTATTTGCAAATAAAACTCTGAGAAAAGTGGAGCACAATTACATGGTTTATGTGTACAAGAAATTTCAAGTAATCAAGAGTAGCATTACCACTGTCAGGAAAGCCTTTCATATTAGGATGAGCGATGAAATGTATCGATAGTTAATCTTGGACCCGCGTGCGGGATAAAGACAACACCCAACGCAACATCCATGGCACAAAATTAAACGTCCGAGACGGAACCCACAAGCCCCGTGTTGCTAGCTCGACGGTCTAGCCACGGAGCTACGGAGGCTCCCCTGGCAATAGTAACAAAAAACATACAGCTTAGGCCATAGAAGGCTCCTACTAGACCCATCTCTGAAGCGCATGTTACATTAAATCGGAGCCAAACCGTATAGCTCAAGCGTCATAACGTTTAGGCAACACGTACAGTGAACATGACATCTAGTTCCAAGGTCACAATTTCATAAAACATTTCAGTTTTCAAGCTATCTGTCATGCTCTTAAATCACCGATATCTAAGCGTAACTTTACCAGGTATCACAGATATTCAAAAATAACGATCTGTTGCTGCCAACGTTTCCAGAAATCAGATGGCCTTGAGAAGGATTCCTACGCTTTTTATTTTAACTAATAATATCTATTCAGGATAGTCACAGCCACCTTACCGGTGAGCACTGTCTGCTTTCTGGCAGCTTGACTAGGGAAACGAAAGAAGGAAAAAGCTGGTTTAACCACGAAGCGGTCTCACTACTTGTGTCTGCATACTACGGCTCTACCCATAAAGCTTCTTAAACATGTGCGAAGTATAAAAATCTCTTTGAGCAAACCGTTTATGAGTTCGTTAACACTGGCGTGACAGCTCCCAATTAAATTCGGTAAGCAGCAAGCCGAAATCAACCGCAGAACCGGCACTGTCTCATCTTGCGATAACGGCGTGTTGCAACAAGCAGCGCTTATTGGCCGATACACACACATACATACAAACAGACGACCCGTGACCCCTGAAGATATCCGCCCGAACAAACGCAGATAAGCCTTAAGGCGTCTTGGCTTCGTCAGTCGGTGCCGCGCTTTTTTGACACCAAACACCACCATGCGGCTCTTCCTCTTGCTCTATCTGATAACGGAGGGGTTTTGCTTGCCCGCCAACTTGCTGTATCGCACCGATTTGCCCGAAGCTAAGCTTTTGCCCAAGGGGGATGATCTGTCGTCGCCGGAGATAAGGTTAAAGGTGCCTGTGCTGTTTTTTGGGACTAGCTTCGGTTCGATATACGTAAGTACTTTTCTATTTTTGTACAGATGCTGAGGATCCGGAAAATACTCGTATACGAGCCCCTTCCCACTTCAGTTGGCCCAACTATTGAAATCTTAGTTTTTTTCTTATCAAGCACAAATAATAAAAATGTAGCAGGGTGTTATAGGTTTAAAATATTAACAAAGAATATTTTGATAATATATAGTAGAAAACACCAACTTTATCACTCCCTAATCAAATTTACAGCATAAAAATAACACATGTTGCAATTACAGCATATCATCCTATTTTCATTTCAATGCAAAATAAGTCTATAACGCATAGGTGGCTGTGAAAAATAAAAGCCATGACAATTGTTTTTTATATTAATCACAATACGTTTAAAATAGTTTTGGGTAGTTAAGGTTTTCAAAATGGGTAGAGGAAAGGTTATTAGTGAGAAAAATCGGTTACTGATAATTAAATTTTTTAATTCTGGGAAATCAAACTCAGAAATTGCAACTTTGTTAGACTTATCGCGGTACAGTGTGAGAAATATTGTTAGAAGATATCACGTAACTGGTTCAGTTAATATTAAGCCACGATATGTGGAAAAAAGTAATATCACAAATGCCGACCGAAGAGCATTAAGAAGATTATTCGTGAAAAACAGGCGTGCCAATTGTTTACAATTAAGTGCTCTGTGGAGTGACGCTGTTGGAAGGAGAATTTCGAGGTCCACATCTCATAGAGAGGCCCACAAACTGAGATTTAGCACTTGCAAGGTAAGTTTAATTATAAAAAAAGTGAAGTAAAAACCCTAAAGTTGCACAACTTGTTTATAAGCCAAAGAAAAGCCACTATTAACTCCACTGCAAAAGAAAAATCGGCTTAGATAGGCTAAAGAACATAGACAATGGACACCTCAACAATGGTGTGCAATACAATGGAGTGATGAGGCCCGATTCGAAGTTTGTGTTGGTGACAGTCGCAGTAGAGTTATTCGCAAAAAAATGAAGCTTTCCATGTTGACTGTCTGAAGAGAAAAGTGAAATTTCCAGCATCCATTATGGTCTGGGGCAGTATGTCATCAAAAGGAGTAGGAAAACTTCATTTTATTGATGGAAATGTGGATACAAACAAATATTTGGCAATTTTAGAAGAATCGCTTTTACCAGTGATGGAAGAATGTTTGACATCCGGCCAAGATTTTGTGTTTCAGTAAGATGGTGCAGCGTGCCATACCTCAAAAAGGCTATAAAATGGATGGAAGAAACTAATATACCACTATTGAAATGGGTTTCTAGCAGTCCAGATCTGTCACCTATTGAAACTTTGTGGACGAGCTGAAAAAGGTTCTACGACAACATCCTGCTCGTACAGTGACCGAACTGAGACAAAAGCTTCAAGAAATATGGGATTGTTTTACACCAAATTTTTGCCGAAACGTGGTTAACACTATGCCTCGAAGAATTTCAGCCGTAATAAAAAATAAAGGTTATGTTACCCAATGGTAATCTTTCAATTGTTGCTTTGTTAACTTCGCGCATTTATTCGCACATTGTTTATTTGTTCAGATGATCTATTAGTTATAGGTCTAAGTGATTTCAAATATGTATTTTTTACGACTACAGTGTATCTAAAATGTTTTTGAGAAAATAAATTGTTTTAGAAGTAAATAGTTTCGTCATGTTTAGTTTATAAAGGCATATTTTGGTACAAATCTTGAAGTGGGCCAACTGAAGCGGGAAGGGGCTCGTACTTCGTGGAGTTGATATAAGATCCAAAAATTACATTTTGTCACGCAAAAATGTTGCCCTTAAATTCAACACCCTTGCGTGGGGGTATCAACCATTTTCAAATAGAATTTTTGAGGTATTTTACACAATAGTATATTTTCATTTATTAGTGAAATTGATACCGATTTAGGCTCTAGAAGAAACATAAAACTAACGATTTTTTATCAGCTGCGGGTCAAAAGAGCGTCTATACCTATTGTAGTACTGTAATATCGGACCTATAGTTTTTTAATCCATTAGTATGGAACTTATGTAAGTAGGTTTGAACGTCCAATTTTAACAATGATCAGTTTTCCATTTTATTGATGTTCCTCGGTTTATTGAGATCGCTTCTACTAAAACAGGTTTCAACGTCCACGACGTGAAGAAGAAGACTACCATTTTTAAAAACGTTTCAAATTTTTTTCTAACCTTCGATATTCCATTCTGATTTCCATTTTACAGCTCAGTTAGTCAGCCTGCTAATCTCACTAAGTTTTAGAAACCAGTGAGTCGATCTAATTGACAATATATTTAACCAGACTATTATTTTTGCTACACTAAGCTACCATAAATAACCATAATTAGTACGTGAGGCATTAATGTTAGCATTTCATTGAAGACGAGGCTATTACAATCAGTATTATTATAAACAACATTGATAACATCTGTAAGGGGATTTAGTAGCTGATACTAAATATAAATTCATTATGGCTGAGGATAAGATAAGGGATTTCCACTATTTATGTAACGATTGAAAATATGAAAAAATATTTTATATCGCACTAGAACGTAGCATTTAAGGGAGGCATGAAGTTCGATTTAGTAGTTTTTTGTTTCACTATAAAGTGACCATCAAGTTGGAACAAGTTTGATACCACTGGACCGGATCGAGTGTGATGTACAGTCTGCTAAAATATACAGGATGTCCTAGATAAGGATCACAATACCTGGGACATACAGCTTATGTTAAAAAAAGTTGCGTTCTTTACATGCTGTTGAGAAACTTTCATGGCTTACTTTTGGTAAAAACTAAAATTAGTCAAATCATTTTTACTTTGTCTAGCTTCACTTTAAGAAATATCACAAAACTAATGAAACTTTTCCTTTGGATCTTTCTGGTGTTTTTCATTTTTCTGCCCAGCGGCTCGCTTTAAGTACACCCTATATCCAATAGCATTTTTTATGCAAATTTAACGATGTAGGCATCACATGTCACGTTTATTTTCTTGGTGCGTCTTTTCTGTTTTTTTTTTAATTTGTTTTTAAATAGGCTTTGCAAACAAATGCTTGACTTAACGCAAATATCTGTTACCGACGATAGTTATTATTGTGTATTGTTAATATCATTATGTATGTAATATGTAATACTGATAGCAGTAATCACATAATCTTACATCAAGCAATGCCTACTTAAATAAAATAAAAAAATAAAAAAAACATATTTTCCTTTATAACTAAGAAAACAAATCTGACATGTATAAAAATTCATGGAAAAAATCAGACTGTATACACAAATAAAGCTGATGATAGTTTCTCAAAACCGGAACGTTGCGCACATACTTTTAAAACATCATCATGTAATACCTAAAAAATAAAAATAAATTCAGAAAAAATGAAAACGATTTGGACAAATTTTAGTTTTTCCCAAATACCTTAGTAATGCATGAAGTTTTTCAACGACATGTAAATACGCCCCAAAGAACGTAGCGTTTTTGTAATTTAACCTGAGGTTTATACTTCACACCTTGTTAGCCCACCTCGTGCTTGGAATGCTTTTCAGAGTTTTGTTCAATTTAGATATTTGGCAACCTCAAAGTTAGGATTTTCAATGGAGCATTTTAAATGCTTATTTTTGGGATCTTTCAGATATTCAACCCTTTATAACACAGAACACAGTCAACTTTAGAAAGTTGTTACAACGACCTTTTTTGTTCACAAGAAGGTCGCCTACCAGAGGCGTACTGAAATTTGAGATAATACTTTGCCATTCAAGGGTCTCGCTGATACCTAGAGATAGCCATGATAACTGTTTTGAAAATTATTATTTTTGATACTGCAAGTCCTTAAATTAAAATTCAAATCTTACTGTATAAGGCCTAAGAGGGTATTATATATCCATAGTGAATATGCATTTAATCAAAAAATATGCCTTTCGTTATTAGCATTACAGCACCCAAGAATAGCCCTTTCCAACTAACCCAGGTTTGTTAAAATCGGCTTGAGGTGTTTTTTACGGAAACCTTTGAATACCCCGACCACTTATTTTTAGAGGTACAACAAAAATTGCCAAACAAAAGTTCTCATTATCCTCGACGTGAAGATCAGGTATTTTTTTGTTAGATTAATATAGCGGAATTCACAAAAACCTCACTCACTCATCACACATCACAAGCCTCTACGATGCATACGTTCCCAGATACAGTGTCTCGCATTCATAGTTGGCCATGCGATTCCCAAAAAACATAATATATACTAAGTGACATATAAATCCGAACACCCAGTTTAAATGGTTTTATTTTAATAAAAGTTGGTAAATGTATTTATCTTACTGTAAATAACAAGTGAAAAAATTTTCAGTCTTATCAGTTGGACATTCCGGTTTTTATACTGCTTTTTTAATTCACTAACGCTCTAAAAATGAATATTTCAGCCGCAGTAAAGAATCAAAGTTGGCGGATTTTGGTTCTTGACATCCTTTACGATCAGTTACGATGCCTAGAGTACGGAGACCTGTACGATTTCGTCAACTTAGTGAGTTTGATAGGGGCCGTATAGTGGGACTTCGGGAAGCTGGACTTTCTTTTCGGGCAATTGCAGTTAGAGTGCAAAGAAGTGTAGACACTGTGGTTAGGTGTTGTCAGGCATGGCTTCGAGAAGGCCGTACGCAAAGAGCAAGGGGCACTGGACGCCGCCGTAGAACAACAGACCGTGAAGATCGCCGCCTAAGATTATTGGCCTTAAGGGACCGTTTCTCCACTACCAGGTCCATTGCAAATGAATGGTTTGCAGAACACGGAAGACCTATTGGCACGCGAAGTGTTTACCGACGAATGAGAAAATTTGGCTTGTTTTCATACCGGCCACACTGGGTCCTCCCTTTAACTCGAGAACACCGACGTAATCGCCTTGAGTGGTGCAGACAACGGTCACTCTGGGATCGGGAATGGAACAGTATTGTCTTTAGTAACGAGTCTCGATGTTGTTTAGGCATGCACGATGGTCGTGCCAGGGTTAGAAGGCGACGTGGTGAAAGGAGGAATCCACAGTTTTTTGTTGAAAGACATGTTCATCACACTATTGGAGTTATGGTTTGGGGTGCTATAGCTTATGGTTCCAGGTCACCAATCTTCATCAGAGGTAACATGAACGCGCAGCGTTATATCCACGAAGTTCTAGAACCCATCTTTTACCCTATCTTGACACCCTGGCAGATCCAACTTTCCAACAAGATAATGCACGACCACATTTTGCAAGAGTCACAATAGACTTCTTTCAACATAATGATGTCACATTGTTACCATCGCCACCAAGATCTCCCGACTTATCCCCAATTGAGCACGTGTGGGATATGATGGGTAGGAGATTGCTCAATCTGCAACGTCCTCCTCAGACTCTAGAAGCACTTCGAGAGGAGTTGGTGGTTGCCTGGAATGAGATACCACAGGAGGACATCGACCACCTGATCAGAAGCATGCCTAGGCACGTTGGAGAATGCGTAGCACATCAGGGTGCATCCACACATTATTAAAGGTCAAAGGGCTTTAAAGCAGTGCAATCATTTTGAAATGTTTATCATTTACTTATTATGCTTCATTAAGTACTTATACAAAATTTTATTAAAATAAAACCATTTAAACTGGGTGTTCGGATTTATATGTCACTTAGTATACCTTCAATTACGGTACTACTTCGCTGATTTGGTAAATCCTAACATTTTTGCAATGTGAAGTGCATATTTTCAGAACTATACCGCTATGTTGTCATTGGTGTCAAGCTAGTGATAACGGAACGACTAACACATCGTACTCACTCTATAAGTTCTGTTTTAATATTGTCCAGGATATATGAGATTCAATTCGATATTCATTTGTATCTATACGTGATAAATTGAATTCCATCACTTGTTATCACTTTCAAAAATGGGTCGAAAACAAAAAGACGGAAGAGGAAAATTTTAGATAAACATTGGCTTCTGTGCATCTACCTTGAACCCTGCGTAAACAGTGCGTGACACTACATACTATACATAAACAATGTACGCATGTATCTAATGGTTTCTTGAAAATAGTAAATTATACTGATCATCGGTTAGAGAGACCTATTTCTCATAAAATGATGCCCGAAATCTTGTACGTACTTAGATTCTATGCTCATCTTTTCTGAAATGTGGCGTGAACCGAATGATCTTTTTGTTTTTTATGACGATTCCATTTAAAATCAAGTCATATTGTCACGAAGGCGACGAATATTGCCAAGAATTCAAACGATTCTTTCAAGTACTGGATGACGAACATCTATAACGTATTCCAAATACCGCTTATATTATGATAAACACTAATTACTGGTAGAATAGTTTATCGCTATGAATAGAATTTGTAATTAGAGGTTATTGATCTTCATTATTTATTTGTACTTAGGAGATTCCCACGGTCCGTATTGAGGTTACGCACGAAATTTCTGAATGATGAGAAATTTAAATAAACGACAACAATATTTAAAGAACAACATTCAACGATACATTCCTAGATTCTTCAGGGACTCTCTTGTGAAGAACTTCAGGTTCTTATTGTTTATTGAAATTATTGGAAATGGACGCTTTGGGCACTTTTAAGAAAATAGAAAACCTTGCTATTTGGGCTAAAGTGGCACCATTCTTCTTGTGTTACGGATCCAGGATATTTCATTCTTTCTTAGATATTTGATTCTTACTTCGAAATTCAAAGTACTTCTGGAGATAGAAAGAAGACACCGAATTTTACCCTGATTTTATTTATAGTGGCATTTCAAAATAAACTTCTTTTTGCCACTTTTTCTCTTCTACAAGATGGTATAATTAGAATTTCAATATGACGTTTCGTCCCTTTTTCTCCAGCATCAGCATTATTTTTTATTATAGACGTCATATTGGATTTTTAAACGGATGGAGTTTTCAATTCTGATTTCAAAAATTTATAATACATCATACATTGACATTGCCAAGCCTTGGTTGTTTAAAAAAGAGCACAATTTCATAAATTGTCCGATAGTCATTTGTTTTGCACGCCAAAATTTATCCCAAAATCATTTTTATTTTTTCCTGACTTCATTTGAGATGGGATTTCAAAATAAATTACATGTTGCCGTTGTACTTATTCACCTCTACAAGATGGCGTAGTTAAAATTGAGGTTTCTTCTTTCCACTTCCATCATCAACTTTGTTTTTCATATGGACACTGTATTGTAATTTTGTACATTTAAATTCAGTGTTGTATTTGGTCATGAGTTTGTTGTTTGACGAAAATTATAAGGAAATAAAAACCTGAACACAAAATGAAAACTTTAAAAATCTATTGAACTATAATAATCATAAATAAACCGAGATAAAAATCTCAGAAGATGTTTGTCCATCACCGCTTTATTTCACTTCTGTCTTCCAAAAATGCTGACCCAGTAGCCGCCTTTTGACCATTTATTATCAATATTCGTCTGTCTAGACGATCTCCAATTGTTTTCTGTGTTTGATAATATGAATTTCTATTCTTTCTGGTTTCAGGTAAACAACAATGGCTTTCTATCATTCCAAACAGAAATTCCTCTATGGATCAACATGGAATTTCCCCTAGAATATCCAATCATTGCTCCATTTTACTCTAATGTGGACACAACAAGAGCTGGTAGCGTGGTATACTATGAAACCGACGATCCTGAAATGTTGAGTAGAGCAACAGAGAACGCTCACGAATTTTTCCTAAACTACGGAGATTTTCAAGCTACTAGCTTGTTTGTGGTCACTTGGAAAGGTGAGCTATTGAAATATTGTTTATTTTTTAGATCTTTTCTTGGGAATTTCACGATAGAAGCCGGTAGTACGAATAGCTGCTGAGAGTCTTACACTTTAAGCGAAGAAGGAAATTATCTTTCTCTATTATCTCTGCAGCCTAGAAAAAATGATAAATTTTGTACAAATTCTCTCTAGATGTTGGTTACTTTGACCAGGGAGATGACAAACTCAACACCTATCAAGTGGCCATAGCAACGGATGGCGTGGAAACTTATGTGGAGTTTCTGTATCCTGACGGAGGAATTCAGTGGATACAAGGAACAGGAGATCAATCAGGTTTTCCAGATGCTAGAGCTCAAGCAGGGATTATTTCACATGAAGGAAAGATGACTCTGTTACCGGGATCAGGAACAGAACAAGTGCGAAATCTTGCAAGGTAAAACCTATTTTAGAAATAGTTTTTCCGAACTTTAAGTTTATTTTCAAGCCCAGGGAGTCCTTTATGCCCTAGGGTGGTAAACTAACTTTAGCACCCGCTACGTTTTTTCAACCTATGTCCTCACGTCAACTGACTGACTTGATTCTTCGCTAGGCGACGGCGTAGCCACTGGAAAGAACAATCGATTTGTTTTTAATTCTACTTAGGTCTTTTTTTTATTACATTATCTAGTGGTAGATAATTTAACTATTTTTTGTTGTAGGCTGACCAATACTGGTATAGACGGTCAATTTGTATTCAAAGTGGATAAGCCAGAAATTGAAGAACCAGATGCCATTTATGGTAATACTTTCAAGTTGAAGTTACAATATTAGTTAATAGTATTATTTTTGAACGTCTCACAGGGAAATAAATATTTTAGATAAGAAACCAAACAAGGGAGCACCAGAATCGTGTGACGAAGCACCTACTTACTGTCACATCAATGCTGAGTGTATAGACTATGATAGAGGGTTTTGTTGCAAGTGTCAACCTAAGTACTATGGAAATGGAAAGTACTGCATTAAAAAGGGTAAGTACAATCATTCTATTCGTCATCGTCTGTCAGAGCGGTGCGTAGGACTTTTGGTCTTGGTTAAAGTCTTGTAAGTCAGAAGGTCTGTCAGGTCTGCTTGCCCAGATACCAATCAAAATCAGGAGAAAGAAGGGAAGAAGAAAGGAAGGACGGAGGGAGAGCAAAGAAAAAAGAAGTGCGTCAATTTGAGGGGTGCCTTGGCATTGCTAGTTAGTATTCGGCAATATTAAATTGATCCAAAAATTAATTTGGGATTGGTTGTTGAAGAAAAATTATAATTTTGGTTGACCTAAAGTCGCCCGATTTAATTTTGTTCACAGTGCGAGTCTCGGCCTTGTGTGCTTGCGAACTTGCTCGAGTGTGTAGTCTACTGACTCGCGCAACAAAGGGTTGCTATGCGTTTCCGCTGGATTATAACGTAGCTGCGCTTGTTGTTTGATGTAGTCCCTTAGGTAAGGGATGTCAAGGTCTCTGTGAAGGGTCTCGTTTGAAACATACCATGGGGCGTTAGTGATTGTACGCAAGGTTCTGTTCTGCAAAACCTGCAGGCTACGCAAATGCCTTTTGGCGAGAAAACACCAAGCCATCTTGTATAGCCGAACTTTGTTGATCAAACTTAATTTTGATTTTCTACATAGCATAGGGTAGAGTTGCCGAAACGAGATTTGGAATTTAGTTTTTAACGCTTCAGTGTGCTTCTGCCAGGTCATCCTCTTGTCATGAGTGACACCGAGATACGCAGCAGAGCTTTCCCATGGTACCCAAGCTCCATTCACCGAAACCTCAGACGGGGCGACGCTATGTTTTTTAGTACAATAGATTTCCTGCGTTTTCGAATGATTAATTTTTATCAGTCACCGATTCTCCCATTACAATACCTCGTCCACTGCACTTAGCAGCCTGCCGTGAACTAGATCCCCAGAACACGACTGGGCCACCAGGGCAGTGTCATCAGCATAGAGATAGATTGCACAGTTGCTGGTGCAAGGGACGTCATGAATAAAAAGTGAATAAAGGACTGGTCCAAGAACCGAACCCTGAGGGACACCGGCTTTGATAGGCCGTGCTGCTGACAGAACGTTATTAATTTTGATTCGAAATTTAATACCCTCGAGGAAGGATTTCAAAGATTTTAGAAACCAGAAAGGAAAGCCATTATGGATCAATTTGTGCCACACCTTGTCAAATGCCTTTGAGACATCCAGAAGCAAGATGCCAGTACTTTCGTTACGGGTGAACTGGTTACTCGTACAATAAGCCTTATCGCCTGTAGCTCCTTACTATGCTACCTTTTCAGCGAGCTTAGAAGAAGCTGACAGTAGACTACTTCGGCGGTAATCCGGAGGGAATATCGAACCCACCTTCTTTGGAATCATTATGACATCAGCGGTCTTCCACGCCGTTGGGAAGTGCTGGGTCCTTAGCATGGCATTGATTATTGCCACGAGATAAGTTAAGGACTTCCGCGAAAGTAGCTTCAGCGCTTTATTAGTGATTCGATCCTCTCCATGTGCTTTATGCACCTTGAGGTCTTTAATATGACCTTAAAGCTCTGCAATGCGAAGTCTCAGGAGATTCCGCTGATGTACCATGCAGCTCTCCAGTTGAGGAATCTTCTGAATATTCCTCCGAGGAATAATCTCTAAGGGAGGCACAGTATAATCATTTTTACATAATGAATATGTACTCAGTAATACTGACAGCTGTCTGGTTTCATTGGATCTCCATGCATGAATGGTGACAATGGTGAAGGAATGGTCTTTGCAAACTTTATCACAATTGGAGCAGACACATTTTTTGATCCTTGATTATCTTTTTCCACGAGGAGCTTTATGAAAATATGACTTGCTGTGTCTAATGAAAACTTTTCGATATCTTAGTATTTTACGCTCTGAATTTTGAAGTTTCGTAAGTACGTTTCATATATTTTCAGACGTTCCCTTGAGGGTGAATGGTAAAGTTAATGGAAAAATCAATGGAGAAAGATTGGAAAACCTTGACTTGCAATCGTACGTAGTGATGGCAGATGGTAGAGCATATACCGCTGTATCCAAAATACCTCAGTCCATAGGATATGATATACAGTCAGCTCAAATTTTAGGAGGTTTAATTGGATATTTGTTCGCGAAACCTCTACGAGAAGCAGAAAATGGGTAAGTTAGCTTAAAGTCATACGATTCAAGTCTAAAAGAAAAATACCATTTAACTTTGGACAGTCCAAATTTAGGCTGCAAAAAATAGAGAATCTTCCTTGTTTATGAATTAATTTTATTCAAGGAACCCTATTTTATTATTTCTAAAATCATATTGATCCTTTAGCAATATTCTTGACCTTTTTACCATAGCGTGAAGAACTGGATTAAAATAAAAATTTCTACTTAAACTTTATCTCTTTATGTATATACAGGGTGTAAAAGTTATGGTGATCATTATTGAAATGGGTAATAGGGGGGGGGGGTAATTGGCCCTTTCGAGTTACCCCCAAAATTGTCAGGAGATGGATACCTTAGCTTTCTAGCCAATAAACTACCAGAACTTTTGGCACAGACCTTAGACAACATGCCATTTCAGCGGAGACAGAATTTGTGATTTCTTCATGACGGGGCACCACCACACATTTTTAGAGGCGTCATTCAGTATTTGTATGAACATTATCCAAATCGCTGGATCGGTCGAAATGCTCCTGATCCTCGAAAATGGCCAGCAAGACCTCCTGAGCTCAATCCGATGGATTTCTGGTATTGAGAAGAACTTAAAGGGATGGTTTATGGGGCTGGTCCAATAACAACTGAAGCACAACTTCGCGAAAAAAATTTTAATGCGGCTGAAATAATAAATGGACAATTTCGAGGACCTAGAGTAAGAAGAAACTGGGTTCGTCCTAAGGGAACTTGTATGGAAAGTGGAGGACGACATTTTGAACACCTTCTTGAAATACAAAAAAATGCAGTATGGATTTTAAAAAGAAAAACAATGAATGTATCAAAATTGTGTTTCCTATAATACGTTCAATAAACTTTCACACACCAGGTGAAGCGCTAAGACGGTTAGTGGTAAGTCCCTTTTTTCAATTGTTTGCATTTTACGAGTACATTATCAAATAATGAAATAATACCTAAGAGTCGAAAATAACAAACTCCATCTTTATTTACACTGCGTTCCGTCGTAACTTGCGTCTGGCATTGCGGCGTTGTCAGATTTTATTTTTCTTTAAAGTCGCTTTTCTTTAAAAAAAATGCCTTTTTGACCCCATGTTATGTGAAACTTTTTGCTTCTTTCAACCGCCTCTATCACCCATTTAAATAATGACTATGATAACGTTTACACCCTGTATAAAGAGATATCATTTAGTATCTCCATAAACAATGTTCGTCATTACTTGAAGATCTAATTCAAAGTAAATTTCATTTTAGATATCAAATTACAGGAGGGGTATTCGAACATTCAGCTACAGTGGATTTCACAAATACTAGTCAGAAATTGTGGATCAAATCTAAGTTCCTTGGATTGGACGTTTTTGATCAACTCAGGTTAGAACTGACCCTAGAAGGTCAGATACCAACCCTACCAAACGATGTGCTGGTAAGTATATTTAAATGCCTATGATGTGTCTAAAAAAAATGACAATGCTTTCTTCATTCGAAAGAGGCCTCGATGACGTCAGATAAAAAATAACCCAACAAAAATTTGCTTCCGTCCTAGCGGATCATGTAATGAAAACCTAGAAGCAAAGGTCGTATTTGAGGTGTCAAGGTCATTCGGAACCAAGGCCATGTTATCAGACACACTGTTCACACTTGAAAACTCTTTTCTTGTTCCTAATTGAGCTAAAGCTTGAAATAACAACGGTGTAAAGTAGACTCGATACCTAACTATTATTTTGACAGAATTCAAAGATACAATTGTTATTGTTTACCAACTGATCTAGATACGGTGATTTGTAGGTAAATATCGAAGAGTACCAAGAACAGTACACCAGAACAGAGCCTGGCTTGATAGAGAACGCAGCTCAAAGATCATTCTGGTACGAAGCTCCAAACGGTGAAAGGATTACCCACTACTACAAAGTCCAGCAGTCCTTCAAAATAAATGAATGCCCATTTGAAAATAATTCTGTACCTGAAACGTGGACTCTCAAAGTGGGGAAGAATTTTATTAGCTATGAAGCTAGGGAGCAGATTATCCGATTTGGATTGAGCAACAAGATCGTTCCTTTAGGAGGTAACTAGCTATAGAGATTATCCAATAAACATTGTCTTAGAGAATGCTAGTTCTAGTGATTGTTGACACTTCCTTAATGAGGGACAATAAAACAGATTAATTGTTACAGTTCTATTGATTCTATTTATATATATAGTTAGTGAGTGAATGGTATTTCAGATTTTGATCCATGTGAAGAGGGTCGAAGGACTTGCGTTCCAAACAGCGCATGCGTAGTAGAAAACGATTCTTACCGTTGCATTTGTAAGCCAGGTTTCCAAGAGATCCAACTCCAGAACACTATTCAATGTGTTGACATGAACGAATGTCAAACTGGACAACACGACTGTGACTTTAATGCTCAATGTTCCAACACATTCGGTAAGTAACAAAAGCTGTACTTCGTCATAAAAAGGAACATTCGAAATGTATAGGAAGTGTTAGGGAAGAATGAAAAGCTTCTGTCAATAAAGATGTCTGGAGGCAAGTCATGTTTTCCAGACTTAAAATCATAAGAATTATTTGAAGCTCAAAGTGCGACAAGGACAGAAGCATATGGAAAATTTAAGTTGAGAAGCCTTAATTATTATTATTATTATTATTGAACAAATTTGAGTCGAGTGTAAGTACTATAGGTTCAAACATATAATAGATAACAGTGTACAGAAAAAAGAAATATAACAATTTGACAATCTTAGCACTTCTGAATGGGAACAATATGTTAAGCACGTGTCTATCATAATTGTTTTTGAAACTGTTGACGGATGCCGAGTTCATTAAATAAGATGGAAGACTGTTCCATGCTTCGAAGACACGGTTTGAGATAAAGCGCTGACGAGTAGAGGTTCTAAAAGATTCCTTCTGCAATTTGAACTTATAGCCTTTGAGATTGTTCGTTGCCAGACGAAACAGATGCGACATGTCCACACCAAACAAATTATGCAGTGCTCTGAAAGTGATGATGAGATCTCCTCGCATTCTTCTATCAGCAAAGCTGGCAGGTTATATAACTCGAGGCGGTCTTCATAACTCGGCTTACGTGTGCCATAAGGCATACGTGTAGCACGACGCCTCTAATAAGCTGCTATCGCGAACAAGGTTTGAATCCCATACCGGAGCAGCAAACTCCAGTAGGGGTCGTACGAAATTTGTGTACAAGAAGGAGGAGGTACTAACGGTGCAACCGCTAAATGATCTTTCCATCATATATAGCAACCGCTTTGCCTTAGAGGTCATGTTCTGAATGTGCTCCGACCAGGTGAGCCGGTCATTAACTGTCAGACCAAGATCTGTGTGAAGAAAAACAGTCTCTTAGGTATGTTTGCCAATCTTATATGTTAAGTTAGGATTATTCTTTCCCAGGTGGAACGTAGAATTTCGAGAGATTTAAAGGCAGGAGCCAAAGTCCTGACTACTTTCTAATCAGCTTGAGGTCTTCTTGCAGCACAGATGAGTTCATGGCAGTGTTATAGACTTTAGTATCATCTGCATAGATGGAACACATAAAATAAAGTCGGGTGGGAAGGTTGCTTGTATAAAGAAGAAAAAGTACTGGCCCTAGCACAGATCCTCGTGAAACTCCACTAGTAACACGATGGCTAGAAGAATAGGCGTCTCCAATACGGACGGGGAAAGATCTATCTAACAAAAAAGCTTCAATCCATAGCAACAAATTTCCCCTGATTCCGAGATGTTCAAGCTTGTGCAGGAGCCTCTTATGCGGAACTCGATCGAAAGCTCTGGAAAAATCCAGATAAACCACGTCGACCGCTTCATTTGCGTCTAAAGATCTTGTCCAATTGTCGATGCAGTGTAACATGTTGGTGATAATTGATCTACCAGGAATAAAACCAAGTTGGTTGCTAGGTAGCAGGTTGTTCTTGAACGCAAATGTCATAAGTTGTTCTTGGACGATCTTTTCGGCTATTTTTGCAGCTATAGGCACAAGACTGATAAGACGGTAGTTTTTCAGAGATGTTTTATCTCCTTTTTTGTATATAGGAGTCACAGATGCAGTAGGTACGCCAACAGGAAGGAAGGATGTGATTTTGAAACGTGGAGTTGAATATAATGCACAGGGGGTATGCGTGAGCTGAAGCACAGTACTACATAATGATGATTCTATCGAAGAAAACTTTCAAACTCTATTGTAAATCTGCAATCAGTGCCAAAGAATGTTTTTAGGGTAATTTTGTGCTCAGATCGTGGATCTGATGTCAGTTTTTTGCTAATATGGATGAAAATATAGCTCCGCAACACTGTAATTTTCGAATTTGCTTTCCAAATAACCCCTGTATACAATCTGAGGAATCTGAGGATTTTTTTCATGAAAGGCCCAAATAGTGCACTAATGGTACTCACAAAACGCAATGGAAAATTGTTCTAGGAGTTGAATAGAGTCAGTCTACTTGACGCCATTTTGTACTAACTATATTCGAAATTAGTGTTGCAAATTGACCCAACATCCGGGAAGCTTTAAAACTTAAAGGCATGTTGATGCTGATGGACCCCATTTAAAACGTTCCATCTTCTGAATTACAACGAGCAGTATCCAGAAATTTGTAATATTCAACTTCTAGGTAGCTACGAATGCAGATGTAATCCTGGGTTTGAAGGAAATGGCCACGTCTGTGAAAATGCAAAGTCTTGTTACAACGTCACTTGTACTGAAAACGCTGAATGTGTCGAAAACAATGCTGTAGCCTACTGTCAGTGTTTGAAAGGATTCACAGGTAAGACTTCGGAACACTAAGTTTGTACAAAATGCTTTAAATTGTATTCCACTCAACTCAAAGGTTGTGACAAGTGACGTTGACGAATTAATGGTTCCAACCTGAGGAAGGTCTCATTTGGTGACAGATCCTCAAGCTTTGCTTATAGAGGAGAAAGTGCATTGGATACTCCTTTTGTTTCAGGGAATGGTCAACATTGTACTCCAGTAACAGACCATAGTTGCCACATAGCCAACAACTGTTCACCGTATGGATACTGTGCTATCAATCCAGAAACCAACAATTATTTCTGTTCCTGTCTACCTGGATATACAGGAGATGGCTACCAATGTGTAGAAGTACCTACTACCACCACTAATGATGAGGAAATACTCACCACTACTGAAGGACCTAGTAAGTATACTAAGTGACATATAAATCCGAACACCCAGTTTAAATGGTTTTGTTTTAATAAAATTTTGTATAAGTACTTAATGAAGCATAATAAGTAAATGATAAAAATTTCAAAATGAATGCACTGCTTTAAAGCCCTTTGACCTTTAATAATGTGTGGATGCACCCTGATGTGCTACGCATTCTCCAACGCGCCTAGGCATGCTTCTGATCAGGTGGTCAATGTCCTCCTGTGGTATCTCATTCCAGGCAACCACCAACTCCTCTAGAAGTGCTTCTAGAGTCTGAGGAGGACGTTGCAAATTGAGCAATCTCCTACCCATCATGTCCCACACGTGCTCAATTGGGGATAAGTCGGGAGATCTTGGTGGCCATGGTAACAATGTGACATCATTATGTTGAAAGAAGTCTATTGTGACTCTTGCAACATGTGGTCGGGCATTATCTTGTTGGTAAGTTGGATCTGCCAGGGTGTCAAGATAGGGTAAAAGATGGGGTTCTAGAACTTCGTGGATATAACGCTGCGCGTTCATGTTACCTCTGATGAAGATTAAAGGTGACCTGGAACCATAAGCTATAGCACCCCAAACCATAACTCCAACAGTGTGATGAACATGTCTTTCAACAAAAAACTGTGGATTCCTCCTTTCACCACGTCGCCTTCTAACCCTGGCACGACCATCGTGCATGCCTAAACAAATTCGAGACTCGTCACTAAAGACAATACTGTTCCATTCCTGATCCCAGAGTGACCGTTGTCTGCACCACTCAAGGCGATTACGTCGGTGTTCTCGAGTTAAAGGGAGGACCCAGTGTGGCCGGTATGAAAACAAGCCAAAATTTCTCATTCGTCGGAAAACACTTCGCATGCCAATAGGTCTTCCGTGTTCTGCAAACCATTCATTTGCAATGGACCTGGTAGTGGAGAAACGGTCCCCTAAGGCCTTAGGCGGCGATCTTCACGGTCTGTTGTTCTACGGCGGTGTCCAGTGCCCCTTGCTCTTTGCGTACGGCCTTCTCGAAGCCATGCCTAACAACACCTAACCACAGTGTCTACACTTCTTTGCACTCTAACTGCAATTGCCCGAAAAGAAAGTCCAGCTTCCCGAAGTCCCACTATACGGCCCCTATCAAATTCACTAAGTTGACGAAATCGTACAGGTCTCCGCACTCTAGGCATTGTAACCGATCGTAAAGGATGTCAAGAACCAAAATCCGCCAACGTTGATTAGTGATTAGTGAATTAAAAAAAAGCCGTATAAAAACCGGAATGTCCAACTGATAAGGCTGAAAATTTTTTCACTCGTTATTTACAGTAAGATAAATACATTCACCAACTTTTATTAAAATAAAACCATTTAAACTGGGTGTTCGGATTTACAAGTATATGTCACTTAGTATATATTAACTCGCTTTTATTTATTTTATTTTTATTTGTTTTTATTATTTTTTATTACAGGACCTGGAGAGAGACGTCCACAATCCTGCCTCCTAGGAGTCTGCTACTGTCCTTCCGGATATCGAACAGAAACCGGCACCAAGTACTGCCTGAAAGAAGACAAAGAAACGGATGCCGAGAGCGAAAAAATCGGTACCACCACATACAATCCTGAAGGTTGGTACCAGGTAGTTCTTAGGTGTATTTGAGAGCCATCAGTCGAATTTTCAGTTGACATTAGCAGACCTGAAGCGCAATGCTTCGAAAACACACGCTGCTTTTGTCCCGGAGGATTCAAGTACGTCAAAGGGAACCAAAGCTGTATGGCAACTAGTGATGGCCCAGCGAGAACGATGGGAGGACAAGCAAAATGTAACGCGTACAGTACATGTTGTTTTCTTGCTTCAAAAAATTTGCTTTCACATTCGATGAACTGCGTTTCTGCAGAAAACCCACACGTAATATGAAGTTTGAATATTTTTGTCCAAATCATTTTTCTGATTCAGAATTGACTATTCCTATTCTACTGCCACATGATTACATGTGGTATAGTTGTAGTCACCACCGTTCTTAGCGGTTACGTCATCAACGCCATATAAATTAAGTAAACAGATCGAATCTCCGTACTTCTTCAGCGCATCTGCTACTCTCTCCAGTATGCATGAAATAGGTAATATGGGGCCGCTGTTTTCTTCCTGAAATACTCTAATAAATTTAGCACGAGCTGTCGGTCTTCATTGATCCTATTTCCGGGCATTGTTCAATTTTATATTGAAGATTGATAACAGGGCAACTGAAATTGCACACCGATGACAAGCGGTTGTCACTCTGACAAATATGATTAAAGGGCAATCATATAATAACGACAATGTTTTCGAGACGGAGACACACGTTCACACACAGGGGTAGGTGGCATGTGTATGTATGAGGGAGATGGAGATATATAAAGCGATACTGGTTGTCTTCCTTTGACCCTCCAAGAACGGCGACAACAACTATCCACAGCTTATGAAGGTTGTTTCCGGTAATGGTTTCACAAGTCATAAAACAAATGATCTAAACAAATTGTCAGCTGGGTAGGTCTGCTTACCCGGGTACCGTTTTCTGATCTCTGACAGAGACACTTGACGTCTATCAGGCCATTTCAAGGCGACCTCAAAATCATGTTAATGGTAAATTCTCGAAAAGTCGGAAAGTCCGGTTACCTGATATAGATTTTTGTGGTCGCTGAGCTGGAATCAGGAATTAATTTGTCTGTGAAGACAAGTTCATTTCAGGATGACTTCAAAGACAAGTTCGGAGGTGTTTGATTATCCAGTCTAAATATGTATAGATGCCGCTGTCTTCAAATGGGTGGCCAATTTGTCTTTGCGAGTACACTTTTAGGTCACTTCAAGAATCGTTCAATGTAAAAGTTCCAAAAAATAAATAATAAGTGTTTATTGATACAATATTTTTCCACTGATATGACCTAAAATGAGCTCATTGACATAAACTGACCTAGTCGCTCTAAAAGCTTGTACATTTACATATTTTGCACTTCCTTAAGGTGACCTTGAATCTCATTACAAGTGACTTGAAAAATCCATATTATAGGTGTTTTGACGTCTTCGCTTGGCTTTTCGATAATTTGACTTCGAGGTGACCTTGGAATAGCCTTGAAATACGTCATGGAGGTGAAGCGATCTGGAGTAAGAAATTAAGTCTCACTAACGATCCCCCTTTGTAGGAATTTTTAAACGTTGTGTTGTAGTGCCTCGAAAAATCGCCTCAATTATTTTAATTTCTGTCTATCTGACGACTGCCTGATGAGCACTAAACCCTGTGTAACTCAAACACGAATGCCATAATTTTTAATAATGGTGCTTTAATAAATTGCTACTGCTATACCAAGGACGAAAAAAGTTCATAAGTTTTGTACATTGTTCCAGTAGTAGCAAAGTTATGAGCCACAAATAGAAATTTAGCTTAGTTCCTTTTGGCAGAACAATTTTTTTTAGAGAGGCCAGACGTAGAAAAAATATGTCAGACCTCGCTTTCGGCTTTTTTCAACTCTGTATTTTACATTTTAAAATCGCTTATAGTATTTGTATAGGGGCAATGTCAAGGGAATTTATATAAGTGCATGGACGTCGCTGTGCTAGTCTGCTTGACACCATTTCAACAATTTTAGTTTAAGGTGACCCCGAGATGACTTGAAAAACCTCATAGAGAAATTATATCTACGGGCCAAAAAGAGCACTTCTTATTTCAAGCAATTTTAAGCAATTTTTAATCCTTGGCTATCATCTACTTGACAGAATGTTTTCTTCCCCAGTTACCTGCGACGTGTTGAACAACTGTCACCGAAACGCAAGCTGTGTCTACTCCGACGACTTGCATGCGTATCAGTGCGTCTGCAACGAAGGATTCGAAGGCAACGGATACTCTTGCGAGCCCGAGTACATTTCCTGCACCAAATACGACAACTGCAGTCCTCATGCAACTTGCACTTACGATGAAAGTTTGGGAAGGTCCAAGTGCATCTGCAACTCGGGATATGCTGGAGATGGGCACACCTGTTCGATTATAGGTATGCATCTTGGAATTTAAACGTGAATTTGGTTAAATGGACAGTACTTTATGCTTCCCTAAGCTGCTGACAATATTTTTTCTTACTCGTAAACATGGTGCTCCATCAGAATGCCTGTTCAACTTCATCTCGAAGTAGCTGGTAGAATACTAGCTGCATACAATAGAATGAGATGCTAACATATTGGAAAGTGTGCTGATATTAGACAGACTGAGTCTCAAGTGGTAGAATTGCCTTTTTCACTTTTAACAATCCAAAACATGACGATCATGTTACAAAAGTACACCCACAATGTTGTAAAATAGGGAAAGCTGCCCACTTCCTGAAGAATTTTTCTCTAGTGATAGATCTGTTTATGTCCAAACAATGGTTTTTATTTGCTGCTGGTATCATGACTAGATCCTTTCAACTGGAAAAGAATATTATTATTTATATTATGAGATCAAGACTTATATCGTTGTTAGCAGATGTGACAGAAGATGAGGTTGAACACTTCATTTGCAACTGCCCAGCTAGCTATCGATACGAGGATACATTTTGTGGGAGCGTTTCTATGATGAATTCCAAGGAATCACTATTTTCTTTAATAAGTTGGTTGGAGAACCAGTCCTAAGAAACCCTTGCAGAGAACGTATGAGAGATCATATGAGGCAATGTCAAAATATCCCGTTGAGAAAAACTCCTAGAAGGGTTATACAGGTGCAATGTGGATGTAGCACTGTGATCTTGGATAATTATTCATAACACAAGCTTTTTTTAATGAATTATCAATAAAATTCAGCCGCGTAGTGTTCCTTCATGTTTGCTGAATGTACACCCCTGTTAGAAATTACGCACCAGACAAGGATTTTATCTGCAAATTTCGCTTTATGTTTGTATTTAACATTGTCAGAGTATTTGGGACAGCTAAGTCTCTTGCGATATTTAAGACCAATCCTCCTCAATTCCGACGATATCCTACTCTTAGAAGATCTGCATTGACGGGCCAACCTTATTTTTGTAGAAACTTTTTCATGATTCTAATTAATACATCATCTTAAAGCAGAATCTTCAAAATAAATAAATTTTAAGTAAAGTATGTAAACGAACTTTTATTTCCAAAGGTAACTTGATATTATTCTGTGCTTGTTAAAATTAAAGTCAATAAATTTTGCGCCAAAACTTCTAGGAGTAATAATTTCTCTCTTACAAGTTCCTTATTTTGCTGCAATAAAGATACTTGTTTTCCCTCTGAATATACGATTTACTGTTTTTCCAGCTATATGCAGCTCCAACGGCGACTGTGCCGAAACAGAAGACTGCATGTTAACAAGCTCTAATAGATACGAATGTGTCTGTAAAGAAGGTAACTAGATTGAAAAATGTGTATGTTGCATCGTCATGAATAATTTCACAGGAAATCGCCTTTGCTACTTTTCATAAAGCAATCGGAAACTTGCAGAAAAATATAGCTGAATTCCACTCAAAAAATGTGTCGTATAGATGCTAATGGAGGTATTGGTAAATGTGAAATTTTCGTCTGTTTAGGTTTTGTCAGAGATTCGCAATACCTTTGTGTTCAAGCCCAAGGCTCTTGTGGAGGAGGCAGATGTGTTGAAAATGCGGACTGTGTCTACGATGAAGATTATCAAACCCACTTTTGTGCCTGCAAAGCTGGATATGTTGGTGATGGTATTACCATATGCAAAGAAAAGGTAAAATGGAATAATCAAGATCCTTCATTTTTCCATTTAAACTATCTTATATATGTGCTTTATGCATCTGCAGCTACACTTGTACCTGCAACCACTTAAAAATTATTCAGGCCTTCGATATATTATAATTATAATGTTTAACTTAAAAATACACTTTGTACCGGTCTCAAAAGCAGCCGTTAAATACAACTACCACAAACAAAATTATGCTTTGGAACATGTCACAGAAGTAGAAACGTCAGTAATTTCTTCCATCAACATTTCTACATATTTATTTTCAATAAGCTGCCAGTAGGACATGGATATGGATCAGCGGGACGACGGAATGAGGTCTAAGGAAATACATATCCATTTTGTTTTAGGTGATCGGTTGTGATACTTTGAACAACTGTGGAGCTCACGCTTATTGTAAATACAACGAGGAAGACCTGACTTACAAATGTGTTTGCGATGACGGCTTCTTTGGTGATGGATTCAACTGCTATGCTCAAAGGAACTGTCACATTGACCCCAGTATGTGTGACCAACATGCTGTTTGCCTCTCTGGTTAGTACGGAAAAATAACATTTCACAATTTTTTTAACATTTGAAGAAACTTCCTCGAGCATTTAATAATAGAAAATGAAGCAGAAGCAAACATTTTAAAAGGTAAATCATGCAGGGTGAGCTTTTAATCTGAGCTTGGTCGATACCTACGTTATTACGTACGGAATATAAACAACCTAGATACAATAATTTCTCCTGACCTAGGAAGTACTATTTTCATTTCTACAAGGTGATTCATAGTCACATACACTTTCTAAGGTGGAAAGCCCTATATTTTATCTCAAGTTTATATCGTATCTTTCAAACGAAGCGATTTTATATAACTTAGAGTAGGTATATTATTATTTTATTTACAAGTAGTAGTTGATATATTCAGAAAAAAATACAACTTTGATAACGCGGACCCCCGCAACAGTAATAGCTAGAGTACTAAATTTTTCGGTTAAAAATTATATGATCTCATACTTTTACCCTATCTACTTGCTTTCTGAGTTTTCGGGTTAGTATATACCAATAACGCAAAATGAAATATTCCTCAAAAGTTTCTAACGGAACACCCTGTATACTTTAACATTCTTTGATTCCTCGTTTACGAGCTTCTTTTAATATAAGGTTTAATGAGTTACTTGATGTCTGATTCATAAAAGGGATAGCTTTATCTCAAAAAACAAGCGCCCATAGGCCTTGCATGAAAAAAGCCTGTGAAAGGGGGATTTAAAGAGTATGAAAATATACAGGGTGCTTCATTCGAAAACTTTGGAAAATTGTTCATTTTGTGTACTTGACCACTACGTATATGCTACCAAAAAAAATTAAAAAGTAAGCAAATGGGAAGAAAATGTCAGGTCATAAAATTTTTGTGACGATGACAAAAAATTCAGTTCTCTAGTTATAATAGTTGTGGAGGTGTAATTTGTCAGAGTTGAGTTTTTTTTTGATAGATTGTCCATTACCTCAACAATTCGAAAATAAAACTCTATAGTATGATATATCAAATTGCTTCATTTGAAATGACCTACCTATAATGTGGATCTTTCCGTTTAAAGTAATGTATGTATGTATGTTGAGTCACTCGGAAGTTATGAATCACCCTGTAGAGATAAGACATTTTACAAGTTAGAAGCATACTGTTGGTTAATTTTATGGTTACCTTTTTTAAATATCATGTGTAAAAACTATATATATATATATATATATATATATATATATATATTATATATATAACTGTATATCATGTTTTCATTAGATGCGAATCGTCACTTTGTCTGCCAATGCAACTCAGGCTACGTGGGTAATGGCACTATCTGCAAGGAGATATCCAAGCATGAGGGCAATTTTCTGCTGGTTAATCAAGGGATGGCTACTCTTCGAATTCCCCTGGAGCCCACGAAAACAGGAATCCACAAGCCAATACAGGTATGACTTTATAGTACTTGCAATTACATCTTGTAGGCGAGGAACTTTGACACAGCCGAAATTTTGAAGGAGGTCTGTTTAAAACACAAACTAAAAGTAGCGGAACCGGCTCTGTATTTTTCCAGATAAGCAATGTTTAAAAAACGTTGAGGTACATCTGATAAGGTCGTGTCATCCCTGATATGCCTAATGACATAACCCCCAGTAGTGAGAGGTGTAAGAATTTGGTAGGAGTAGCTATCTCGATTACGCTGTACGGAGCCCCTATCTATAACAAGGCTTTGAGGTAAAAAAAATATAGGCAACTGACGCTCAGAAACTAGCGAAAAGTGATGCTACGCATGGTACGCGCTTACAGAACGCTGTAGACTGACGCACTGCTAGTGGTGGCTGGTATCCCGCCAGTTGATTTTCCGGCCGAGGAGATATGCACACTGTTTGAAAAGGGCGCCGAATTTAAGAACTGGCTATGTTCATGGACTAGAAGGATGATCCCAGATATTAAAACTTGGATTGACAACAGAGTATTGCGGATAGATGACCATACTGCACTGTTACTCACAAGGGAAGGCAAGAGATAGTACACGATGGCGTATATTGCAACAAAGAGGAGTATACTCCTAACCATTTACTTCGATATGGTAGATAGGTTGACTATCAGAGACGGTTGGAATTGACGCTCGAGTGGGGCTCACTGCTGACATTTTTGCCAGCCATGTAAGCGAGGAAAGAAGGGCTGAGATCCAACCAATAACGAGCAAGGTATGGGAGGATAAAAATAGACCAACAATATTGTTTTACTAGGTGGATGTGCACATACATAAGTAGATCTGTACCTGTATATGCATGACGCTAAAAATGAGATGACTAAATACCGTTGGTATGACAACTTGGTGTAACGCTGTCCACCTTGAGGAAATGCTGTCATTGTCGCGGTGGAATATATAGCAAACGTCAGTGTAAGCATTTCCGGAGAATCTCATACTGAGACTAAGCTATAAATGCTTTCCATTATTCAAAAAAGGTCAGGTTTAGGCAGCAGCGGTGGCCGCAGTAGTAGACTCTTCGGTCTCCTGATCATTCGCCGTGCGCTGTGCGGGTTCGAGTCCCGTCCCAGGAGAAATTTTTCTCTTGGCTATGGATGTTGTGATTGTCCGTAGGTGGTAGACGGTCTCCGACTGTCGAACGTGGAGGTACCACCCGGTGGATCTCGTAGACGGAGCCAGAATGTGTGCATGTTGCATGCACACGTGTTCCCTCGCTAGAGTCCGTGTGGCGTTCCCCCTTTCCCTTGTATCCCCCTATAGCCCCACGGTACCCAATGGGCGCTTAGGCCTTAGGCCTTCGTGGTAGTAAAAAAAAAGGTCCTTCCTATTTTTGAACAACGAGTTAAATAGTGATTTTAGACTTAACCTTGAGCCTTACCTTCCAGGTTCTTTCAAGATTAATTTTTTTATGCACACCCCCCTTTGGGTAACGGTAATCAAATAAACGGTAGTTTTATATTTTCGGACATAACATTTCTGTTCTTTCGATTGACGGTGTCAAAAGGGGGGTTTTTCATTGCAAAAACAAAAGATGACCTTGTTGTAACCCCTCGATTGTGAGATACAAGGTCAAATGTAAGGTGACCAGCGAGCTCATTGCTTAAAGTTAATACAAACTTGACCTTAACCTTTTTTAAAAATAGCTTACCATGTCAAAATACAGAGGTATTTGTAATATACTAAGTGACATATAAATCCGAACACCCAGTTTAAATGGTTTTATTTTAATAAAAGTTGGTGAATGTACTTATCTTACTGTAAATAACAAGTGAAAAAATTTTCAGCCTTATCAGTTGGACATTCCGGTTTTTATACTGCTTTTTTTTTAATTCACTAACGCTCTAAAAATGAATATTTCAGCCGCAGTAAAGAATCAACGTTGGCGGATTTTGGTTCCTGACATCCTTTACGATCGGTTACGATGTCTAGAGTACGGAGACCTGTACGATTTCGTCAACTTAGTGAGTTTGATAGGGGCCGTCTAGTGGGACTTCGGGAAGCTGGACTTTCTTTTCGGGCAATTGCAGTTAGAGTGCAAAGAAGTGTAGACACTGTGGTTAGGTGTTGTCAGGCATGGCTTCGAGAAGGCCGTACGCAAAGAGCAAGGGGCACTGGACGCCGCCGTAGAACAACAGACCGTGAAGATCGCCGCCTAAGATTATTGGCCTTAAGGGACCGTTTCTCCACTACCAGGTCCATTGCAAATGAATGGTTTGCAGAACACGGAAGACCTATTGGCATGCGAAGTGTCTACCGACGAATGAGAAGTTTTGGCTTGTTTTCATACCGACCACACTGGGTCCTCCCTTTAACTCGAGAACACCGACGTAATTGCCTTGAGTGGTGCAGACAACGGTCACTCTGGGATCAGGAATGGAACAGTGTTGTCTTTAGTGACGAGTCTCGATTTTGTTTAGGCATGCACGATGGTCGTGCCAGGGTTAGAAGGCGACGTGGTGAAAGGATGAATCCACAGTTTTTTGTTGAAAGACATGTTCATCACACTGTTAGAGTTATGGTTTGGGGTGCTATAGCTTATGGTTCCAGGTCACCTTTAATCTTCATCAGCGGTAACATGAACGCGCAGCGTTATATCCACGAAGTTCTAGAACCCCATCTTTTACCCTATCTTGACACCCTGGCAGATCCAGCTTTCCAACAAGATAATGCCCGACCACATATTGCAAGAGTCACACTTTCAACATAATGAGTTACCATGTTGTTACCATGGCCACCAAGATCTCCCGACTTATCCCCAATTGAGCACGTGTGGGATATGATGGGTAGGAGATTGCTCAATTTGCAACGTCCTCCTCAGACTCTAGAAGCACTTCCAGAGGAGTTGGTGATTGCCTGGAATGAGATACCACAGGAGGACATTGACCACCTGATCAGAAGCATGCCTAGGCGCGTTGGAGAATGCCTAGCACATCAGGGTGCATCCACACATTATTAAAGGTCAAAGGGCTTTAAAGCAGTGCATTCATTTTGAAATTTTTATCATTTACTTATTATGCTTCATTAAGTACTTATACAACATTTTATTAAAATAAAACCATTTAAACTGGGTGTTCGGATTTATATGTCACTTAGTATATGAACGGATATAAACAGCATCATCTTCAAAAATTGGGTGTAAAGAACATATTTCAGCTATTGAAGACGCAATTTGAATTAAAATAAGATTAACTTTAAAGGGCTTCATTGTCGGGCCTAATCCAACCACAAACCTCGTACAATTAAGAGAAGTTAAAACACTTGTCGACACAGCCGTAGTTTGATTTAAGCAGAAAATAAACTCATATGAACACGAAAACTACAGGACATGTTTCAGAAGTTACATTAAGAATAACTTTAATGTCTGTAGGTATTAGCCTTCCAAACGGCAGTAGGCTTGGACTTTGACTGCCTAGAAGGCCGTTTCTATTGGAGTGACATCAACGGAAGGGCTATACGCAGCGCCCTATTCAATGGAAGTATGAAGGAAGACTTTATATCGAAGGGCATTGGATCTCCGGAAGGACTAGCAGTTGACTGGGTTTCCAGGTAATAACACTTACTCTAACTCCGAGTTAGTCTTAGGTTTAACTCTGCAACAAAATTTACCCCTCACTTGAAATTAGTATTAAAGTCAGTAATAAGATAGCTTTTGATGGAACGTTAGGTTTCCTCTCCTTTTTTTTTAATTGGCATTTGTGTTGATTTGCTTTAGTTTGTAATTTAGATTTTACATCACTTAAAACTGTGCGGTAAGAATCAATAACCAAGTGATTTTGCTTTGTGCATTTTTGGTAGGACGCTTTGAGAGTATCTTTTGTGCTGTTGAAATTTTCAATATCATGTAGAGAACTCGTACTTCAAACTTCACTACAAAGCGTATTATTCAGAAATATAATAGCATTATTGAGAATAAGGAGACAGAAGCAGGGTGCCGGTGAACATGATGCCTCCACCGAACATGGTGATATTTGCAACTTTTCAAGGTCGATATTTAGATTAATAAGTTGATGTTATGAAAGCTTGCTAAAAATCATAAATTCTTCAATGAATAACCCCATGTTAGTCACAACCGATCAACAAAATTTCACAGGAATATGTGGACAATTTACTATTATTATAGACATAATATAATGGTACTTGAAAATTATATAAAAAATGTAGTGCTGGTAGAACAGTTGTGTCCAGCAAGAACCAACGAGGAGGTCTGAGGTAAGCTCTTGCCAGGAAAGGAATAAGGAAGATGAGGAGGAAAAAGTGTAGGATAAATGATAAGAAAAACAGATAAAATCAAAGTAAAATAAACAACAGAAAAAACATAACAAAGATTAACGGAAACTTAATAAAAACTCTTAGAACAAACAAATAACAGCACAAAATAATAACAAAAATTAGAATAATCAGAAAACAAGTATCAAAAATAACAAAAATTAGAATCTGCCTTTAATTTTGGATACTTAAGGGGTACAGTAATGGTCGTACCTGTCTTTTCGTCATGGAAGGTGGATTCCCAAATGATGCTGTCCTCAGCAAAGTGCAAATTGCATACTCGGGTGTTTTTTGTAACCACTAAAGCACTACGAGGGATTGCATTGAGCCATCTTTTACGACAGTTTTCATTCAATTGTACCTTCGGACCCTGTCCGTAATTACCGACACAATTAGGAACGCAGCACTTGTAAGGCACTTAGCTAAACAATCGCGAGACACAACTATAAGTTTAAAACATCAATAATTTTCAGTTTACATAGCATAGAAAGATACATAATAGAGGCTCAAAATGTGAGGTTAGTTGGCTGTTGGACAGCTGTTGGATGCTAGCGGTGTTACCAAGGTTGCCACATATTCCAATTTTGAATGGAATATTAGACTTCACAAGTGACAGATTGAACGTAATATCGAAAATGTATCCTTGACATACTGAGGCAGATCAGAAAGAATAATCGCATCATCACTGAAGCTGCGCAGGCCCCGAGTACATCTTGCAAATTCGCCCACAGAGAGGTACAACTGATTAGTAGAGATTTCGATACTGCTATATGACAACACCCCAGAGAAATGGTGGCGCGGTTCTCTTGCCAGCCAGGCATCGCGAAACTCCATAAGAACATGCATAGGCCCAGTTGTTTGACCTTGTGCTCTCGGTGGTAACGGGGTTACCCGCACCTTCGAGTTAAGTAACTATCACCTTCAACCCCAAGCGGTACAAGTCACCGTTAGCTTAGTAATGCGAGCTATAGCGATTATGGCAGTGTAATAAAAATAGAGCTTTCATTGCAAAAAAGTGACGAATCGTTAGGCCTTCCTTTATGTTATTGTTGACAGTGATATCAAATAAGGATGTTTGGAAAAACAAGAGTTTCTATTGCCATTAAAGTAAACCCTGGTAATTTGACAGTACTGACTACTGACAGTAATGACAGGTTGCTTATTTTTTATTTTGACGTGAAGCTATAACCTCAAAATTTAAAAACCTTGTGCATTTATCATTTGTTTGTCATTGCGCTTTTCACAGAATCAACCAGCTCATTTTAAGTGGGTAGTCTGGCTTGAAGCCATACCATAGACACTGATTTTTACTTAGCTTTAATCGATATGAAATGCACTCAAATGAAGCGAACAATCCACAGGACCATCACCACTATACATGGCTTGGACTATTATTTCGTAGGAGGGGATTCGAACCCGCGCCCCATCTAGTCAATGTATTAGTAGCTCAGGGATACCGGGATACCCAGGTTGCCCAAAACCTTGCTGCATATTTTGATAAAAAAAGAATTGTGTCAAAACTGTACAAGAAATGAATAGCTTTAGAATCATAGAACCACGGAAGAACAGGTGACTATAATGAAAAGCTACGTTGCCACGTTGCATATATAACAAAAATTCAGTTTATTTGGAACATTCTCTATTTCTTGCATATATTTTAGTATCTTAATTAAGCTTATCCTGCTTTTTGAATTCTGAGATCAGTAATGAATAAGGGAAAATAAACTTTTGAAATAAGCTGTCGCCTATTCTCCGTAATTAATGGAGCTTTCCTATTCCGATAACGGAGGACGAAGGATCGTCTCGCTAAAACAGCAAAACTCTAATATCTATAAAATACACAATAATTTTGGAATTGCGTCGTATAGCCTGAAATCATGTTTTTTCGCCTACGATTCAGAAATATCTACTGGACCGACTCAACTTTGGACACAATCGAGGTGGCAGATCTGGATTCAAGACGTCGAAAGGTGTTATTTGATACAGGTCTGGTGAATCCAAGAGGCATAGCCGTCCATCCGCAAAGAGGCAAGATATTCTGGACGGACTGGGATAGAGTGCAGCCTAAAATCGAATGGGCCAATGCAGATGGTGAGAAAAAGAAAGATACTTTCGTATTTTTCAAGTAAACACTGTATAATGTTATTAGACGTTTACTTCCAGACAAAGCATGAAATAATGCTTTTGTTTCAATTTTATGAATCGGGCTTTCTACACAAGTACTGTGCAGAGGAGGATCTGTAGAAACGGGTATTTGGAGATTTAAAAATAAGTAAAGCGGTATTTTCCAAAACTTCTATTTGAGGGAATATCAGTATTTTGACTATGAAATGTATATTTTTACTTCACACGCATAAAAATTAGCCACATCTTACGTATGCGGCAAGTTTGCTGTTTATCGTCAAAATACGTAAGATCTGACTAGTTTAGCATTTCATATCAGTATAGGTGAAGTAACCAAAACTTTGCGGTCGCCTCTTGGACTATTATTTGTTTACCGTCATGGGTTTGACGATTCGCTCATAGATGGCTCTGCATGTACCGAAGTGGTGGAAGTTGCCATAAAATATTTATTATTATTATCTCTAAGAGCCGTTTTACACTCAAGAGAATTCCGAAAATTATGGTCATAATTATGGTGGAAATTTGCATGGAAAAAATATTGAAGATTTTCTCTACAACCTGTATGACACAAGCAAACAAAATTTCGGAGTAATTCATATGATACGCCTGCGCATTAGAGTTATATTTTCAAATGGACATAACCTTAACGGGTATGACGTCCAATATAATCGGAAAGACAACAGACGTCGATAATTCAAATTTATTTTTGAAATCGAGATCTTGGTTAATATTATAAAACTTCTCAATGCTTGGACTATCGCATCCAGCGCCTGACGCCGCAAATTTCTGTTTTTGTAATTGGGTGACTTCACCTTGTACAGGTTTGGCCATTTTTGGTACTCCTCCAACAACATTGTAAATTCTTCCCGATTCCACGACATTATGAATAAACAATAACAATAAACGCTCCTTCGTACGACTCGAACAGGACCACTCCCACAAATGTTAAGTTGTTGTTGTTGTCGTTGACATTTGATATTGACATGCACGGAAATAACCCTCTGCGCCGATTCTCGCGCATATAATATAGAACGGGTTTTATATTTTTACCATGAAAATTTTCACAAGAATTCTTTTACGTGTAATACGACAGCAAAAATTTTCGGCATAATTATGACCATAATTTTCGGAGTAATTCTCTTGTGTGTAAAACGGCTCTTACATTTCTCTGATTTTATTCGCCATGTCGCTCTTCTTTTTATATAAACTCTTTGTTATATCCTACTCATATTAGGTATGTAAGGTACTATTATTTTCTGACGTTGAGATTTTGACATAAGATGAGCGTATGATTAATGCGTTCTATTGGCATTTGGAATAAAAATCAAATCGTACTGTCACGTTTTGTTTGCATGCACGAGCGAGAAAATGAGAACAAATTGCACCAACAAATGGATGTAATACATCTATTTTGACTATAAAAATAAAATTTTGTTGCTTATTGCTATGATGAGTTAAATAGGTTTTTGTAGTTTATTTTAAATATCAATATACCAATGTTGTTTCTCTTCGGCCACAGGTACTGGGAGGGAAATATTCCTACAAGTTGAATCTGGTTCACTACCTAACTCGCTAACGATAGACTACGACACTGAACAGCTCTGTTACGCTGACGCGGGGACTCACCAGATAGAATGCGTTTCAATTGACACTAGGATACGACAAACGGTAGCCGTCAATTGTACATATCCGTTTGGAATCGCTACCACAGATAAGCATATCTACTGGTCAGACTGGATCTCGTAAGTACCTATACACATCTGTTCCGTTAAAAGATTACTCCAGGATATTTTATATATAAAACCGGAAGTTCGCTACCTCACTACGAACTTTTTTCTCCCCGATCCAGTCATTCAATCATTTCTCATATCTTCAAGCTTCCAACAGCTTTTGGAGAAGTTAGTCCTCACGTGCAGGATAAAGTTTTACAGCCTCAACCAATCACTGATCAACGTATTTTACCTGAAGATACCCAGTTAAGTCATAAAAAGGGATTGAAAACCCTAGCGCACTCTATGAGACAGTACCAGAACCAAACAATGTAGTTCTAAACAGATTGTTTGTCTTCTGCTTCTGTCTTGTATATGGCGCTAGTATCTTTCAAATTTCTTTGTTGATGCCGGTTGACTATCTTTAGAGAGAATAATGGCTGCTGAAACTGAGCGTTGCGAACAGTAACCAAGAGAGTGCTCAAAGATTGATTAGTATGTTGCCGAAAATGTTTAAAATTAGTCACTTTAGGAGGTCTCTATACGAATAATGACATGATATCTTTATTACTAAGGCTACATAACTTTATTACGTTCATATATGAAACAACTAAAGTTAGTAGTTTCATATATTTTCAGCAACATATTAATCTAATTTTGAAACCTGATGGTTGGTGCTCGAAACTTTAAACTCCCTTGTAGCCTTGTAGCCTAACAATTATGTTGAAAAAGCACACCCTCAAGGTTCTCGAAAACAAGGGGTATATGTCTGACTACCTGTTCGTCAGAGTATTCCTGAGTAATCCCGGTGATCAAGTAGCCAATTACCTAGACCCAGGTAACAACCTAGATTTGTCACTAGCATTGGCGGAACATGGGAGCACCTCCAAAATCTGAGGGTTCTCATGTACTCATCTAAACAAGAAGATGAGGCAGCTAAGCACTAGCTTTGAGATAGTGATGTGATTTATAGCTGATTTACGTGAACTCGTTCAATAGATAGCGGTCACTATAACGAACTTACTATTTTACGCAGCAATACAACGTAACGACTCATCATGCCAGTAAAAAGGCCACCTTTTAACCGCTTAGGAACCCCTCGTATTGTTGGTTTGTTTGGGTCTTAATTTTTTTTGTTAAGATGGATGTTTCAAATTTAAATAGTCCAGTTGAACTGACGCTCACATAGTAAATGCATGAGATATACGCGTTTTTTAACGATGATACACATCTGCTTTTTGTTTTCACCAGTTCAAAATTTTTAAAATGAATAACACATACCTTTTTCTGGCTAGTATTGCCAGATGACCTTCTTCAGGAAGCAAGGTCATCTTTTTTAGTATTATCGACAAAAGCCAAGCAGAAAATGAACCGAAGAGGAAGACTCAAACCTTTGCGACCTTTTTGACCCTGAAGTCAAACGTCTTTATGGATTCAAAATTAAGTCAAGCAGAAATTATATTATTTTATATCAATAAATATTTTAGTAAAGCACTTTCACCGAGAACTGAGGATCCCAAATGGTAGCAGGAAAGAGCAACAGTTCTGTTCCAGATTGGTTAAAAGACATTTGTGCCGTGCGGGCGGCTTTTTTCAAAGGCTGTACAAGTTTTAAAATGGAAATTTGTATTCGATTTACATTTTGATTTTAGTACCGGAAAGTTAGCTCATTTCCATTCCTTGTACCCTTTTATATTTTTTATTAGCTTCGTTTTATTCCACGATCGATCCAGGCAACCAGTTATACAGCATTCTGCTCACTTGGTTGCCTATGGTCGTGTGTCCCATCTCCTATCTCGTTCTAATTCGTTCAATCAACTAGTTAGCTTGGATCATCTGTATCCTGTAATACGAGTCGTTTGTGGTGGATGAGTGAACGAATTCTCAGAGAAATGATGGACTCGTTCACTTAGTTTAGTCATAAGAATCGTTATTTTCATTAGTCGGTTCTCTGTCACTTTGCTGCTGGGTTGTATCACCGCATTATGCTGTTATCAATAGTTTTATGTGACTGGTAATACAGCTCTGGGGATGACCTACAGGGAGCACAATGTGACCTAAGACCGATGACATCTAGTGAAGAATTTAGCTTGTTCCAAATGTTCATGTTTATCTCTCAATTCTAGCAAACAGATAGAACGCGTGGACAAATACACTTTGAAACGCCTGCCTCCGATCCCTGTTCTACCACTCAGCGGAAAAGGCAGCCGCCTTTTCGGCCTTGTAGCAGTAGCCAATGCCTGTCCACCAGTCACCAACGTCTGCCAATCGGCGTACAGGAACCAGTGCCCTGCGGAACACATCTGTCTGCCAAACGGCATGGGAAGTCGTCGGTGTGTATGTGCGTTCAGGTCGGATACGCCTGAGGAGAAACCTGGATGCGCGTTATAAACCTAGCGTGTCGATTAAATTAGTTTAGTTTACGATATTTTGTATTGCTGTCATTGTATTTTTTATTCAATAAACGTTTTGTTTTATGTGTTCTGGCAGATTTTTATTCTCGCCAACATCACGTACATAAAAACGATAGCGGCAATCATTTGATACTTTAATCAGCGGAGGTACATTCTCCAAAAACAGGTAAGCTTGTATCCGCTTTCAAGAATGATTGCAAGTCTTTAGTAAACAATTATAGACCAATAATAGTTCCGACTGTGCATAGGTGAACAATTTATATAATATTTATAATAAAATTTCCAATTCATTGCCTAAATCTATACAAGGTGTCCCGCATCGTTATGTTCAAATTTTGGGAGCGAACAGTACACTTCTTTTCAAGTAAAAAAAAACGCAAAACTTGTATATCCAGTTTTATTTACACGCCCATGAATGTTATTTGAAGATTATACTAAAAATAAATTCGTAGTAAGTAAATAAAAAATGATTTTATTTAAAAAAGTCAATTGATAATATTTTCAAAATGTCCACCTCTTTGTTGTATTTAGCCCCTTTTTGTCGTATTTGATCAGCAGTCTGCTGAATACGCGCCAACAACTCTTTCCTTGTATTTGAAACTTGCGCATAGACTAAAGCTTCCAAGTATCCCCATAAATAAAAATCAAGGGGATTGTGATCGGGTGATCTAGGGGGCCCGGCAACAAGACCACCTCGACCAATCCATCTTGGTAACCCAATGTCGGCCAGCAATTCCGAAGTGCGGTGGAGCCTCATCCATTTGGAACCACATGTGTAGGCGAATATTCAGTGGGACATCCTCCAAAATTCCGTGCAGTTCGTCCATAAGAAATTAAAAACAAATAACGTTCGTGAGCGTGTAACTTTGAAATAAATAAGAATGGATATAGTAGTTTTGCGTTGTTGTTACTGGAAGTAGAACAAACTAATCTGATGTACCTATTAAAATCTACTTTAAGCTTTAAATCAATGAATCTTCAAAACTACTGAACTGAAGCTCATGTATTTTACATCATTATAAAGGGAATTGAAGGACCTTTAAAATAAGGTATCACTCGACCCCCCTTTCCATTTAAGATCTTAGGGTTGGTGTCACCCCCGCCCCGGGGGCTGCACGTGTGAACCTGATTTTTTGCCAAACTTGTGTCCCCCTCGAAAACAAAATCGACGGGTCTGAGCGTTTTTCCAAAAAAGAAGCTGAGCTGCCAGTAAATGCGTCTGTTTCGTTTTTGATGCGCCACCCTGTATATGCTATCTTAATGGTGGTATACTCAGAGAAGTTACAACAGCGCGGTGCACAGCATATGTATATGTTCCGAAAGCTAGGCAGCCGTGAAGACGCAACTTTTTGGCCTCTTTTTCCCATAATAACCATGCGGATTTCCGAAACGCAAAAATTCATGAAAATTTCAGTACCTTCAAGGTAATGAGTAACTGATTACACTGAGGTAATCTGGTTGAGACATTTCAGATTCATATTTCAACGTTGAACTTCATAAAGGTAAGCCGGTTAGTGTGTGGAAAGAATTATTTTTTCGAACGGTCAGGTGTTATAAAAACAAGAACGTCTTGTATCTTATTTATTAAAGTACAAACCGCAGGAAAATAGTAATCTCCTTACAAAGAACAGAAATAAATAAGCATCGCATATCAGTCTTCCACTCGATTGTTTCATCAATTTACACTTAAAAACATTCATTCAATCAGTTTAATAAGAAATACCTAGCACAAAACAAATAAATATTACTTTACAAAAATAAATTAATTCCTAACAAGATATAACGGGAAAATATTTTATGCTTTTCTATTCCACTCTAACCAAGCAATAAATATATACAATTTTTGTTTATACTCCACTGATACATTGTATTCTTAGTAAAAAATTCTGCGTACATTTTTTTAAAGTCGTCGCAGAATAGTCATCCTTGTGTATGTTGGCGATTTTTTCGTGACTCAAGTTCTCTGTTAACGCTTTTTTAAATAGATATCCAACAATACATATCTTCCAACATAGAAAGTTTTCCGTTATTTCAGTGTCTGACTCAAGTACAAAATTCATCGATAGATCCTATAAAAGTTCCAGGAAGAGTCTTATTCTTTGCATCTAGTTTTTTTGCTGTACCATAATTCAAAACTATTTTCGAATACAGTCAAAGAATTAAATGCAATAATAACTTAAAATTTTCGATAACTTTAACTCTAAAATATCTGACTGCTTTTCTCGAATAGAAAAGCACATTTAGTTCCTATGATGGTATCCTGCCATATTAAACCTCGTTGCACTCCAAAAATTGTTGTTGACAGTTATCGCCGTACCTTCCTCGTCTGCCAGCTTCGTAGAGGACATCGAACGAGGAGCCTACTGATTTGTCTAGGATGAAGCTAACGGCATAGCTAAACAAAAATGGAAAACGTTATTGTTACACATAGTTGCTAATATAATTCGTTTTAAACAACTTTTTTGGCTTAATGCAGTATATGAGTCTCAAAAGATTCAAATGTCGAATAACCTTTAGTATATTAATATTAATAATGATAATGATGGAAAAAGCTTGGAAAGCTGTACTGCAATTACACCGTTTTATCGGCAGTTAAAAAGTATATAACTTAAGCAACAAATTGTATTAATAGTTCCATTTTATTGCTTATTATTAAAGTATTGACTTGTTAGTATATAACATGTCTCAATTCACGCTTTTTATAATATTTTTAAGGAACACAGAGGAACCTCGGGCAAAGCGGGAAAAATGAATTTCCAGTTTTCACATCCAAACCTTGAATCCGTCATTGTGAAACAGCACACGAATTTATTCAATAATGTAAAGGGTTGTCCAAAACGGACGCAGGAAAGTAAACGCATATTAAAACAAGAAAGATTGATATTCAAATCAAGTTGGGTACTTTATTTTGAAGGTTCACCACGCGATGGTCAAAATTTTCAATGACATTTTGCAACATGGTCGGTTCTATGGCATTTATCTCGACAATGATGTTGTTTTTGAGATCTTGGAGGGTGGCTGGTCTGTTGACGTAGACTTTGCTTTTCAAATATCCCCATAAAAAGAAGTCCAAGGGAGTCAAATCGCACGATCTTGGTGGCCATGGCACATTTCCTCTGCGCGAAATCACGCCATCACCGAAGGACTGCAATCGATGGATAATGACGTTGGTTGTGTGGCATGTTGCACCGTCTTGTTGGAAATAAACATCGTCCATATCCATTCCTTCAAGTTGCGGCAAAAAATAGTCCTCTATCATCACGAGATATCGCTCAGAATTGATGGTAACGGCGTCCCCGGCCGCATTTTCGAAAAAGTAAGGTCCGATGATGCCTTTTGACCACAATGCACAACACACAGTCACTTTTTGAGGATGCATCGGCTGCTCTTGATACTCACGGGGATTTTCGTTCGCCCAGATGCGGCAGTTTTACTTGTTTACCGTCCCATTCAGAGTGAAATGCGCTTCGTCGCTGAACATGATTTTTGATGAAAAATTGGCATCAATTTGGCGGTGTTCAAGGAGCCAATCTGAGAACGTTCGGCGCGAAAAATGGTCGGCCCGACGCAGCTCTTGCGTCAATTGGATATTGTAGGCGTGTACATTCAAATCCTTGTGGAGAATGCGGAGCAAACTGGTTCTCGAAATGCCTAATTCTTGGGATCGACGCGTTGTTGATTGTTTCGGATCGTCTCTCACACTCTCCTTCACAACAGCAATATTTTCCGGTGTGCGAACGCTCCTTGGCCGGCCAGAGCCTGGCAGATTTGCCACAGAACCTGTTGCCTCGAATTTACGCACCAGACGACCGGTGGTTGTTTCGTTTGGGCGGTTGTTGCGACCGAAATGTTCACGAAGCGCGCGAAACGTGTTTTTTATTTTTGCACCATTTTTGTAGTGCTCTTGAATAACTTTAATGCGGTCTTAAATCGAATACGACTCCATAGCGATCAATGGTAAACATTCAACTAACAAAATGACATGTCGGTGACAGAAAACAAAGATGGCGTCTATGTCAAATTGACGTTTACTTTCCTGCGTCCCTATTGGACAACTCTATACAATCAGTTGCAGAAGAACCCTCATACATATTTGACATTTGGTTCTATTAGCGCACTGATTATTTTCGAAAAATGTTTCGATAACTTCAACTCTTTCTGCTGTGGAATATACCATGGTTAATTTATGTAATAAAGCGTTACAAGTTATTTTAGCAATAAAGTTTCGTCAAATCGATCGCAAACTATGTACTAAATTCCTATTTAAAATAAGTACGAGATATTTCCTTATCTTTCTTCAAGAAATAACTTTTTAGCCACAAAAAAACGCTCCAATAGCTATTTTCAACCACAAAATGATAAACAAACCATGGGCGTAGTGAAGAAAAGCATTTGCTTATTAAGGAAATTCTTTTAGTCAAATTTCTTCTGAAAGTAGTACAAACTAATCTGATGTACCTATTAAAGTCTACTTTAAGCTTTAAATCTTCAAAACTACTGAACTGAAGCCCATCTATTTTACATCATCATAAAGGGAATTGAAAGACCTTTAAAATAAGGTATCACTCGACCCCCCTTTCCATTTAAGATTTTAGGGTTGGTCTCGCCCCCGCCCAGGGGGCTGCACGTGTTAACTTCATTTTTTGCCAAACTTATGTCCCCCTCGAAAACAAAATCGACGGGTCTGAGCGTTTTTCCAAAAAAAAACTGAGCTGCCAGTAAATGCGTCTATTTCGTTTTCGATGCGCCACTCTGTATACCTGTTTATTTTTTTAACAATGTAGTTAGTATACGGTAAATAATTGCATATGCAAAATAATTGTTAATTTAGTTTCTACAATAGTGCTGTCTTTAATTTTTTAGGAAAAGGAGACGGTTTTCGAGTTATTTCATTAAGCTCACAGAAATCAGTTTTCTTGCAATTGCAAAAATGTATATTTAACGAATTGGGCCTAAAGTTGAAAAATAGCATTTAAAATCCCATTTTCATACTATCTAAACGAACAGCTTTTTAGTATTTAGCGTGTAAAATGATAGTTTTCTTAGTAATAAAAATGGGGAAGATCGACTCAACGGTTTTGGTAGGAAACAAGAAAACTCTTAAATAGATGATTTCGTTCAAATACAGATAAGGCAGTTGGCGAATTTAAAATTGTTATTTCGAATCAAGGAGCTGGTACTGTTTTTGAAATAACCCAGTTAAGTACCTGTCATCGAATAGTAACTTACTAGTATGTTGTTGTTTGCAATGAACGTGTACGGCTCGGCAAACGCTTTCAAAATAAGGTGAATGTGCAATACGTGAATGTCATACTGCGATATATCATTACAGCTGTATTGTTCTGATTTATTTAATCGTTCAGATCATGGAAGGAAGTTCGAAAGGCCGTATCGTCAGTCATTGCTATAATTGTAGGACGCCTTTATCTTAGCACAGGAAAATACAAACTCAATGAGATGGATTCTGACAACTGATAGAAACAGAACTATCGGTTGAGATGGTACTTTTTCTAGCTAACGTATTCGATGGTCTATTAAGCAGCTGCGTATAAAAAGTACAGTGGCTTACCTTCCCAGATGGCAATATAGAGAACTCTGTCCTACGTCGTTTGAGCATTCAGTTGTTGCTTCACAGATATACCTCTGCATACAACTGTCGTTATTTGTGTTCAATGACCGCATGTACCTGAAAAAGGTAATCAAGTATAGCGAGCAAGACTTCCAACATAACTAAGATTTCTGATTTTACACACTCTTGTTAGTCTCAAGCTTGATTGCGCTTCGCTTCAATATGATGAAATTTTCGACGAAGTTTGACGAATGAATGTGAATAATTTTCGCATTTGAGTTCCTTACACTGCCTGTGTGAGCCAATATGCGACAAAATAGCAATTTGATTGGTATAGGTTGAAAAATTGTAAATATGTATCTCCCACGCAACGCTGTCATCAATTCATAGTGTAATATGAAAATTAAACGAATCAAGTCGGCCAAGCAGGCTCATACAATTAGTCCGTAAGGTCCACCTATCTGACGACGTTGCAATCTAGAAAGTTCCCCTCTGCCCAGTACAGTACCGATCATCTGGCAACATCGCTATGACTAATCTCTCCATTCGCCAATCACGGCAACCACCTATCGACCCAGACATGCATGTTGAAAATATTATTATAGGAAGCATATATTAAAACCAAAACTTAGATATACCTCCTCCCCCTACAGTTCCCAATTTTTAGACCCAACAATTTTTTTCTGAAAATAAACATAAGCTTCTAAAATGCTAAAAAACTAAGTCCGTTTTTGTCCCTAGCTTCGTCGACACTGGACAAAAGTTCTTCCGTCCTTGGCATACTTCATTTTATAGACGGACCAAGGTATAGCGGACAGACAGACGTCTCATTTAGTAAATTACACGTCCTCGCCTATGGCGGGTGAAGTAAAAAGCGTTAAGGTGCACGTTCATTTAGGGAAAAAGAAGCGAATGATTATCTTACCCGAATCAAGCCCGCATACTAGAGGGACGCGAAGGGAAGCGACGTATCACGTTTAACAAGTGCAAATGACAAATGTCGCCGCGGTCCTCTTCGCGTCGCTTCGCATCAGGGGATGCGCAATTTAGAGTTTATATGGAGTAATATTCGACCTACCCCTTGGCCATGGCGATTCCGGCAACTGCAGCATCGCTGACTGAATCTTTGCGTCCCAGATTACGAGCCGCCAAAGATCTGTGTGAGAATGAGGTCTTGAGGGCGTCCAGAAGATTTACTACGATGTTGATGAACTGAAACATATTTCACTATTTAGTCAGCTATCGTAATGATGAGAGCGAGTATCAGCATACGAAACATTAAAATCCTTTACGTCGTCGTTGTTGACTTTTCGCCTTATTATACATAAAAATAATTCGTGCCTGAGTGTCAATGGCAAAGAAATTTTAGCCCTGACAGCTTCTATTCTACTGCCTTTTTTGAAACATAAATTGCATTCTCGAGAAATTTATGCCTGACTAGTTTTCACGATAGAATTCCAATTTCTGGTCAAATGAAACCACAAGTGTATAAATAATTTTTTACCGCTGTTTTAGCCACCACGGTGGACTGTTTCAAGTACAGTACATTATGTGTAATTTGAAAGTCTTCAGTTTCATCAGTGGTCTAGTTTTTCTGAAACATCCTGTATAATATATGAAAGTCCAAAATCTGTATGTATGAAAATTGCAATCTCCGATTTTTTCACAAATCTAAACATCTCATCTACACCTTGGCATCTGTATATCATGAAAATTGTTGCATGCAAAATGCTGTTAAGAACGAAGAAGCATCAACAGACGAATTGCGATCCGTCATTTGGATGTACCTATAATTGTATATATCTTATTCGATTGTCCAAAGTACATACAGCCGAATTCTTGCCCAGTAACATAATTGGGTCTCTAAACGGGCAATATTTCTGTTGCAATATCTGGCAACTATAGTCTAACCACCATGAGCATTATGCGGGATATGGCCTGGCTATGTACCTCGCCTTTATGTTGGCTGTATTGCCTGCAATGTGTAGTACATACCTCCTATTGAGAGAGGATGTTTAGGGAATATAAATATTATCGTTCAAGGAGTAGTTTAATTAAAATTTTTAATTTTGGAGATTAAAGAATAAAAATTTGACTTTTCAAAAAAATTTAATTATTTTTGGTTTACAATACCAATATTCTATATTAAATTATTAAAACTGAATGTCAATATTTATATTATCAAAAGTCATATTTGCTAAAACTATGCTTCTTTGCGATTTCAGGTCACACTTTACACATCATAAATACCTGTGTAGAAGGGGGATTCTTTCCAGAATCATGGAAAGAAGCATTAGTGTTACCTCTAGCTAAAATAAGTAAGCCAAAATTATATTTCTGGTTTAAGACCTATTAGTATTTTACCTGTTTTAAAATGAATGAATAAAATTTTGCCTCCCAAACAATGCGGTTATCGCAAAGGATATAACACTGCAGGTGCCCTTTTAGACTTAACCGATAACATTGTTAGAGCCTGTGATCAACATATGGTCACATCATTAGTTCTTCTTGACTTCTCTAAGGCATTCGATACCATAAATCATCGTCTTCTAGTAGCCAAGTGCAAATATTTTGGTTTTTCTGACTCTGCCTCAAACATGATTCAGAGCTTCTTAAGAAATCGATATCAAAGGGTACACATTGGCATGGTTCTATCTTCAAAGTGCCTCATTTCCTGCGGAGTGCCTCAAGGGTCTGTACTTGGGCCACTACTATTCATTTTGTATATTTCTGATCTCCATTCAGTTGTCAAATATTGTAATATCCAATTCTTTGCCGACGATTCACAGATCTACAGTCATTTCCATAATCACAACATTCAAAATGCTGAATCTGAGGTAACTGAAGATAGAACAGCTATTAGTATGTATGCAAAAAATCATAACCTTCAGTTGAACCCTTTAAAATCGAAAGTCATAATTTTTTCACCAAAACTATTTAGAAGTAATGCCAAAAGAAATTTTGAAGTATAATTAAATGGTAAGACTATAGAAGTGAGTCAGTAAAAAACTTGGGCGTAACTTTAGATGAATGTCTAAATTTTATACCACATGTAAATAATATCAGTAAGAGTTGTTTTTCAATTTTACGTCTATTATATCTTAATAAACAATTTCATGACTTTACAACTAAAAAAATTTTGTGTGAATCTTTGGTAATGTTCAAAATTAGTTATTGCGATTTAGTTTATCTTCCATTCCTTGACTCAATATCTCTAGCACGTCTCCAAAAAATCCAAAACTCATGTTGTAGGTTGATCAATAATTTGAAAAAATATGATCATATCAGCCCTTTTTTCAATGACATGAAGTGGTTGAGAGTAAATGAACTGTGTTAGCTACACCTAGTTACTTACACCCACAGGCTTTTACTGTCATCCATTCCGCCGTTTTTGAGAAATAAGCTGATATCTAGAAGCAATATCCATTCTAGGGACATTCGATTCACTGAAACACTCACAATGCCCCTCCACAGGACATCATTCTTTCGTAAATGCTTCACCTACAACGCAATTATTTTTTACAATGCTCTAGCTCGATCCACAAAATTGCTATCATGTGAAGAATTTAAAAGACATATGAAGAAATTTATTTTGAATAAATTAGTTGATAAAACTTATCTGTTACCCCACACAAAAATATTTCCAATATAGCATTCCTTTGTTTTGTATGAAGGTTACAATTTTATACTTTTAAATCATGAAATATTGAATAGCCTTTACTTATATATGTTATATACCATATTTTTTATACACCTACATTTGTAATCTTCTAACTTATCAAATGTATTTATGTTTTTTGTCTTTTTTTCAGTTTTTCTTTTTTTTGGGTTAAGCGGCAGAGTAGCATGATGCCAAACTACGCCCCCCTAAATAAAGACGATTTATTATTATTATTATTACTATTATTATTATTATATTTTTTTTCTGGTTTATAAGTTTTTGTTGTAAAGCGAGATCATGTACTGTTAAATATTATTAAGATTAGAATTTACTGTTATTTATTTATATTCCATTTTTATAGGTTATTTGAAAATGATGAATTTTTTTTCATTTTTTTAACTATAAGTGTAGGTGTTTTAGAATACTCTATTTTAGTTTCAACAATTCATGTTGATGGAATTTGATAATATGTATTTTCAAGTTTCTTTTCTACGATAAAATTTTGAAATAGTTTTTTTAATTCGCTTTTACATTTTACATTAGGACTGATATTAATTTTTCCTTTTATAGTTTGAATTAATTTTGAATTTAATTATTTTTATTTAAATATTACTTATGTCTTAGGTACAGATTTATTAAGATGCATTTTTTATTTATATAGACTGGAAATAGCACAGATGAGTAGCAATAAAGCTCGACCATACAGAATTTTGCACTATATGTTGGTGGATATTCTATTTCAGCTATAGATAATGCTGTAGTAATATTGCCCATTTAGAGACTGCATAAGACGGACGTTTTGTGGTGAACTGTATCTCAGATTATTGTATTTATACATAATTTTGTTAATCTTTGATGTAGGTGACCTGCTTAAGAAGATAATATACCAGACAAAATACTGCATCTCAGCCAAGCGTTGAAATTAGTAAAAGAAATATTTCCATTCTGTCACCTGTTAGTCCTGAGGAAGTAGACCCGAACCAAAGTAGAACCTCTTTTCTATCTGTCTGACCCCCTTTACTATACGATATGCTCTACTGACATTAACCTTCTATAAGAATATACACCGCACCATAAAATATTCCACTACACCTACTACTTAAACTCTTCTTATATTATACATGATTGTCTACAAGCACCTTATCATTAACTTTTTGCTAATTTGGGTCTTTCTACTTAAAAACAGTAAACCAACATGACGATGAAAGTGAGCCAACCTTAAAAGCCCTGGACGTAAACATAGTACTGAAGAATTATTAGAACAGCATCTTTCAACGTTCAATCTACAAAACAAAATTGAAACAAAACATAACTTTACCGAAATATGCTTTTTCATCAATGGAGCTAAATTAAAATGTATTACCTCAATATTATACATCATTAGCATACGAATTAGTATTAGTCTCCATGTCAAACTGAATGAGCTAACTGGAGTTAGAATCTCGAAATTTTGTAGAAACGATTACTCTCTAATCATAATCATGCAGAGCAAGAGTGCGTACTGAACATTAGTTGTGAATAAGAATCAATTTAATTTATTACGAAAGTTTATATATTATGTGGTGTCACCTTCGAGGTATACGACAGCTGCTGATGCGTGTTATTTTAAATTAACAACTCGGCAATTCTGGGTGTAGCAGAAGGCCAATGACAACTATTAGTCCAAATTTTCGTTTTTGCCCATTCGAGGTTATGACTATTAACTCGTAAATAACTAAATGCAGTTAAAATAAAACACCTTTAATATCCACGGCGAGCAATCGGGATTGTACATACTGGATTATAATCTTAACAAGATTCAGGACTAATATTAGGCATGCAAATGCATCTACATCTGTTTATGATGGATGGTCAACCTTCGTCACGCAGAATTCGTGACTTGCAGAAGCTATGTTACTTTTCTTCATCTAATTTTCCGCCTCTATACAACGTTTACCTAAAACCTAGCCTGGAGTACTGTTCATATGTCTCGGGAACAGCTGTCCAAACTTGAAATACTGCAATAGGCAATCTCTCTCTTTTTAATTCGAGGCTGATTAAATAGATCAGATAGACCAGCTTTCTGTTTCTCCTTATAACTTAGGTAGATTTGTAGATCAGCTGTCCAGTATGACCGTTTCTTTGATTCAAGCTTATCGAGAATATGGAACAATCTGCCAGAAGATATTGCTTGGAGCTGTTAACATTTTTGTTTGAATATTTTCTGCTATTCATGTGAAATATTCACAAGGCATGCTCGCTTAATTTGTACGATTGGCAGTTTTCAAATAAGGTCAAGCCGAAGTCTCTATGGCGAAAAATCCTTTAAATACGCTGGCGCAATTATTATCCCTACATAACATCTTTCTAATATGTCGAGTGAGTATTCCCGTTATACAGGGTGGCGCATCGAAAACGTAACAGACGCATTTACTGGCAGCTCAGTTTTTTTTTTAAAAAACGCTCAGACCCGTCGATTTTGTTTTCGAGGGGGACACAAGTTTGGGAAAAAATCAGGTTAGCACGTGCAGCCCCCTAAGCGGGGGTGACACCACCCCCAAAATCTTAAAGGGAAAGGGGGATCGAGTGATACCTTATTTTAAAGGTCTTTCAATTCGCTTTATAATGATATAAAATGAATGTACTTTAGTTCAGCAATTTTGAAGTTTTATTGATTTAAAGCTTAAATAAATTAAATGTTGAAAATGGCCACCATGACTCTCTATGCAATAATAAAGATTTTGCTCAAAACGTTGCCGCACATTTTGCAGTATTTGAGGAGTAACTTGAAGGCACTCATTCTCAATTCTTTGTCGCAGGTCTTCTAATGATGTTGGCTGAGTAGCATAGATTTTGATTTTTAAATGACCCCACATAAAGAAATCCAAAGGTGATATATCTGGCGATCTTGGGGGCCAATCCATCGATCTGGAAATGTCTGATCTAAATATTGTCGAACACGTAATGCGTAATGTGGTGGGGCACCACCCTGTTGGAACATCAACCTATTCGCAATGTACCGCCGATCATTCTGATTTTCAATTATGGCTGTTAATGCAGGATCTATGGCGACTTCCAGTAATTCCAAATACATTTCACCGGTCAAATTTCCATGTAAGAAAAAAGGACCAACTAAATGATCGCCAAAAAAACCAGCCCAAACATTTAATTTTTGTGTCTGCTGTTTATGAACCTCATGATAAATTCTGGGATTAGAATCGGACCAATATCGGCAGTTATGACGATTTACTACGCCATTTAAGAAAAACGAACATTCGTCGGAAAAGCAAGTGTTGAATAGAAAATATTCATCGTTTATAATTCGTACACTCATATCTTCACAAAATTGTGATCGCCGATCAAAATCGTCTTCATTAAGTTCTTGTACCAGGTGAATTTTATACGGATGAAAACTATGGACCTTTAGAATCCGTTGGACAGTACGTCGACTAACACCACACACAGTCTCCAATTTGCGGGTACTTAATGTAGGATCTACATAAACTTGCCCCAAAACCCCCACTTCTATTGCTTCGTTCTTTATGGGATTTTCAATGTTGCGTTTTTTATTAGCGACTGACCCAGTTTGTCGAAATTTAGCTACAAGTTCTAGAACATATTTTCGATGCACGTTACTGTTCTCATGTCGTTCATTAAATATTTCTGCTGTTCTATAATTGAAAGACCTTTAAAATAAGGTATCACTCGACCCCCTTTCCATTTAAGATTTTAGGGTTGGTGTCACCCCCGCCCAGGGGGCTGCACGTGTTAACGTGTTTTTTGCCAAACTTGTGTCCCCCTCGAAAACAAAATCGACGGGTCTGAGCGTTTTTCCAAAAAACAAACTGAGCTGCCAGTAAATGCGTCTGTTTCGTTTTCGATGCGCCACCCTGTATAAAGAACACAAACGGTATTTGTGCTGTCTGAAGTAAAGAATACCGAATGCTCCTCTATCAAGTGCAATCTTCAATAATCAATTTTTGTAAATAGGACTATTTAAGAGTCTGATCAACAAAATGCCCCTACTTATTTTTAGCCTCAGTGTTTAAGCCCTATCTCCGCGGCTGCTCTCCTAAACTGGATCTTCTAATGATCAGTATTTTTTTAATCTTAAAATAATTTTTGTCATCTAGTATGTAGGTTAGCACAACATACAACATGATACCAAACCTGCTTAAACATACCTCACTGGCCTGTTTCGCCATCATATTGACCTGATCCGGATCCCTGGCCCCTAGCACTGCCGGTAACACCGCTGCCAAGATACCCTGTGCAAAGCAATCTACCACTAGTGCGCCATCTTACTATGTACAACTCTACTAAAAAGCAGAAACTCTTAAGGTGTTGTCTACTAAGTATGTACAAACCCCAAAGAGCAGAATAGTATACATGATGATGGAGAGGTGTGTTTAGTTTCACCATCTGAAGTCCAATGATACATGGTCAATAATTCTGCTTTTGTCTGTCCAACCAGCAAAGGGCCATCCGCGAACAGCTGTTTCATGTTTATTGGAAATCATCAGCACAGTCTATGCTCGGTCTCTAGGTAGGACACCGTACAAAGGCAGAAGCAAACTATTGGAGGTCTATCCGAATACGAGGAACATTTTGTAACCAAGTACGGTTCTGTGATGAAGTGAGGGAAATCTTATTTATTATATAAATTGTATGGTAAACTAAAATATAAACATTTTTTCATTTTTCAACATAGTCACAATAGACATTTAAATATGTGTCAAGTCAACTTCAACCATTAAACCAAGCAGTAGCTGTTTCTTTTGACATGTCATCAGTTCCCAGGATCTTTCCACCAAGAAATTCCTTAAGCTTTGCGTAATGACGGCGTAGTGAGAGATTAGCCTAGAATCTCTGATTGGACGCCACGTGACAGGTTCTTGGTTTAGAGATGACACTAGTACGATCACATCAGCGTCATCTATTACCAGACTCTGCGAGAATGAATAGTAGGTACCTGTTGGAACTGAAAGGTATCTCAGTTCGCATTGAAAGCCGAGTCCTCACTGTGACCGCATGATGCCGTCGATTCTGGCGATATAGAGGATGATAGTGTTTTGGCCAATGAACACTAATACGTGATCGTTCAAAGGATCGGCTTTCAACGCAAATTGATGTATTTTTAAAGTTCTCATAGATAATGGCTGTTCACTCTTGAAATTCTGGTTGTTAGATGACGCTTGTGCGATTGTATTTGGACAGACCTTATACCTCTAAGAGAGAATACGATACGTTGATCTGCTTTTGGTCGGTATCCTACCTAGATACCAAATCTAGCACCTTGCTGATGTTTGCCAATAAGCATGAAATAGCTGTACTCGGTTGGCCTTCTGTTGGGTGGTTGGAAGAAAGCATTATCAGTTAAATTAGATTTCTACTTCATCGCCAAACTCGACGGCACCAAGCGGCTGTTCACCATCGCGGTAGTTGGTTCTGGTGAAAGATGGCACTTATTCGCAGGTATATGGTATTTAAATTTTACATCGAAAGAGAACTTATTGAAATTATCTGTATTTACCAACGAAGTCAGACTAGGTAGACGGATTAACCCTACAATTTGTTTGTCTCCAAAAGCTCTGTCTGTGTAGTCTAGATATAAGTGCATACTACAAGTAGACTTGACATGTGTTAATTTTTTGACGGTTCTGCCATTGAATTCGTATTCTTAGTGTCGTGATACTTCTTGTATAATTTACAAATAGACGCGCTAGCCTAATGAAGATAGAACATTCCACCGGTCTATCTATTTATCTGATCTATCCAAATTCGTTGGCATTTACTGACAAAGACATCAGCCAATATGATTTGAATTTTATTCAAGGTTAATTTCTTTGTATCGGACAGAAGCGAAATCCTTATGAGTCACATTCTATGAAGAAGGCTAGCAAGAATTTATTAAAGCAGCTCTTATAAGGTCTCAACTTTGGTGGCAAATTCTAAAATGGAGAAAGCTAGCAAGAATTTATTAAAGCAGCTCTTATAACGTCTCAACTTTGGTGGCAAATTCTAAATTTGAGATTTGAAAGGGAAAATATTGGGCAATACGCCATTTTCATTAAGTTCATAGGACTTCAGATGACCGATCATTTTATAATGCCTACGTTTTGTAGTGCCTCCCTCTTACTTTTAGTATGAAATATAGGAAGATTGACTACAAGATATACATTATGGAAGGAGCTTATAACTACTGTAGTGGAAAATGCTGTATGTAGATACCCAGAGCAATTTATGGCCCATGACTGCAGTCGTCGATTATGAATTTGAAGTTCCACAGTAATGAAGACTCATGATTCCGTGATTAAGTGCCCTTCACCACCAGGACGCCATAACGACATCGCCAGCAAACTTATTGACGAGCAATTCCACTAGTCACGGTGACAAGCACGCGACGTTTTTTTTTACCCTTACTGTCATGCCGATCAAATAACTTTATTTGTGATGAATTTAGCAAATTTTTTTATCTAGTTCTGAGGAATAACGAATTAGTTCACTTGGAATTCTTAGTGTAAAGATTTTGTGGAAGTACGCGTCAAGGACTGACAAAAATGAAAACTTGAATGTCTTGATCATTCGCATAATTATCTAAAGAGAAGTGAAGTTCTTCAAATTATCTTGTCTAAATAAGTGTTAGTTCTTCAAGACGACCTAATAAAGGACTTTCCATATTCAAATAAAGGCTAATTATAAGCAAAAAACCTTTATGGACTGATTTGTGTGAAAGTTAGTGTATTTATGTAAAGTTAATAAACTGTTCTTTCTGGAGTACAAACTAGAATTCTAGAATCGTTATGTGACTGAAATATCTAAACAGCCTGGATCCCGTTTACTATATATCTCAGAGAGGCAATCGGTAAATAATTATGTAAAGTAAGCTTTAGCTTTTGACTATCAAGTTGACATTATCGTGGAATTGCTCTGATCACTTCGTCAGAGATTGTCATATGTTTCGATAGGTGTCTCAGTGACGGAGAGCTCCAAGTCACTATGACCAAGCCAATAGACAGAAAATATTTGATATTTTTCGTTTCTACTGTAAGTGAATATTACCTTGGAAAAACTGACCTGCATTGGAGAGTTACCATTGTCTACTTTATCGATGCCTTCGCTCGTTTGACCTCCACCCAAAATGGCGGTGAGGATCTTCAGACCTACTGAGAGCAAGTTGGCCCATGGAGATGTTGACACCGGTCCTTCGTCGAGACCCTCGGACTTGTTTGGTCCTTGGTGACCGCCGCCGGGATTGAAGATCATTTGCATCACCATGCCTGGAAATAATTCAAGAACCTCGATTTTATCAAAATATGTAGAAAATGTCAGATTGTCTGAATTGCTTGGCGTTATTGAGTATTATTTTCCATCTTTATAAGTGTACGGTACAATCAACAGAACATCCTGTATCTATAAACGTATTATGTCATCTTTGGAAGTGTTTTCTGCTCTACAAATATTTCTCTCTGATTTTGAAGCACCTTGTAAATCCTTTTCCGCTTTCTACACCACAGGATAAACTCAAGTAGCAATAATATCAAATTCTAAAATGATTTTTTTCTAAATTTTTCAATTGAATATTAATACTTTACCAGCTCGAAACATTTTTAACGCCCTAAAATGACAAAAAAGTTTGCAATAGGTTGAAACGCGAGGCTTTTGAATTTTGTTCAAAAATATTTATTTGCTGTCGAAAAATAACTGGAATTGCTGTATGTTCAATATTATATACTAAGTGACAAATAAATCCGAACACCCAGTTTAAATGGTTTTATTTTAATAAAATTTTGTATAAGTACTTAATGAAGCATAATAAGTAAATGATAAAAATTTCAAAATGATTGCACTGCTTTAAAGCCCTTTGACCTTTAATAATGTGTGGATGCACCCTGATGTGCTACGCGTTCTCCAACGCGTCTAGGCATGCTTCTGATCAGGTGGTCAATGTCCTCCTGTGGTATCTCATTCCAGGCAACCACCAACTCCTCTCGAAGTGCTTCTAGAGTCTGAGGAGGACGTTGCAAATTGAGCAATCTCCTACCCATCATATCCCACACGTGCTCAAGTGGGTTAAGTCGGGAGATCTTGGTGGCCATGGTAACAATGTGACATCATTATGTTGAAAGAAGTCTATTGTGACTCTTGCAACATGTGGTCGGGCATTATCTTGTTGGAAAGTTGGATCTGCCAGGGTGTCAAGATAGGGTAAAAGATGGGGTTCTAGAACTTCGTGGATATAACGCTGCGCGTTCTTGTTACCTCTGATGAAGATTAAAGGTGGCCTGGAACCATAAGCTGTAACACCCCAAACCATAACTCCAACAGTGTGATGAACATGTCTTTCAACAAAAAACTGTGGATTCCTCCTTTCACCACGTCGCCTTCTAACCCTGGCACGACCATCGTGCATGCCTAAACAAAATCGAAACTCGTCACTAAAGACAATACTGTTCCATTCCTGATCCCAGAGTGACCGTTGTCTGCACCACTCAAGGCGATTAGGTCGGTGTTCTCAAGTTAAAGGGAGGACCCAGTGTGGCCGGTATGAAAACAAGCCAAAACTTCTCATTCGTCGGTAAACACTTCGCATGCCAATAGGTCTTCCGTGTTCGGCAAACCATTCATTTGCAATGGACCTGGTAGTGGAGAAACGGTCCCTTAAGGCCAATAATCTTAGGCGGCGATCTTCACGGTCTGTTGTTCTACGGCGGCGTCCAGTGCCCCTTGCTCTTTGCGTACGGCCTTCTCGAAGCCATGCCTGACAACACCTAACCACAGTGGCTACACTTCTTTACACTCTAACTGCAATTGCCCGAAAAGAAAGTCCAGCTTCCCGAAGTCCCACTATACGGCCCCTATCAAACTCACTAAGTTGACGAAATCGTACAGGTCTCCGTACTCTAGGCATCGTAACCGATCGTAAAGGATGTCAAGAACCAAAATCCGCCAACGTTGATTCTTTGCTGTGGCTGAAATATTCATTTTTAGAGCGTTAGTGAATTAAAAAAAAACAGTATAAAAACCGGAATGTCCAACTGATAAGGCTGAAAATTGTTTCACTTGTTATTTACAGTAAGATAAATCCATTCACCAACTTTTATTAAAATAAAACCATCTAAACTGGGTGTTCGGATTTATATGTCACTTAGTATAATATAGATAAAATGAATATACCTTGCATCGTATTTTCAAAGTGCTCACCTAACAAGCTGGACCAACTGAATCCACCCCCAGTGCTCTCAGAAATCTGATTGGTCTGGATATCATTATCCAGATCATCCAGGGCTACTTTCTTGATGGCGTTCGGTTTCTCTGCAAATTTCCTCTCTTCTCTGATTGGTTGCTGTTGGATCTGCTGCGATTCTGATTGGACGATGGGCCTGAAGCCGCCGTGCTCCATCTGAGGGGTGGATATAGCATGGTTTGGGTAGGACGAGCTAGTCGAGATGGTACTGGACAGGAGGAGAAAGGTCAGTGACCACCCTACAGCTTCCCGGTACATCCTGGAAATAAAAAAGTGATGTGAGTACGTTGACTCCAGCGGGGATCTCGGAAACGGTGAGAGATACAAGTTCAGATTAAATGGCCATTAGTAAGTTTCGCGATTCAGAGTATCTCCGAAATTTTCCAAAACTGAAATAAACTATTTATTTATTTATGATGGTATATTTATTTTTGTTTAGCTGCCTACCAGGTGACAGTGGCCCTGTAGTTTGCCAAGGTCGCACCGCGTAAAACCGGAAAAGACAAGCGAATAATCTTATACTCTATCTGCCGTGTTTTGAATGTGTCAGACACGTCACCCTCGCCCATCGTCCCGAAAACGCTGGACCCCCTTTTTTTTTACTTCCAGGTTTTGGTCTCATAATTTGTTATGGGATCTTTTACTTCGCATTCTCAAGGCCAATCTGTTGTGTCTCACGGTATTTACTCACAAGCCAAGCAACATGGTTTCCCTTAGATGTTGAAATACTATTTCTCGCATTGAGGATCCACGAACAAAGCACACGCAGCAGTCGTAGTCGAGGATTGCGCAGCCTGTATGTTGCGAGACAGTTCTGGGTGGGTTTCATCTTGTTACCTGGGGACGTTCAGGATTTTTGAGACGATGGACGAGAGGAAAGTGTTTGGTACTTTAGAAAAAAGACAGATACAGAAACAGCGTTTTAAACGTGAAGAACTAAAGGTTCATGTGATACCCAAACTACTTATATTTAAAACGTAACAAGCTAAAGTTAAATAGAAACATTTTTCATGCTGTTTTTGATGTACTTACGAGGGTGGTCCCAGAAGTACCCGACCTGACCTAGAGATGGCGATAGTTGTTTGAAAAATGTCATTGTATTAGAAAGTATGCAACCTATAAAGCATATGCGTCAAGTTTGAAGACGTTTAGTATTTGTTTGGCAGCCATCAATACTGAACGTTTTCAGTGAATTTGTGAAAATGGAGAAAATTGGTCATCGTTATGTGGTACAATACTTTTATTTCAAAGGCCTCAGCCCAACCAATATAAAAGCTGAATGACTCCAGAAATGGTGAAGAAAATTCACAAAGCAGACATAGTAGGCATTTCAAAAAGTCGCATATTATCTGAAAATTTGGACATGAGAAAGCAGTGTGCAAGATGGGTGCCGCGATTCCTCACAATCGACCAAAGACGGTGTCGTGAAGATGTTTCAATTGAGTGTTTAGCGAAGTTTCACAGCAACAAAGCAGAATTTTTGCGTCGTTTCATAACCATGGATGGAACATGGGTCCATCACTTCACACCCGAGATAAAAGAACAAACGAAACAATGGACTCATAAGGGACAACCGGCTCCAAAGAAAGCGAAGACCGTTTCCTCTGCAGGCAAGGTTATGGCGTCGGTTTTTTGGGATGCGCGTAGGATAATTTTCATTGACTATCTTGAAAAAGGTAAAACTATCAACGGCGAGTATTATGCGAACTTATTGCAACGTTTGAGCGATGAAATCAAGCAAAAACGGCCGCATTTGGTTAAGAAGAAAGTGTTGTTTCATCAAAACAATGCACCAGCTCTCAAATCCGTTATTGCAATGGCCAAAATTGAAGAATTAAAGTTAGAATTGCTACCTCATGCACCCTGTTCACCATATTTAGCCCCCTCGGATTATTTTCTGTTTCCAAACTTGAAAAAATGGATCAGTGGTCAAAGATTTTCCAACGATGAAGAAGTGATGTCGGCAGTTAATGGCTATTTTGAGGAGCACGACAGTTCTTATTATAAAAAGGGTATAGAACTTATTGAACATCGCTGGGAAAAGTGTATAGAGCTCAAAGCAGATTATGTTGAAAAATAAATACATTTTTTTCAAAATTTTTGTGTTTTCTTTGTTGGGTCGGCTAGTTCTGGGACCACCCTCGTAATATTGCTACTGCAAATATCTATACTGTTCCCAGATCTAAGGATTCTAGTAACTGGTTCATTCATACCATAAATTAAAAATTTCCCTGCGGCATTTCAAGGAGTCTATGTTCAACGAACGCATTAGTTCTGAAGCGTTCTGACTTCGACCCATTTTAACAGCGGCCTGTTTTGAAAACTTACTTTGCACTGCTTCAATGGAGTGAATGTCGTCAATCAAATTTGGCGACCGTACCACTTTGTTGGACTCCAAGATATTTCGCATCAAAGAGCAGTATAAAATATGAAAAACGTCTACAGATCTAACAATGTATCCCAATACTTTATAATGATTTAGAAGTGTTTTCTCTAATGTGTGTTTTAAAAGTAAATTTTGTATCAAAAGTTATACCTTACATTCATACATGAGATAATTTGAACTAAGGCTAAAGCTTATCTGGTATCATTTATTCAAATTGATGTTGACCTTATAAGTACTACGACACCGAGTAGAGAGAGGGATTTCTTTGTAGGATTTCCGCATTGTGGATATTTCTCACTGTTCTGAATAATCTAAGATAATCTGCAAAAATCAAATAACTGCGATTTGATATAGATTCTGCAACATCGCTAACGAATTAAATAAATAAAACTGCAGAAGCAACATAGATTATTTCGAAATACTAATGCTTGCCGAGCTAATCCGGTCGCTCTAGTGAAGTAAATGTGATGAGCACCACATATATTCAAATGGAGAAATGAGGATAAACTTCATCATCTCCGACTGTGATAAATGCGATAAGTAATGTCAACAAATAAAAAAAGGAAAGTGCGTAGCGATAAAAGAAAAGAAAAATGCAGATTGTTGACGGCCTTTTATTTGTTGCAGATATAGTTTTTATAGAAACCGAGTATATGTGTATTAGGAATTGTGCTTTCTCGGACACACTCCAACAGAACGAGATAATCGAGAAACTCTGATGCAGTTTCTCTTTTATATCCTTGTAGCTACAATTCAAAAATGTCGTTTCTTGTACTCTCACTGTGAAACTTGCATAGGTAGACAAATCCCAAAATCAGTATTTAGAAGCGATACGATCTTCGAGGTGTTTAACAGTTCAACAGACCTTACGCCATTATAGCTCAATCTGTTTGGAAAATAAGGTCATAGAATCACTTAGGGATAAGTATCTTTTTTCACAAGGTATTTCCACAGCTTATAGTTGAATTTCCAGTGGTTAACCCTTAGGCGTGAATTATTTCAATACTTTTTTCACGTCTCGACTCGCAGAAAGTATTCGATACAATGATATATCCATTGCAAAAACATTACAGCTGACTATTAACATTAACAGGCAAACACCTTCATTTTAGTAATAAAACTACGATAATGTCTAAAATTGCTTACTGCGACTTTCTGTATCTGTGAAACGTTTGCAAAAAAGACAAAATTCTTGTTGTAGATTGCGTTTTAACCTACGAAACTATAAACAACTGAAATGGTTAAATGTACGAAACTTATTTAAGTTTCACTCATTATGTTTTGTGTACAAAGTTCTATCCATATCATTTCCTCCATTCCTAAAAGACAAGCTAATACTTCGTGAGTGTACTGAGTCAAGGAATAATCGTTTTTTGAATACGTAAACCATGCCTATTCACAAGACATCATTCTGCCAGAAGTGCTTTACTTATATTCCAATTAACACCACTTACGAAGCTGCTGAGCGTCGACGATTTATTTCAAAAAACAAGTCAAGAAAAGCATTTTTGAACAATAAATTTAAAGACGATCATCACACATCACTTCTTTGCAGGTCCTTTTGATATTCATATAATACTACTATTTAGTAGGAACTGTACTATCAATAATTTACACATTTTATTCTGTTTATATATTTTTGAGGTGGATTAATTTTTGTTAAGGGTTAAGTGGCAGAATAGCTATAATCTAGAATTCGCCCTAAATAAAAAGGATAAAACGATTCATTATCATTACTATTATTATTAGCCTCAAAGATAAAATACTTATATGTGGAAATTAAAAGTAACAGACATTTTTCGACAACTTATTTACACTTATGATAAAAAACTCGATATCTATTATTGAGCATAATGGCCGGTTGGCCCAGATTTTCGTTCCTCAGTCAGTCGTCCTAGAATTCTTTGAATAAATAATTAATATATAACGGTTGAATGTCCCACTGCAACTAACTACTAGCGCATACAATGTCTACCAGTTATGAGCCTATTTATGATGAGGCTTCAGATTTGTATACGTCATACAGATGCTACTAAATGTGATTTAATACAGGGTGTTTCATTGCAACAATGTCTGCCATAACGAGGCTTCAGATTTATCATGCGTCATACAGATGATACTAAATCTGAAGTGATACACGGTGTTTCATTGAGAGAAAGAGACGTATTTTAATCACAGTCCTGTGTATCATTTTAAAGCTCGGTACGCGTGTTCGACTTATCGTATCTAATAAATTGTGATACCATTAAAAAATACGAGACCAACACAATTAAAATTCACAAACCCACTTCAACAGGACTCTGTATATCAGAATTTCTAAACTTCTGATTTTCTATGAAATTGAGATACTGATTCTTGGGGGTTAGTTTTGGAGTACACAGAGAAAACGGTCTATTAACCATATCGTTTACTATTCATGCTACACTTTGAGTTTAGGAGGTTATCTTATAAATCAGTTATCTCATCTTGTCCCACAATCACATACTTTCAGGTCCGTATTCAAAACTGAAGGTTGGCGTATGAAGTAAAAAAGAAATATACAGCGTGTTTAAACATTTGTGAACCTCCAAGAAATAGATAATATCAACAAAACCCTATTTAGCTCAGGCTAAATAGGTTATGGTTGCTCTCCGCCTCTGTGACAATAACCAACCGAATAAAAAGTTGTTTTATTCTTTTAAGCAATGAGTAGTGCGGTATACGTCTAATTCTTAGCTGAAACGTCCTGTCCATAAGGTACATTTTTAGCAAAATTTATGTTTGTAGGTCAAATAGCTTTCGAGACGTTATTAATGAGTATCACCCATCTTTTATATACAGAGTGGCGCATCGAAAACGAAACAGTCGCATTTATTGGTAGCTCAGTTTTTTTT